TGATCCAGATCCCCCTCCCCTCTAGCACAGTCGACTGCCATCACCATAGTAAAAACGGCACCAATTGATAATGTTGTTTGTCGCAACTGCCACACTGCTGGACATTGTCATAAAAATTGTCTGGTGTACTACTGTTGGATTTGCAAAGAGTACACACCCGGACACTTATCAGTCCTTTGCAAAGACTTGAAAGGAGAAGCGGTCATCCCATTGGTTTGGACTGACCTGGGTTTCTATGAAGCCCTCGCTCATTGGGAGATTGAGCAGGACACTATCTATCACACTGCTGAATTAGCTGATAGGTCACTCCCTATCACTGAGGAGCAAAACGATTTGCTAGACTCAAACTATGATGCGGACCCTATTTACTGGGCTAATCAGGATAACTGAAGTCGGTGACTTCGTTCCTAAACAGAGGGTAATGTTACAGTTGTGCTTGCCCCTATTCATTTTCTCCATTTATGCTTGTATTACGCCATGACCATGCCACATTGTGCCATCACTAGACCCGTTTCTATACTTGTATCACATCACGATCACCGCTGCCGTCATTAGATGACTCTTATCTCTGACTCCTCTCTTATCTCTGACTCATCTCCTAGTACCTGCCCTAAAGCACTTATGTCCTATATAAGTCTGGTCATGTACTTAGTAGATCTTTACTTTAATCTTACTAGGTTTTCACCAGAACATTCTTTCACTTAGGATCTCCAATCCTAAGTCGTCTAAAGACAGATATTCAAAGCGGAGACACTCTCTTTGCTTTGTCTTACGACCCTTACATTTGTAAGGTCTTGACTCAACATCAGTTGTTGCTCTTATTGAGTAACTGTCATTGCAACTATCCTAGTTCATAACAGTCAGGCTCCCACTTTGGATAGTGGTGGATTGGGTGGATCTTCTCCATTTGGGCTGGGTTAATCTTGAATTTGTACATTAGCTTGTGAAGTGGGGAGGGGTGATGCTTTGGTTTGGCAAAGTTGCGTGTGTTTCCATAGTTGTAGGCCATCTTGATGTCTCTTGCTAGCAGATGGGTATCTGGGAGTGTGATCATTCTGAGTGTTGACTTGAGGCATATCTTGCATAGCATCTGTTGGAAGGGGAGTATGTTAGCATGCGTGTCTAGGATGTCTGTAGCTGTGGATCTCATTCTGCCTGTGATCATTAGAGTCTCCATTCTTTGCACCCTCGCCATTTGCGATGCAAAGCCTCGTGCCCTGTGTCTGTTTAGCTTCTTTCCTTTGCCCTTTGTTACTAGTCCTGCGCACCAGACATCAGCTGTGTATAGCATTTTAGGAATGACTACTCCCTCATATAGTCTCTTCATTAGTCAGCTCTTGATACCCTTTGCAGGTCGGATCATCCTGTTGCAGGCTAGGGCATACTTTGTTCCTTTCACTAAGGTGTGGGCTATGTGTTCCTTGAAATTGAGGTTCTTGTCAATTATTACTCCCAGAAATTTGTGTGAGCTTGATGGTTGTATTGCATGATCTTGAATGACAATTGCTGGCCTTGGCATGGGAATCGTTTTGTGTGGGTCTGTGACACTTTGCACTCATTTTCTTGAGAGACATACCAGTGCTGTTTTGTCTAACTTGAATTCCACATGATGTTCCTCACTCCATTGTAATGTGCCTCCTCATTTCTCCATCATCCTAGTTAGCTTGTTGTTCGCCTCTTCATATGATTCGCCTTTTGCTATCAGAGCGACGTTGTCTATAAATCCTAGTGTTAAGAACCATGCTCAAAGGAGAGAGAGACTGACTCAGAGGGGCTTGGCCTCAGCTCATACACTGTGCCCCTTACCCGAGTATGTGCCCTTCATTTCATATGAGGTCTGATGATGGTCTGACAAAGTCCAGAGGACTTCCAGAGGCTGGCTACTCTGCTGGAGAGTGCTAGAGGACTTCCGGAGGAGCGTGGGAAACGTCCAGAGGAGCGCAGGAGAGTTCCAGAGGAACACAGGAAGTGCTCAGGAGAGTCCCCACTGCAAGGTAATACTTCTACAGGAAACAGGATGGAAGGATAGGAGGTCTGAAGGTCCAGAGGACAGGAGGACAGGAGGACAGGAGGGCAGGAGGACAGGAGGACAGGAGGACAGGATGTCCAGAGGTATGAAGGACAGGATGTCTGAAGGACAGGAGGATAGGATGTCCAGAGGTATGAAGGACAGGATGTCTGAAGGACAGGAGGATAGGATGTCCAAGGGTTAGGAGGATGGAATGTCCAAAGGTATGGAGGGCGGAACATCCGAAGGACAGGATGCCCAGAGGTACAAGGGACAGGAGGTCCGGAAGGAATAGGGGCTACATCGGATGAAGTCCAATGTAGAAACAAACAGAGGTAGACTACCCTAAGGTAGAGTTGGAGAGACAGGGATTGGACCTAAGTCCAGAAAGAGGGTAAGTACCGGAAAGGCGGAGCTCTGACCTAGGGAATCAATCCCTAGGCCTGATGGTAGGACAGACTTAGGTGGAACAAAGTCTGAGAGAGGATTGGGCAAGTCTAAGTTGATATTCAAACTAAGGAAACTACAGGAGTATCTACAGGGGTTATATACTGGAGAATATCTGAGGGGATCAATAAGCAAAGGAGCAGGGCTATGTACGAGCATGTGGAAACACATTAGTAAGTAAGATGGAACATAAGTAAATGAACTTGGAGATGAAGACTCGTACAAGGATCAATAAGCAAGATGGAAGAAAAGGTAACTGAAAGCTGGAAAGGTAGAGATGCCTAAATGGGGATAGGCGCAGGATCTCGGACAGAGGGTGGGAATAGGTCCGGAGTTAATATCCGGAGGTCCGGAGATCTGGGGATCCAGAAGACAAGGTGGATACAGGACCAGAATACAAGAAGGTGGATATAGTCTGGAATCCGAGATGAGGTGAAGTCTGGATGTCTTGCTGGATGGAGTGCACATAGGGTGGACAGGATAGGGTTGTACGGATCAGGCTAGCAGTGAGGATCTGGAGGTCCGGAGCTCAGGGGTAAATCAGGAGCAGAGTCGATCCTGCTGAGGTGTGGAGCACAGTGGGAGGGGATCTGGGAATGAGCTGGATATGAAGTGGGGTCCGGATGTAGGCTCGGAAGGCGTGGGAATATGATGGAACGTGGGTCTGGATTGTGGGATATGACAGGAGGAGGATAAATATAGTTAGGGTCTATGTGGTCATTAGCTGGGGGAGGTTTGAAAAAGACTTCATATAGTAGTTCACTTTTCCTGTCATTATTTTGAGGTGTATGTTGTTGATTATTTTCTGGGTCCTTGAGCGTGGCAATTCTTGTGTGCATCTGGTCTTCTGGGTTGCTTGCTGCATAATGGTGAAAGTTCCACACTCCAGATGGGGTCATTGTTTCCAGCCATTTGGTCCAGTGAGATTCCTTTGCCTTCCTGATGCTTTCCAAAAAGGTGTTACATGCTTTGCAGTACTGCTTGTGGATTGGGTCGTTTCTGTACACTAGTTTAGCTCTTGATTTGTGGCCTAATTTATGTACTTTCTTTCGCTCTATGTCTAAACTTTTTGACCACCATTGTTTTGCATATGGTGATGGTTTCAACTTCAGGACATTCATATCTACTACCTTTGCAATAATGGTGGTGAGGTTGTCGAAGGCCTCCTCAAACTGAGCTTTCATCATGATCTTGATTGGTGGCAAGATGTTGCTGAGATCAGTTGCTAGTGCCTTGTTTATTTCGTCCCATTCTGCTTCTCTGTAATTGTGGTGTGGTATACAGTTGATGCATTCTGGTTGCAATTCTAGCAAGCTTATGATAGGAAAGTGGTCAGTGATGACTGGTCTTAGGTGGTACTCAACGTCGCATGCCATGAAAGTGTGTTGGAGTTGGGCCAAACAGAAAACATTGTCTGGTCTCATGAGGTTCTTGGTGGATGATGCTTCCAGTGTGGCGATTCCCGAAGGTAGTACTTGGACTAAATTGTACAGTGCAAGAAGATTGATTAGTACACCTGCAGCGTCTAGGTTCACCGCAGTGAATAGATGTCCATTTGATGTAAGCTCCCACATTGGGTGGTGGTGGTTGAAATCGCCTAGCCAAATTATATGTTCATTATTTAGGTCCTCCTCGCCTTGAGCGAGTTGGTGAGGGTTTGCACAATGTGCATTATGTTCAGTCTGCATGTGCCTTTCGAGGAAATGCAGGGTGCTGTCATGGTCGCAGGGATTGTATATATTGTAGACACGCACCTTTCTGAAGTCTCCCAATAATTCTATTGCCATGACATTTGTCGATTGAATTGGGATAGTATGCCACCTGTTCTTGGAGATCTTCTTGTTGATTAGCATTATCACCTGCATTCAGTTTTGATTCATGTGGTGTCCGGTTGGGTATATTACATCCCAGTAGCATTGAAGGCTAGAGGCATTAGCAAGATTCACAGGATTGAGAAAAGGTTCTTGTATACATGCCATATCAAATTTGTTGGGGTTGAGGTTCTTCAAGAGGTGTTCCCATGCATTGGAGGATTTGCAGAGGTTCTGTTGCCATATTTTGAAGTCAGTTCTCTGTTGACGTTGTGCTGTTGGGTCTTGTTGCATTAGTCCCAACCGCTGGCTGTGTTGCCATCTTGTGTGTAGTTGAGTGTTGAGAAGGAGTCTCTTGAGGCGGCAGATTGAGAGTGTTGAGGTTGAGTGTCTGGTGTGTCTTCTTGCTGTGTCCACATGTCTGTGAGGTGAGATTGGCTTCCTAATGGGATGTTGTTGGGGAATCTTGGGCGTTGCAGTTGTGGTTGGTTTGGTCTTGCTTTCATTGGTCTTGCGTCTCTCATTCTGTCTTGTTGCAGTGGGGGGAAGTTCTGGTTAGTTGGGGCTATGTGGTTGGTTTTACCTTCTTGCTGGTGCTCATCCCACTCATTGGGCTGTTCATCTATCTTCTCCCAGGTGAGTGGGTCCTCCATCGGGTAGAACCGATATTTCGATTCATCGTTGCATCTTTTGTGTGCATCCCACTTGCTGAGGAATGTTGGGCACACTCAGCTCCATGCTGCATGTCCCTTTATTTCGCAGTTAGCACAGTGATAGTTGTTGGGGTCATCTACCTTGCACGTTGCTGTGCGGTGTTGTTCCCCACACGTTCCGCAAATGTCAGCGTCCTTAGGGCAGTCTGTTGCCATGTGGCTGCCGTCAAAAGAATGGCATTTGAGGCATCTTGATGGTTCTGGTAGGAGTTTTTGTCCATAGACCCTTTTGCTGGCTACTGATAGTCCAAATTTGATGGTGTGATTCGCACTTTCCCTAGAATTGAAGGTTAGTATGATGTGAGCTGTTCTTTGATTCAGGTTGCATCTCACTATTGGTTTGATGTACTTAGCCTTCAGGATAGTTTTTGGGGTGAAAGCAGCCTTCTTCTTGATGTCGTCTATGGCTGCGGTAGATTCTGGGACAAATGAGATCGGTATGTTTTCCATAAGGACGTGGAATGTGCGGTTTTTGATGGTGACATTGGTGCCGAAACATTCCAAGAAGTTGCTGCGGTTTGTCGGAGTATTGAACCATTCTGTTGACTCCTTGGAGTTCAGTTCATATATGATGCCCCCATGAGGGAGTTTGCGTGCTGATATGAAGGTGAGGTCATCTGGAGTTGGGATGTCATCCTTGTTCATCATCTCAATGGCTAATTTTGCCTTGGTGACTAGCTGTGCCTCTGTGAGCTGTGTGGTGGCATCCTTGGGCATGAAGAGTGATCTTCTATCTATCAGGATCTGTCTAGTTTGGCCTTCATTGCATGAAAGAAGTTTTGTTAGTGGGCCTGGGATTGGCACTTTCACTGCCGCTGCATAAGATCTAGGTCCTTCAGACCTGTTGTGTACTACTTCTGCATCTGCATGGTTCTGAATCGCTTGTGTAGCACTCTTTGTGGCCTTATCTATTCCTTCAAGTGATTTGCTAAGATTAGTACGCACCTCTTTTACTGCCTCCTCTAATGCCTCCTTATGCTTATCTGTTGATTGCGCCAGTTCCTCCGCCTTCTCTACCATGATTGTTAGGGGGCTGCCTATGAGTGTTTCAATTTTGTTGATGATGTTGGTCATGTCCATCGAGCGTTCCACATCATACAAAACCATGGCGATAGCCCTGAGTATCTCAGCATGGGTAGAGCCTAGTCCTGCCGAGGCGCTGAATTCGAAGATTGCTGTTACTATTTGCTTGAGCATTGTTCCTGCCATTGGGAGAGCTAGGCCATGTGTGTTTAGGAGCTTTTTCGCTGTAATTATGTTAGTAATATCTGTTCTTATACTTGTACAGTGGCTCAAAAAACTGTCCACATATTTTTGCATTTTTTACTATTTACAATATTGTGTGAGAATACATAAAGACCTCAGTGACATGCTGATACCATATTGTAGTGCTGCTTCAGGGCTTTGGATTGAGCACCACATCGTGAGAATCAGAGGAGATATGGTGGAGATACAAGGCTTACAAAATCATGACTCATGTGGACAGTTTTTTGAGCACATATTAAAACTATATAAATCATCATTTATGACACCATAACAATTATGCCACCATTAAATAAATTATAAAGTGGTGTCATTATGTCATTTTAAAACCATATCTAACTATACAAACCAAAAATTTCCATATGTCATGGTTATATTCACCATGAAAGCCACCCCCCCTGCTCAAAGGGATAATATCCTCTCTCTTTCCTATTCTGGCCTCTCTGCTTGTCAAATTTCCTCTAGAACTGGAGTATCCAAGTCCACTGTGGCCAAGTTCATCAAAGAAAGTCACACAGGCAAGGAAAACTTCTGTGAAGGGCATCCATCCAAGCTCACCTCTACTGATAGGAGGGCTATTATTCAACATATCACTACAGGAAAGGCTGATAATGCTGTCCAGGTCACCTATTACATCAATTCCATCATCACATTCCCTGTCTCTTCACACACTGTGAGAAACATTCTCAAGACAGCTCATCTCAGGTCAGTAACAAGGAAGAAAAGGCTCTCCTCTCTATCACACATAAACAGAGATGACTAACCTTTGCCTTAGCCCATCAGAATTGGATTACATGGACTGGAAGCATGTTATATGATCATATAAGACCACAATAAATAGGATTGGGTCAGATGGCAAGGTGTATATGTGAAAAAAGAAGGGTCTAGTCCTCTCTGTTTATGTGTGATAGAGAGGAGAGCCTTTTCTTCCTTGTTACTGACCTGAGATGAGCTGTCTTGAGAATGTTTCTCACAGTGTGTGAAGAGACAGGGAATGTGATGATGGAATTGATGTAATAGGTGACCTGGACAGCATTATCAGCCTTTCCTGTAGTGATATGTTGAATAATAGCCCTCCTATCAGTAGAGGTGAGCTTGGATGGATGCCCTTCACAGAAGTTTTCCTTGCCTGTGTGACTTTCTTTGATGAACTTGGCCACAGTGGACTTGGATACTCCAGTTCTAGAGGAAATTTGACAAGCAGAGAGGCCAGAATAGGAAAGAGAGAGGATATTATCCCTTTGAGCAGGGGGGGTGGCTTTCATGGTGAATATAACCATGACATATGGAAATTTTTGGTTTGTATAGTTAGATATGGTTTTAAAATGACATAATGACACCACTTTATAATTTATTTAATGGTGGCATAATTGTTATGGTGTCATAAATGATGATTTATATAGTTTTAATATGTGCTCAAAAAACTGTCCACATGAGTCATGATTTTGTAAGCCTTGTATCTCCACCATATCTCCTCTGATTCTCACGATGTGGTGCTCAATCCAAAGCCCTGAAGCAGCACTACAATATGGTATCAGCATGTCACTGAGGTCTTTATGTATTCTCACACAATATTGTAAATAGTAAAAAATGCAAAAATATGTGGACAGTTTTTTGAGCCACTGTACCTTCTATATGTTCTTCAATTGACTTGCTGGTGGTGAGTAGCAGTTTGTTTGCTGTTGTTTTTCTGAGACGAGTGTTGCCCACCACTGGGGCTGTTGGGCTTGTGGATCCTGATGGAGCCATATCTGCTTTTGAGGACTGTTTTTGGGTTTTCTGAGGTTAGTTGGGTTTGATGTGAGTAGCTGGGTGGCGCCTTTTGGGCATCAAGAGCACTGTTGAGCGCAGGGCCTCAGTTGGTTTTCCGGGGGTCCTAGTCAGGGTGCCACTTGGAGGGTATGCACCTAGTACTAAGGAGATTGACCAGTACTCCAAGTCAGCCTGAACCGACAAGTATTTAGACTGCACAGATAAGCAGTTTAATCCACCTCAATCTTTCATAACAACACATAAGCACTTCTTCTGCAACAACTGACCACTCAGTGGAAATGGGCAATGTTAGGGTTAAATGCTGTGAATGAGTTTTAATAGGGAATGATGGATCACGTCAGAGCAGTACAAAGGGACCCTTCAGTGGCACATTATAATATGTGTATGAACAAAGTATTATTGAAAAGGGTTATTGTTGACAGCTGCAATGTACTCCACAGTATGTAATGTGCTTCATCTTGCAAAATGTCAAGTTAGATTGCATGAAGGTGTGAATTACAGAACTGTGTTACTTACCTCAGAGTAGGTACATAAACTTGAACCCAAGTATAACAGAGTACTAATCCTCACTTAAATCAATGACCACATGTTCCAACTTAACACATGAGGGCTTCTGGTCTCCACATGAGGATGAGCCAGTGGCTTTGATGGCACACAAATGCTGGAGTTCCAACTTCGAGAAAATTAGTTGAAAGAAAGAACACCACCAAAGTGAAAAGTCACCTCTAATTTTCTGATGTGTATGTCCATTGACTGATCGACTGGGATTGGTGAATTTGACATCCGTGGTACTATATTCATTGCCCACAGGTTGTCTGGGATTGGGGATTGGTGTGAGTTGGGAACACACATAGAAAGTTCACTATGACCCACCCAAAGAAGTATAGTTGAATATGAAGACAGTCACAGGATGGTCATCAAAATCACTTTTGTATGTTGTCTGTTCTTCTTGATCTGGTGCTTCTCTCCCAAAACTTAACCAAATGTCAATTATAGAAAGTGAGGCATGCAACAAAATGATACATACCCGACCTGATGAGAGCAACCTTTCTTCAAGCATTCATGTATCTTATCTTCATGCACACAAAGATTGTGCCCACTTGATTCAGCTGACTTCCTGGCCTTGATGAACATCCCTCTGTGCAACTTCATCACAATTTGACCAATGTCACCAGAATAATTGTTGAGCACTGAGTTGTCATCTGAAGTACAGTGTCAGAGGCAAACTCTGTACATTAGTTTACATGCTGACTGTTAAGAACCATGCTCAAGGGAGAGAGAGACTGACTCAGAGGGGCTTGGCCTCAGCCCATACACTGTGCCCCTTACCCGAGTATGTGCCCTTCATTTCAGAGGAAGTCCAATGATGGTCTGACAAAGTCTGGAGGACTTCTGGAGGCTGGTTACTCTGGTGGAGAGTGTGGGAGGACTTCCGGAGGAGCATGGGAAATGTCTGGAGGAGCATGGGAGAGTTCTGGAGGAATGCAGGAAGTGCTCAGGAGAGTTCCCACTGCATAGTAATACTTCTACAGGAAAACAGGATGGAAGGACAAGATGTCCAGAGGTCCAGAGTATGGAGGACAGGAGGTCCAAAGGTACAGAGGGCAGAACATCCAAAGGTATGGAAGACAGGAGGTCCGGAGGTCCAGAAGGAATAGGGGCTACATTGGATGAAGTCCAATGCAGAAGCAAACAGAGGTAGACTACCCTAAGGTAGAGTCAGAGGGACAGGAAGTGGACCTAAGTCCAGAAAGAGGGTAAGTGCCAGAAAGGCAAGACTCCAGCCTAGGGAAGCAATCCCTAGACTTGGGACAGAGACATAGGGGACAAATCCGAAGGTCCAGAATTCCAGCCTAGGGAGTCCATCCCTAGGCCTTATGGAAAAGGACAAACTCAGATGGACTGAAGTCCAGAAGAAGATTGGGCAAGTCTAAGGTGAGAGAGCAGGAACTAAGATGATATTCAGACTGAGGACTCTACTGTAGTTGTACAGGGGTTATATACTGGAGGCTATCTGAGAGGATCAGTAAGCAAAGGAGTAAGGTTATGTATGAGCATGCGGAAACACATTGGTAAGTAAGATGGAACATGAGTAAATGAACTCGGAGATGAAACTAGTACAAGGATCAATCAGCAAGACAGAAACAGAGATAACCGAGAACCAGAAAGGCGGAGATGCCTAAATGGGGATAGGTGCAGGATCTTGGATAGAGGGTGGGAATAGGTCCGGAGATAGTAACAGTTAATATTCAGAGGTCTGGAGATCTGGGGATCCGGAAGGCAGGGCAGAAACAGGACTGAGATATGTGAGGTGGTGGATGTAGTCCAGAATCCAAGAGGAGGTAAAGTCTGGATGTCTTGCTGGACAGAATGTGCATAGGGTGGACAGGATAGGGGATCCAGGAATGAGTCGGATATGGGGTCTGGAAATAGGTCCAGAAAGCGTGGGAATATGATGGGATCTATGTCTGGCATACAGGATATGACACTGACCAGTAAAGTCAATGTTTATGAACATTAATTCTCTGCTCATTGTTCCGTCAGAAAAAATGCAGTCATATTCCAACATACCTGTCCAGGGCGGGAGCACAACCCATGGAGGACATTCATGACCATCCACAAAGGCAAATGACTTGATACCTGGGTACTGCAGCTCTGAAACCTCCCCCCTGATTTTGAATTTCTTAGGGGGCATGTAAGTTTTTCATTGGGACATAAGTATGATGAATACTATACCTTGCCTGCCTCCAAGGGGATCCAACAAGATATTGCATTCTCTTCCTCCATTCTGGACTCAACTATTTTATATTCCAGTAGTGGCTTGCAGTAGTGGCTTGTTGTCGATGAATACCGAAGCAGAAAATTGACCCAAAATCATGATGTATAGTGGTTAGTTATTTAAGAACCCTGTGAGTGTGAATGATGTAGACCACTAGTTGGATGTATATAGGGACTGCACAAAGGCTACTTATACTGCAAACACTAAGGGTCCTCAGGTATGGATTGGCTGAACAATTATGTGAAGACAGATGCTGAAGGGAGTGGCATCACATAAAGTAGAATGGAGAGAAAAAGGGTACAAAAATTTGAGTGAGCGGCAGTACGAACAGGTCCAGCATCGACAGAATAACGAGAGTCACATAGTGGTACTGACAGATTCTAGAGTGGTGAACTGAGAATGGGGTGACGGTGGCAAGAAAAGGGACTGAGGGTCGTGCGGGTCAGTAATGACAAAGGATAAGCGCTGAAATGGAGGCAGGGACCGTGCTGGTTGACGACGACGGTAAGTTGATGTGGTGGTCGCGGTAAGCGTTGAAACGGAGAAAGAACTGAATCAGTGTGCTAACGCAAATATTGATTACTATACCCAAAATTCGTATCAGGCTTTTACCGAGCATTACAGACAACAGAGGAGCTCAAAGTTAAAACGCCCAACCTAAGGTACGCAAATGTTTAGGTATGAGAGAAGGTTTAGGAATAAGTTATAACATATGAAAAGGTTCAAATATGCTGCAGCGCTAAGGATTAGGGAGACAGATTTCGGCGCTTCGCGTCTAGCTTATCTCATCAGTTCCTTACCAGCCAATGAAAATCGTTCATCATTCATACTCCTGTCTATTAACTAGGTTAGCACTCATCTCAGTCACGAGGTTGGACGTTTTAACTTCAGTCTTTATGTGCCTATAACGACTATACGCCATGGGTCCCAGTCAACACGCACTGAAATCGGCTGTGGATTCCGGACTTCAACACAGAGTTCCAAGTCAGCGTTTCGAGACGAATACGAGGTACGAGGATGCTGACCCCCTTCCTCCAAGGAGGTTCCCGGACATGTTCAACTATCTTCCGATTGAGAGACCGGCCGGAGGAGACTATCCGCTGATGCCTGTAAGCCCATTTCAGTCTCACACACAATTTATATCTCTCACAAGTGTCCTACCACCATGCCTCTTTGGCAGATTTGTTTGGCATCTCATATCAGGTAGTATTAATTCACGCCTGTGCTGTTCTCTAAGAAACCGGGACCCTGGCCTGTATGTATTTATGGTACCAGGTCACATGTACGCACCGCTCATAATCCTACTAGTACCAGCGTTGGAGTCGGATCCATACGTAGTAATATATCATCACACATCCGGGAAATGTGGGGTGCATCCTTCATCGTTCTGTTCTGCAAGATTCCAAGTTTAAGATACACGACGGCTCCCCCACGACTTAAGGTTTTGACTCGGAGGTGCCGACTTCCCGCGAGGCTACACGATTAGAACTCGTAAGCTTCGCGCAGCCGATCAGAAGCCGGTGGCAAAAAGGTACTTGTAAAGCCCGTACATGGAAGAAAGCGAACTTCGAGGAGAGGTCACCTGTTTCCGACGGCCTCGCAAATAATTGAATTCAAATATTGTGGGAAGGGCATGTGTTTTGTGTCCACTTCGAGGCTGCTTTGATTCCCTTTCGGGACATGACCATACAGATACTGTGACAGATGACCCCGCAGAAATGACTCGGATAACAGCACTACAATTGATTAGTTGGAGCTTCAGAATAGCGCTGGTACAACATAAAAGCGAAGATAAGCACCAGATGGCTACGAAAGATACAACATGAATGAGTCCTTGCCTGCGTGCCAAAGACACAACAGAAAAATAGTATAAAAATATGCCAGCGGACGAATGTGAAGAAGTCGAGGTTGTTCTGAAGGGCGTGGCACGGGCCAAAGGACACCATGGAACTACGTGAAGCAGGGGGGTAGGCATAGTGCTACGAGTGGTGGTGAATGCAAAAACAATTACACGAACTTCTTTTTTAGGGTACAGTGTCCGCTGGTGTCTATTCATCCTCTCCGATGTCGGGGAACGCGATTAATTAGTACATGCTCTGTGGTACCATGGGGGCCGAGTTCGTAAGCATGCTCTCCGTCGATATCTGTCGTTCATGCTGGTATATACGCGGGAGAGTTCGTCCCACGGCGCGCACCGACCATGGATAGAGTGTCGTTAGGTCAGGGTTGGCAGGATAGGTGAAACTCTCCGTAGACGTATTTCTACTATGTGAAACAGAACTGTACATTGGAGGGGCAGGCGAGTTAGAGTGGGTAGCTCCCTGAGTAATACAAGTTAGTGAGAATACACACATGACGACCGACATTCAGGACTTACCGGGGTGTAGGAACTTTGTTGAATATAAGTTGTTGGTGCGGTTGTCATGGTCCGCAAATTAGATGTCGAATATGGACCTTCGACTGCACTGTATTCCGGTGCAGCCGTTCTGGCTGATGTAGGAACTGATACAGGGAGTGCAGGTACTGCAACACCTTCGTGATATGTCGGACTCATTGGTGTTGCTGAGTGTGTAGAGAAATCAGGATCACCAATTTGGATTACCCCAGTATAAATCCCTCGACTGGGGTCACCCTCGTCATCACTCGTTTGTTCATGCACCGGTGCAAGACTGCTCATCCATCTTTGTCTCGCTTCAAGGCTTTGGCTGTTGAGCGATCCATCCTCGTGTCCCACAGTACTACTCTCATCGGGACCCTCTACCACCCAGCAACGGCTTGGTACTTTTGGCTTGACCTCTCGAGGACCCACACCAAAAAGACGCCACCATCGCCATAACCGCCGCTCAGGTCGCCGAGAACCCCCAGGTACCGGCCCGTGAGAAGGATCAGAATGATATCCGTTGGTCGGCGGGAAAGAGAATTCGATGGAGTTTCTTAGTGGTGTTTGTGAATCAGTCGAGTCCGACCGAACATACGAGTGAAATCTTCGTATGTGACGCGGAGTGTCCATGGACTCATCCAGCGTAACGGGCATGCTAGTGTGCTGCACTCGACGATGGTATTGAGGCATGAAGATCTTGGAAAACCTCGAGATGGATGCATCTCGAACCCGGCGAAAGTGGTGTGTGAAATGGTGTGACCATCTGTACCACATGAGGTATGCAGCAAAGATGATAATGAGTGCAACGCCAACAATTATCGGGGTTGTTATCTGCATAGCACTCCAATCTGAGTCATTGTCGTTATCACTGCCGTTGGTAGCACGAGACTGTATTGGATGTTTCAGCCTCGCCGCCAGAAACTGACAACGGACACTCACGGAGAGAACCTGATAAGTAGCAAGGTAGGGCAATAATGCGATGGTGTTGTCAAAAAGCTTCCGTTCGTGAATTGATGAGTGCTTACCTGGTGCTGGAGCTGGGCTCGAGACGGGATGAAAACCATGACATCAAATTTGACTCAAAATCGCGAGTGAGAGGGAGAAAGAATGCGGGGATGCAGCGATATTATCTTACAGGATCATGAGCGCCAGCTGCTTACTGACCGCTAGCAAGCATATTTCTGGCACATATTGCTACCGCTGATGTATTTCACGGAATCAAATAATTATTCCGTGCCTTATAGATCAATATTTCGAATAACACTGACAAGTGCCTGATGGGCTCATAATTTACCAACTTACAATAATCATTAATGTAACATTGATCATTGATCAGACTGGAAACACCCTAATCATGTTTTGAAGGACTAGATATCTCGAGGCAGAGGCCAGTACTCAGTCCTTAAGTTACTCGATGTACTAGTACTATTCGAGCTTCACAGCGGCCCTAGCCATATGCTATGACTTAAGCACATGGTGGTGTCGGTCATCTATTAGTTGAACCGGAGTGAATTGTGTTCTATAGCTACGTAAGCGAGAGGAACTAACTTGAGTTTTGAGACACCGCTTTCTTACTTGTTGCCGTGACCACAAATTCGACTACTCGACAACCTATGCTCGTCGTTTTTAATGACTCTTTTGTGCCTGCCACTCCCTCAGGAACCTCGAAGCGCGTCTTGCACCATAATATGTATTAAGATAAGTTTGTTCTGCAACATCAACTCACGCCAATTTGAAACTGTTCGACGACTCTTGACTGTCTATCCTTAGTAGGCTGCTGGTACTCACCCGGCCTGACAGCTTTCGTTATACTTTTCTTAGGTTCGGAACGATGTTTTGGCCAAACACGAGGAACGACTATCTTCCTTCGTTTATAAAGGGCTGTCTAGGAGAGACTAGGTAAACACTCACCTACTCTCAGTTCTTTCGTTATACAGAATCGGATAATTTATGGACTACAGTCTATCTGGCTCCCTTATCGTTTGCAAAACTTGTCTCCACACATAGAATCGCCGGAATGTTCAAATGTCCAAGGATGACACTGCGCGAGAAATGCCTGACAGTGACGTCGGCAAGATTGTTGAACATTTTTGACAACCGATCAACAATTTATTGCGTAAAATCACACAGCAAATGTTGTGACCATTTATCCACTTCAACTTCACAAGCGCAGGGTACACTACTACATCGTCGGATTGTATTTCAAACATTACTATCATGAAGATTGGGAACAATAAAAGGCATGCAAGTAGATCAAATCTCATAATGTCGCCCAATCCAACTCGGATGGGCTTACGGAGATTAATCCGTCATAGCAATTGCAAAATCTGACTTCGTGTCTTTCTCTTCTGTGCTGATGCGGTGCGTGAGACCTGCATGCGCAGCAGCCTTGCCATGAATCTGGGTCACGCCTTCCTCACCATCGAAAATGCTGTAGAGAAGCTGTGAATATAAATTTGCAATCATCATCACTGTAACATACGCGGCAGTTTCCTCGAGAGTGCGCTGACGAGACCTCATTAGCCGATGATCATGTATGAACAATAAAAACGTTATAATCACGTTCTTGGTCTCAACGATGAAGAGGTAGCAGAATACAAGTTCGAAGCACAGCCAGGCGATGTACACCAGCTGACATAGAACATTGGATGAATGGAGACATGTCAGACAGCTCACGTACGTAGTACTTCCACTGCAGACTAAGTGTCGAATTCGATGTCAGCAGATGCAGGGAATAGATTCATATTTGAGACGTACGCTTCAAGGGCAATGGGGTTGACATATCTGCGAATGTGAGTGGACCTTTAAACGGACAAAGAGCTTGAACCATACTGGTTGAAGATCAGAGCCAAAGTCATCATGAAGTTGGCCACCATAAAACCCTTGGCACGGATGGGATACGGGAAAATTTCGATGGGGTATCTTGTAGAATAATTCACGACGAGTCTCACTCCAGAAGTTTACATGACTCACGACGCAAGGAGAGGTGGAAATGCAATCTAATATTACCTGATTTCAGCTAGGATGAAGATGCATCAGTTAGAAAGACGAACGTTGTCTGTATAAACGTGAATAGGTTAATAACACAAGAGTAATAGACTACTCACAAGATGTGTAGAACAGGACTGTATTTGAAAATTCGAGAACTTGTCAGCTCCGGACGTAATCAGCTCCTATGCACTACTCACAAATGAAACCAACGACTGCATTGCCAGCCGCGATGCTACCGGTGCTTTGGTGGATGGAGAAGCAGATCGTCTGCGCGGTCCAGAAGACGACCATACCTAACAGCTTAAATCAGCCAGTTATATTTATATGCTCGAGGACCATGGCTGACCGGTGCAAGATATGAGGAGCAGTGGCCGTCGACCCACACGGGTACAGTTAAAGCCAGCAATGATGGTAACAAAGAAGTTGTAGGTATTGAGGGAACCGTTCTAGAAATTTTCGTGAACGAGCGAGCATTACGCACTTCTTCTAAACCTACAAGCAGCAACTGGGTTTTCGGGTTCGTAACTACACAGGAATGATCACTTGGCCTGTATGTGTCAAGCCACGACTCACTTACTTCCAATTGCAATGAGAACCTTGTTCAAATCTGTCGATCCAACCATGAGCATTCACGCCGTGCATCAATGAAGCTAACTTACAGTAAGCGCTGAAAATCAACGAGTGTCAGAATCATGTCTCTTACGAGATAGCATTCGAACCTACATCAAACCATTCCCAGACCACTGAGAGAAGACAACAATCGCGATGGCAAGACGCAAACGCTTTCGGTTTCCAGGAGTTTTGATCAAACTCAGCCAGCCAACATTACCAGCTACTTCCCGATCAAAAGCAATGGCAGCCTTGATTTCTTCCAATTCGTACTGCACAAGAGGATCTTGTCTGCACGATAGGCTTAATTTACGCGCTGATACCACAAGGAAATGAATCACACTCACGCATTGCCATTTGCATGATAGTAAGCGAGAACCTGGAGGGCACGCTCCTCCCTTTACACACATCAGACCTGTTACATTTCGAGGAGAGACATACTCACTTTCCCTTGCTCACGAGCCAACGTGGTGACTCGGGGACGAACCAGATCAATAAGACTTGTATCATAGATGAAACGCCTTGGAGTGCAGAAGGAATTCTCCAAGCCCAACTGCTCTGGATGGTGAATGTGCCGTAAGTCTACGAAGAGTATCACTTTAGTTTTTTTTTGGCTTCGAATGTCAAAAACTAACACTCCATGCCGCACTAAGCGGTGACAACTGGTGAGCTGGCATGAAAGCGAAATCTGTGTTGCGAAGAACTTACACGATGCTCCCAAGGAACCTGAAGGATGATGAGAATACATCCGAGCGAAAATACCAGAACAGCTTACCATAATGAGACATACATTGAACTTGCCTGATTGCGGTGAGAAGGGTATGCAACCTCATGGACAAGGAGTGGAGCAGCAGAGGCAGCGAATGTCTGACCGAAACCGATTAAGAAACTGCGGAAATAAGTCAGCAGTGACTTTTGCGAGCTATTTGCTGCCTACCGTGCTCCAATAAACATCTGCACAGAATTACTAGCAGTCTGGATCACGGTGGCGACAACCATCACACTTGCACCAAATGTAATCGAGAAGCGCCGACCCATGCCATCAGACATGTAAGGCGCAAACGGGTAAGCACATAAGGTCCCAATGTTCTAAAGTCATCCTGCAGTTAGCCAATCTCGTCGATCGCTATCATTAAGATTAGCTTACTTGAATAGCATTGAGCAATCCAAGCTTGCCAGCAGATGAGTACGGTTTAATCAACGTAAAGCAGTAGACACACCTTCCCACCAGCAGGATTACCAAACGCTTGATTCCACTGCGTCAAAGATTGCAGACCGTCTGTTCCGCGTTTAGAATGTCGTCTTGAAAATCACAGTCACGTACTCATCATGCTACCTAAATGCTTTATGGAAGGCTTGTCAATAACTCAAGACATGGAACTCACCGTCAAAGCCATATGTGTAGGACGTAACAAACCTGTCAGGGTTAAGCTAATTGAGTGTACATTAGTATGTGTTCTGGAACTTGCATGATACTGATCCAGAAGTTCAGTATGATAAGGCCTATTGTGTTATCAGTACTTTCATTCTCTATTCATACTCCTTTGAGGAACGTACGCCTGTTCCTGTACCATGGCCTCGAATCAATAAGGTGAGTGTAGGCAGCAGAGCCTTCGGTGATGACAGTGGGACTAGCACCCATGGTTCGTTGTCAAGTCGAGGGAGTGCAACGAGACGACGATTAAATAGTGATCTGGTCGTATGTTTTAGGTCCCTTGACACCCTTGACATCCCTGACATCCAGAATGAGCGCTCTAACGCTTGAGCGATCAGGTGGTGAGCACGATAATAACGAAACAACGCGTGCAGCATGTTCAAGCCAGAGAACTCAGAGCTCTGGTATGGCGAGGATTGACCTGCTCTCTTGCTCCCCGGTGTTGTCGATCCGCCAAAAACGAAACTTAGGAGAGGACTGACAGATAAGTCGACAAACGTTGACTGTCGCGTCGGCGTAAACTATTCGGCGGTCGGGCCGGCAACGTATGGAGTCATTTGGTGGCTGGATGGCAAGCTATCCCAATCTCGCAGTCTCGAGAGGGCACAAAACTTTGTTCTCCGCGTGCCTCGCCGTGGCGTTTGCATGTCCGTGAGATTGATCCAAAACCGACCACATTCGTAATTGGTCGTAAAGCATCACTATTGACATGAAGATGAAGATTGGGAAGGATGAGAATGGGGGACAAGTAGATCAAATCCTTGGTGATGTTACCCATTCCGCCTCATATGTGCCGAGTCTGTCAGGAACAGGTTGCTTAATTCGTAGCGACTTCAGACTGCAATTTCGTCTCTTTCTCTTTGATGTCGTCCACACGGTGCATGGGGCCTGCATGTGCGGCAGTCTGGCCCATTCCTTCCTGACCATCGAAGATGCTGAGGAAGAAGTTGTGAGTAGAGAAACGTAGTCGTGATCAGAGTGACGTACGCAGCAGTTTCTTCGAGAGTGCGCCAATTGATAACAAAAACGAGCGGACGACCTATAGATCCCATCATGTTCAGGTCAGAAAATCCAGAGCTTCGGTATAGCAAACTCAGGCTATTTAACAAAAAGACAGACGGAGTAATTGTGACATACTTTGCAATGTAACAGACTGTGACAAAGTTGAAACCAACCCCGTCAAGATGCGATATAACAGGAGATAACACGAAACTCTCACCGTCGTTGGTGTATCATAGAATCATCTAGTCGAGGTCGACCGTCGCGCAGCGGTGTTGACTTGGTAATTTGGCACTTGTAACTTCCGAGTCAGGGATGGCAATAACCTCATTTCCCCTACGAACGTCCAGAGACTTTCACACTTTCGAAGTGTTTTGTCCCTATAACATGATACTTACATGATCTGCAAGGAAATATCCTGGGGAGAAGCTCATGTTCCACAGACCACACGAACATTTGATGTCCTATTCAGTCTCGGTGCTCGAGAAACTTAACACAGCCAGAACCTCAATGATCAGGGGGCCTCAAATCTAACTCAAAATCTGGCTTACTGTAAGCGCTGTCCTGCGGAACGAGTACGAGCACTCAGAGTCAGTGAAACGAGATTTACATAAAAAGATCTTACCAAACACTGCTAGTGTTGATGTAAATATCGCATAATTATTTACGTAATCATATAATAGCTTCCTCGACGCTTGAGATGTCCGACATTCATCCCTATGCTGGTACTGTGGCACCAGGTGAACAGCTTTACTGTGAACTCATTTAACAGCGGTTTGAAAGCCGCTGTCCCAACGCTACAGTACCAATATCTGTGTTATAATCCTACTAATCTGTTCAAACTCCCATCACGCCATACTTCTCGTCGCACACTTGGTCAGTCAATTGTCTCGACCTACCTAGCTGTGTCTGCGTGAACCTGCGTGAACTCGAATGGTTGGAGCGGGTCAGGGCTCTGAAGGAACACCTTGTCAAGTCCGATGACATGGCACTATTCGCGATCCGGCAGGACATTTTGTTCCTCCCCTCCATTTCTGAGTCGATGGTTCTTGACCATTGTGGCGCTGCTACATGTGCACCCTCTTCCCAGACCAGCACTATCATATTCACAGGCCTGGATAATGAACAACAGCTGAGATTTATTTCTGTTCCATTCTCTGGTCTGCGACGAATTTGTATCAGGCGCCAGGGGTCCAGCCATGTGGTTGTGGTAAGTCGCTTTATGAGGTTCTAGCTTTCTTTAGATCATTCCGTGGCTGTAGTAATGGTGGTGTAGGGGAGGGGGTGATCTTCATTCCAGAACTACATGTGTCTAGAACCACACACGCCAATTGAAGTTGGACAGTACCGTGCAGTGAGGCCAATTCTAGCGTCATGCGCCATTCTGACACAATGTCTTTTTGTGCTCGGCAGTGCATCGACGCGTGCTCTTCGAGCAAGGATCTGCATGTCTCCGCGTATTGAAAAAACTGTACCTAACCGATGATGCCTTTCTTGTCGGCTGTCTCAAGCAAGCTTGACATGTTGCGCTCCGATGACCCGTTGTTGGTGAATATACACATAACGATATCCTCATGATCTTTGTGACCATATTTCATCTCGGATCTAGAATAACCAATCTAGACCCCGTGGAAGATCACGGGTTCCGCAACCCTACAGGCCACACATTAGTACTAGGGTCAGGAACAAGTCAAGTGCGGACCGAAGTTAGGTGGAAGAGATGGCAAGCCGTTCCAGCCTCGTGTTTTTGAGGTGTGATATGAACTTAGTTCACCAGTGGTCACGGTGGCGTTCGCATACCCGCGGGATCGATCCCAGGACTGATCACTGCCATATCTGTTGGCTGTTGCCAAGTGTCTCAGTGGTATGGCTGGACAATACCCCTCATTTAGAACCCTTTCCTACTGATTCTTCTCCGCAGCCGTTACATCAATTTAATCCCCCACGGAGCTGTTCTCGAGGTCTTCCAGGTCCCCAAATGACCAGCTGGCAACTGGGCCGGTGACCTTTGGAGTCCGTGTTTCCAATAATCCCAATGTAGTGCGCTTAGTCACACTTTTTTCCACGGGCCCTCTATTACTTACATGCTTTCGGTTTTCAATACGCATGCCATGGCACCCTTGGCGATAATCACCGTCCAGCCTCGTGTGAGTACGTTCTGAGCTCATTAAGTATATTACCAGCACGGGCTCTTTGCTTCTTACCTTCATCATCCGCCATCAATCATGGCGCCGCCGCCTCCACCGCCCATGTGCTTTCCTTTCACAAATCGCTCACGAACTCGCGAAGCCAGCCCTCTCATAATCCGTACAGACTCGGAAAAATCTTATGCGTCGTCTCAGATGTCCGAGAGCCGTTCCAATCGTTCTGAGCGGTCCGACAACAATTCCCATCGTTCGTCTCAGAAGTCTGACAACCATTCCAATCGTTCGAAACGATCGCATAATTCCACACGCTTGCAAAATAAGCTCGTCCGCTCCGGGTCTTATTCCACCACACGGACCCTCGCATCGGACGTAGAGAAGCTATCTTTTGATTCGGATTCAGAAGTTTACGATGTCCCTACACTTGCTGACGAGAGCCGCACCAAGTTGTCGCAACTCTCTCCCAATGACAGCAAGTCGGCTCTGACCAGGGTCGATTCGAAGAAATCTACGAAGTGGGGATATGGGTGGGGGATGGGAAAAGCCAAGGAGAGGGAAAGAGAGATGCTGGAACGATCGCCCTCTGTCGATTCGGAAAGACCTCCGCTTTACAAATCGCCTACTCGTACCTCCTCCAGGTCGAGCGGCAGTAAACGCCCACCCTTCTACTCGAATGACTCTGCGAGCACGCTTGTTGGGTCTGCTTATGAACGCAAGATCAATGACGTCGAATCCGTCAAGGAGAAGGTTGACACGACAGAAAGATTGGAGGAGATCAGGAGGTTGATGGCCAAGGAGAAACTCGATTACTAGTGAGCAAAGCCAACCCCTACGTTTCTTCAGGCTGACATTCCTACTTCAGCGTCGTACCCAGCGAGGACCCCCACCAGTCCGAGTACGTCGCAGCGAGTGACAAACGTAGGTCATGGATTTCTGGGTGAGTTATTTGTCTTGGCCGTCCGACTTTGGATCTTACGTGATTGTCAGGTTTACTGGAAGTGCGGGCCAAGCTATTATTTCGAAGACGGCCGCTTACTTAGTAACCGACTCGCGCTACTGGTTGCAAGCTCGTGATGAACTTGACTCAAACTGGCACTTGATACCTGGTGGGGCCGTGGATGGCCCCAAAGATTGGATTGATTGGTTGGTTGTGCGTGTCATTAACTTATTTCCGCGGCTTTTCCTTAGAGAGTTGTGTTATATCAGGATCGTGCCAAGGATTCGAAGATTGGTATAGACGCGCGCATGATCTCCCACGAGAAGGCTACCTTATTGAACACACAACTCAACCTGAAGAACTCGAAGCTCAACTATCCTCCCCAGAATTTCATTGACATGGTTTGGAAAGAAAAGCCCCTGCGATCCAAGGAGCCCGTTTTTATCCAGTCTCTTGAATTTACGGGCAGAGAAGCTAGCACAAAAATCGCAGAGGTTCGCGCTTGGATCCAGGCTCAACCTCCGGCCGTCCCTTCATACTCCAAAGCAACTCCGACTCCTGCACAAATGCACATTGGCACATTGATTACTTCTTTATCTTCAATTGGTGCGTCCAATTTCCACCGATATCACTTGAGGACAGATTTACAGAGATCACTCTTAGCTTGGCTTCTTAACTTACGTGGCTCCGATATCCCTTTTAATCCTCTGTTCTACGCCTACCTGTTTATTTCTCTTGATAGGGTTGTCCTATTCTTAGATCCCGTCAAGCTTACTGATGAAGTGGAGGATCATCTACGTGTCCTCAACATCGAGCGGAAGGAATACAACGACATTTGGGCTTTCCTCCGCCGGCGAGAATGGGGCGAGGGCAAAGTCCTTATCTCTCCAGAAACCTCCTACGCGATCTCCCTAATGCTGACGCATTTCCGTTACACCGTCATGCCATCCTTTATTGACAACATCAAGGCCATCAAGAATGAAGTAGAACTTGAAGGCTTGAGGCGTGCCTACCTTCGCGATGGTGCTGCATATGTGTGTATCCTCGGTTGATAGTTTTGATTCCCACCTCATGCTCTCTCGTTTAGGTTAGATGGCTTGCATGGCTGGAGCACAAGATCCAACAAGGATACGACATTACGGAGTATGAAGCAGCATGGCGTCTCACAGAGTACAGGAGGCAAAACAAGCACTATTGGGGTCTTGCATACGAGAACATCTCTGCAAGCGGGCCTAACGCGGGTAGGCAGCTTCCACAGCATGGTAATTCATATCGTTTATATTTCGGATCTTGCAGCTCTTCCTCACTATTCGCCTACGAAATCTGGCGCCCGGATGATTGATCGAGACACCCCTTACCTTAAGTGAGCATCAAGAATCCCATCAAAGTTCGTGACCATTAACTTCGTTTACCCCAGTGATTCTGGAGGCCAATACCGTGATGGCACCTGTGACACGACGCGTACAGTTCATTTTGGAAGGCCATCAGTAGACCAATCAGAAGCCTACACCCGCGTTTTGCAGGGTCATGTACGTCACCGGCGGTTATATCAGTCTCCGCACTTCCTCACCTCATAATCTCAGATTGCCATCGATAGCGCAGTATTCCCGGAGGGCACCACCGGCTCCCAACTTGACGTTCTCGCTCGACGAGCACTATGGAAGGACGGACTTAATTACATGGTATGTTGCTTCCTTGACGTATACTTGACCATCACCTGATACGTGATTTTGGACATAGCACGGCACAGGCCACGGTTTTGGCTCGTTCTTAAACGTTCATGAAGGCCCACACGGATTCTCCAGCAGCGTTGCTCTTGTTCCTGGACACGTCATAACAAACGAGCCTGGTTTCTGTGAGTTGCAAGCCGAAATTCCCCCGTCGTGACTCATCATGGTGTGAATTATAGATCTTGAAGGCCGATGGGGGATGCGCATTGAATCTGCGTTGGCTATTCGCAGAGTCAAGGTACGTTGATCCCGCATCACCACACCACTATGGCATCTCACGGTATCTGCCACCAGACGAAAGGCGAATTTAACGGCGACGTGTGGCTTGGGTTCGAACGTCTCACGTGTGTTCCGATTCAGACGCGGATGGTCAAAGAAAGCATGCTAACCAAGGAAGAGAAGCAATGGTTGAAAGTAAGCGATCAGTGATCCTTCACCTGCGGAATCTTAGGTTATCTAACGTGCCCGTTATCGCAGGATCACAACAAGAAGTGCCTAGAAAGACTCGAACTACCCCTCAAAGATGACAAGCGTGCTCTCAAGTGGCTGAAACGCGAATCTGACAGAGGTATTGGTATCGCTGCTCCTGGCCCGGGCGGAATTACCATTGATTGGGACTAAATGTGGACCTGCATCCAATTCTTTATCGACCTTGGCCACATCCTCCGTTACTGCGAAACCCTCTCCCTGCGTATATGTTCCTCTTCCTCCACTCTCCGTAATATTATACCTTACTTGACGACTAACTAAGGAAACGTTGCAGGACGTCCCTTAAAGCGATACACGCACGACATATTCCAGAATGATAGACGAAATTCAAACGTTAATATTGCGATTTGCGCACCTTTATGCGTGTCATTGTACATACGTACTTACCTTCTAGGATGGTCTAGATACCCTTTTATCGTTGAACTTTTTGGTTGTCTGCAGGACACAGTTCAAGTTGTACTTAAGAATGGAATGGATTGCATGACATATGACGAAAATGATACATGACAACGTACAATACGAACAGGCTAACGCCTGTTCGTTTTTCCAGCTTTCCGTTTGCCAGCAAAAAGATGTTTTGGCTGAGGAAGTGATCAACAACAGAGTCAAGATGTGTTCACGATCACGCACCATTTTAGTTTGAATAACACGATCAGCCTCTCCAGCTTTAGCCAACCGGTTGCGTTCACGCTGTCCGAGGTTCCGTAGCTTGACGGCCTTGGATGCTTGCTAAAACAAAGATATTCAGGGAGTTATTCATCCAGATAAAGATAAAACAAACCTGCTGATCACGCATACCAGCAAATTGACGATTTGATTTCGGCGCTCGCGGGTGCTTGGCGATAACTGCACCCGAGTTAACCTTGACTCGTTTATTCGGCGTCTGCTCCTCGCCATCAACATCCATCCAGTCACCTTCTTCACCTTCACTTGCATCACCGTCACCATCCTCCATATCAACATCCATGTCTGCTTCAGCTCGTTTCCGCTTAGCGCCTTGGGCTTTGGCTATTATCCCCGCTCTTGCCTCTATGCTGCTTGGATCATAACCTGCTTTCTTGAGCTCAGTAGTGAGCTCGGACAGCGTGCGGAGGCCTGCTGTGCGTGGTAATCGAGACTGGTTCTTCATGGCTTTTTTGACGTTCTGTGAATGTATTTTGTGCCCAAGAGCTTTTTTAGCCTCGATTGCTTCACGCTCGTCTTCGGAGTCGAAGATATCCTCGTCACTGTCGTAAAAGCCCTCGGCCTCGAGTTTCTCTTCCTCACGTTCAAGTGCCTCAAGTTTCTCGGCGATATCGGGGTCGATGAAGTCGGCAACGTTCTTGCCGTTCATGATTTCGGGCATAACATCCATCTTCCACTCAGGATTTGCGAGGATGTAATCCTCTGTGTGACGCGTCAGGAGGCACATGAAATATACAGAGAAGAGCTTACGCTTAATGTTGATGTTGAAAACACCAGCACCACCCTCTTCCAACTCCGCGTCTCGCAAAAGTTTCTTCCTGTCGGGATCATCTCTATCGTACTTCTTCCGCTCTTTGATGACATCCGGTATGAATGGCGCACGGACAACGTCGTCCCGAGCTTTCGGCTGTGCCACATGTATACGGTTGATCACAGAGTTAATTTTGGTGCCTTTCAGTTTCGAGTCGACGCGGTGTGCTAGAAGAGCGTCGCATGCCTTGTTCTTGAGATCCATGACCCCCTCATCAGAATAACATGACACCTGGATACATTGGACGTCCTCAGCGTCAATGATTTCTTGGACGAGGGCGCGATTCTCAGACGCAAGGTCATCAAGGCAAGTCACGTCGATTTTGTTGATGACAAGCATCGTCGGCTTGCCATTAAATAGAGGCTTGATAGAATGGAACAGTTTACACTGCAGGTAAAAATTGGCATGCGATCCAGACACAATGCATGCTGCAATACGCACTTGAGCTTCCACAGTGTAACCACACTGTTCACTTAGGTCCATAAAATACAACACGCAGCTCTTGAGGTGTGCAAGAGCCGTAATACTCTGCATTTCAATCGTGTTCATCTCCTCCAGCGGATGATCTAAAATCCCAGGGGTATCGATTACCTGCCACCTCAGGTACTTGTAATCTAGATGGCCAACAAAAAGGGACTTGGTTGTAAAAGCATATGGCTGGACATCAACGTCCGCACGCGTAACCTTGTTGATAAATGACGACTTCCCGACATTTGGGTAGCCGCAAATGAGTAGGGTTCGGGTGTTAGGGTCAATGGCGGGAAGACGGGAAATGTGTTGGCGAACTTGCTCGAGGTAGGCAAGAGGATCTTTCTGTCTGCGCATGATAGTGGCCATACGACCCAGCGCTGCCCTTTTAAGTTGCTTGCAGCGGTATAAACTGTCACCGAACTTAAGAAGACGGACGTAATCTTTGGCAACCTGATCGATAAGATGTCGACAAGTGCGAAGTTGGCCTAAAGCAAGTTTGTAGTGATTTTTGTCGTACAATACATTCATGAGTGATGCCAGGAAAGGGTGCAAGTCCTGCCTCAGGTTTGTAAAATTTAAACCCCCCAGGAGAGCTTGAGCAAACTCACGTCAAGTAGGGGGAACTCTGATAATATGGCTCCTAGTTTTTCATCGAAAGTGTCTTGCGTGAATTTGACTTTGCGCATGTAAAAATTACGGATGCGACTGATCTTGAAGTTTTTGTGGATTACCTGGAGCATTGAGATGATTAGATTGCTCTGGATGATACTCTCAAACGACTCACTGTAGGTGTCTTCCGCTGAGTCTTGGACAGGACAATGTCCAAGAAATCTGCCGCGGTGGGCACAGGGGCAATCGCCTTCAGCCCGCTGGTCGACATTTTGGAGATATAATACTATGAAAATGAGTATTTCGACCAAGTCGATGATCCTAGCTCCAAAGTTTTTGTATATTCCCACGGTCCTCATGTACCTACCTATCACTTGGTAAATGAACTCGCGCATGCTCAGTACTTATGCACTTCAGTGGCTAGTAGTCTGAGGATCGTCTTACCGACCGGTCTTTTTGCACATAGTTGTGCAGAACTCGTGCTTCGGCGAGGGAGCCCACATCAAAGCAGGTCTCTTACATATAGAAGGAATGACTTGCGTCTGCTACTGATCAGATACTATCTAACTTATGGTTACTGCCCGCCGCAGTCACGGTAATCCTTCTAAATTTTGGTGCTTAAGCGCTCACATATCAGAGTGATAGTATTACATATATATATGGTCAATGCAATTGTACAATATAGACTTTGTATATACTTGCATACGAGTCTAAGCCTAGTACGTATGCGCAATTGCAAGCGCGAAAGGATCTTCTGTCACCATCGTCACGGCGGGATCAGCCAGAAAACCTACATCCCACTCCACTTCAGTGGACGGGTGCTCGGTAATTTTCCCCTCAGAATCCATCCTGTGAGAAATTCGCTCGCATACTTGTTCTGCTGTTGGTCGTTCTTTCGGTCTATGTTTCCACAGGGTTTCTATGAGACTCCACATAAAGTCGTCTAACATTTGGTGGGCCTCATGTGGCCGCTCTGGCCGCTGTCCCCCAAGTATTGAGGGCTTGGGATCCCGGTTTTTAAATGGGCGCATCCCGGTAAACATCTGCAAATTTTGTCGTAGATCAAGATGAATGGACTAATTTTTTTCCTACCTCATAACAGACGCAAGCCAATGCATACATGTCGCACCGCCTTCTGTCCAAATTCTGGATATCAGCTGCACTTTCTGCCGCTAGAAGTTCTGGAGCCATAAAATGAAGTGTCCCCACGACGCCGGATGCTGTTGTGGTCATTTGAATACGAGAGTCTCGAGCAGTTACAATTCCAAAATCCGCTATGCATGCACGCCCGGAAGATGTTATCAGGATATTGTCCTACAAATTTAAAGCTTGAACTCTCCGGAATCACAGGTGGGCGCATACACTTACGCCTTTCAGATCGCCATGACTCACTGCTGGCTCCATTGAGTGCAGGTACCCCAGGCCACGTGCAACATCCAGGATCTCCACTACCATAAGCTGGATCTCTTGGTATGAAATAAAGCTGTACTTACCAGCGGATACCTGTCAGCATCGGGATGCTCCTTAAGATAGTGATTAACATGACCGTCTGCCATCCAGGGGGATACGAGACACCAGGTCTTCTCAGCGTCATTAAGGACGTATACGCCGTAAAACGGAAGACAATTTGCATGTCGTACATAGTACCAGGTTACCGCTTCGTTAGAAAATGCCTACAAGACATAACAACATGTGAACTTGTGTCATCGTCTGAATCGAAATTACTGACTTTATGAAATTGTTCTTGGGAACGTTTACCTTCTAGCACCTTTTTTACGGCAACAAGGCGGCCGTTTAGCTGACCCTGATAGATCAGGCCAAAGCCGCCATGAAATTCGGTATGTTTTAAGTCCTGAATGCCACAAAGTTGCAAACTCTGTGGGAACCGTCCAGATTTCCTTGACAGTTTGAACACAGCATTCACCAGATACCTTCTATATTTTTCCAGAATTTCAGACCGAGTCGTAAGTAGCTATTACGAATGTCAAAAAGCGACTGTGGGGCCTTAAGTTAGCGCTTACATTTTGTAGTATCTCGACCATGAACTGTGCGTTGTCATCGGCGTAGAAAGCGCGGGCACGCTCACTCGATGTTGTGTGCTCGACAATCAACGCTCCTATGTTGTTGATGTCGAGGTGGTGCAATTTCTTTTCGTTGATCAGGCCAGTATTGCAAATGTGCTTCTCGACTTGTGACTGTTCATACCGTTTAGTAGATTCCTCACTGACCAAAGCCTTGCACACCATCTGTAGAATGCGAACAAGCCCATCCTTCATAGTCTTTAAACTCGAAAGATAGGCATCGCCTTCTCCTATCAACCACGTCTTCAGGTCTTCGAGGTCGGCGATAAGACTGATGTTGCGTATGAGAATTCAAACCACTGATTCAAAAATACGACCCCGATCCTTTGTTTCTCTGGAGCGCACAGTTGAAGATGAGTGAAGGTGTACGCATACAACGCCTGATGGCAGCGCAAATCACGACACCGACTGACTGTTGCAACGCTGATGGACTCACCCCAAGGACAGGCAGGGTCTCAACACCCTCGCTGCATGCTTGTCTCAGCTTATCCGGACAAGGCGGTAAACGCATCCACGATGTCTTGGATCTCCAATTGGAATGTTTCGCGTTCCGGTCGAGTGATGACAGAAGCTGGCTGGGTACTTTCTCTGGCTTGCCATTCTCCAAACAACATCTCGGGTGCATTTCGGTTGGACTGCCCGAGCTGCAATGGTTTGTTGTGGAGTTCTCGTACATGGTGTGGCATCTCGTAGCGTTCGAGGACCACACCGCAATGCACGCATTTCACCTTCGGCATGGTTGCGATAACTGTTGATCTCTCAAGTCGACAAGGCGTTGAAGATCTTGGTTATCACAAAGGATCAAAATCATCACCATCGGAAGATGTAAAGGCGTACCATACACTGAAACTGCTTATCAGGCAAGTAAAAGATACGGTGTGGGAGTGGCAGCTAAAGTGGACTCCAGCTGGCGCTAAATGCGTGTGCAAATTCATCTATGCCATCGGACCGACCCTTTTACTTGGGAGACAACCGAATAAAATTCTATATGCAACAAAGCTGAGAGATGTGCAGGTGTGACAATGATGGACGGGATATCAATAGATGAAGTTTGTAAAATAGTCAGCAAGAAAGGAGAGATCATCAGGTATCATTAGTCGGCAGGGAAGTGTCAGGTTGGAAGGTAGTCAGATAAACATAGTGCTATGTCAATATCCTCAGCAGAAAGTGTTAACCAGGAGGGAATTACGCGAGACCAGTCTTTGCGATATGTGATCGGATAATAGCCTCTCCCACTGACGTATCTGTTATGAGCGTTTGGGTGAGGGGCAGATGTCTATCAAAACGTACCGTTGACTATGATGTCCTGCGTTGCCCGGATATCCTGTATTTATATTTAATTAGGTCTCGTGCAAACCTCGAATGACGGGAAAACTCACCAGCATAGAGGTGAAGTGCTGGGTGGCGACACAATTATTAGTGAACAAGGTGACTAGAAGAGTCTACACATACAACATACAACGCTCGACGGCTGATATCATGGCGCCTATGAACTTGAATAAAGTGTGCCCTGAAATATTCTGACACATCGGCGTAGGTGTTTGGGCGGTCGCCGTATGATGTGATACTATCGCCGAGCTGTGAGCACAGCCAACCAACAATTGATCACCAAATCTCACTATTTCCGCACTTTGACCCCAGCTTCTAGTTTCTTCCTTAGCAAATCAGTCTGCGCACAGTCATGTCACATTGGTCACATGGTCGAAACTGTAAAGAATAATGCAAACCTTGTTAAGCATCAGAACCAAATGCGAGTTCTTCAGGAGTTTGTTTGAGCATATGGCTGTGAATAGCTGCAACGAGTCGTCCACTCTATTTGTCCGCGGATCTTCTTCAAGATACTATTTCGGGTACAATGAATAGGAGCACAAGGGGAAAATACACAAAGACATACTTGATCAAATGCACTGATTGGCGCCAAAAAGATGATTGCAGTTGCTAATAAGAGGCCCAGAAACACGGTCTGTTAGTAAACATTCCTTATTGCGGACCATGAATTTGTCTCCGCGGCGCCCGTGTCCACAGGCGCCAAATGCAACACGATCAGAGCAAAACACCCACCATCGTCAAAGTATGGTACCCATGCGTGGCGCTGATGCGATGGTTCGGAGTCAGACGGGGGATCTGTTTAGATCATTAAATATCATGAACTCGCCTGGCCACGCTAAAAATGAATGTAGCGCCTTGTTGAGCCAAACAGTAAAACAGGAAAAACGGGCACACACGTACAGCTCCGCCGACGTCGTACATCAACCAATTATATCTAGAGCCACATAGTTCTATATCGAAAGAATGCTCAGCCACACCGAGCGTCTGTAGTCTGACATTGAGAAGATCGGCTAGATCAGACATATATTCAATATTTGCAAATAATTTCAGAACAAGTATGCACTTTACCCGTTGACGGAAGATAATCGGGCTGCGCGACGCGTTTGATGCTATCCAGGAAGCTGCAACGACAGTCAACAAACAATACCCAAGGCACAAATGGTTCGTCATACAATGGTGCAGACTCATCAAGCCTGATTCGTCTGTTGTTGACGAGTATCCGAACGGCCGGGTGCTTCCAGAGCTCATCTACATCGTTTTGAACAGAAATGAGGGTCCTCGAAGCCAGGCTGGTCACCTGAGCAACAGCGGGAGAAAGTCCGCCAGTACCAGGAAGTGCACGACTCCGGTTCGGCGATAAAGGGGTGACAAGGGCCTGCCATCCTGCACGAACATATACACCAGTTCGGCCACCGGTCACAGCGACTCCACCGCTGAGTTCGGATGCCAGTGAATCCTCCATTGCAACCAGAGGCACTAACTTAGTACGTAGTCTGGAGAATTCTTCACTCAGGTCACCTAAGGGGGCTAAGGAATGTGCAACAGCTTGACCCTCCACCGAATCATCAATCGAAAGGTTGTTGAGTTCATGGTCCAGTTCGTCTAGAATCATTCGAACAGCCTTGAGGATGTTGAAATACACAACTGGACGCCATAGGGGACGTTCATGATCGAGGGCATGATGAGCGTAGTACAGCTGGAATTGCTTTTGGAGTGTTGATTTCCCGGATTCTGCCTGGCCAAGAAGCATGACTGCATACGTTTAAGTCAACTTGAAGTGGGTAGTGCTCCTCAGCGACAGAACGCACCCTTGACTTGTCTTCTCTGAGCATCCTTGCGCCGCACCCAGTCTCTCTGCAGATCTCGATGACCAAGAGTTCCTAGTTAATTAGAGGAAAATGAAGTACAGACCTTGAGCTCCTCATCAATTTTCTGACTGACTCTGGCAGCCTCTTCATCATAGAACTGGTATTCCTTGTCAATGTTGGTGGGATCGAAGGTCTGCATTAGAATTGGTTCAGAAGTGGAATGGGCATGACCTGGTCGTTTGGTCATTCTTCGGTTTGGGTACTTTCAACTTGAGATACGAACGATAGAGTAGAAGGTCGATTGCGGCATGCCTGACAGGGCTAATATCCCACGTATGTACACTGTACAGGAATTTGGGTAACGAAGATCAAAGTACTTTCAGCCCCATCAAACTATCGTTGTTTAGTAGGTAAGCTACGAAACTCGAAATCAAAGCATGTTGCAGCAACCGTAACGTATGTCCTTTATTCCCTTTTACATCTTGACAGCTGACTTTTTAATTCCATCTTTCGAGGGAACTCGCTCTCGTGGCTCGAATCGATCATCTCCGAGACCACGGGTAATCACCGAGGCTATGCACCTCACATCATGATGTTGCAGTAGTTTTTTCCGACGGAGTCGAAGCGTCCCATAAGTCCTTGACACAGGAGGTTAGTGCTTCAGCTCCACCCGGCGGCCATCACCGACTAACAGTGGCAACCGCAGACTCGGAAACGCGGATGAACGATCTCCATAATGATACCTATTCAGCTTACAGCACACAGCCTCAGTGACTCGACGCTTGAGCGGCATCTCTAGATCCAAACATCCGAGTTTCGCATGTATCCATGTGTTTATTGTTGTTCTCTGTGCCTTCAAGGGCGCCGTCTGTGCAACTTGAACATGTGTAGCACGGAACGTTTATCTAAGGGGCATCAATCACCTATCGCATACTATACAAAACACCACATTGTGAGTATCAACTTTATTTGTCACACGCAACACACTGCCGGAAGAATTTCGATGCTAAAAACAGTGGTATATACTACCAAGGAACGTGGAAGTTGGAAAGTTCTGTCCGTCCGGTCCGTCCGTTCTGTACGTCCTGTTCTCTCTGTCCCCATCGTCCGACAAACCGTGATCACACTGAAATGTGCTGCTGATCGTCTTACAGGTATCTTTGACCTAACGCTAGATATCATGACCACGTTTGCCGCGTTAGCAACAGGCCTCAAGGACATATCTCTCGTGAGGCTGTACCGCCCGGTGATGCCCAAAGCTGGCCCAAATCCTGAGGCGTTCCGGATAGCCGAATTAGGGTCAGACAGAATGAACGGGACCGACGGTCATTTCCAATTTTCCGGTATATACCTTCAAGCGAATAACTCGTTCCACTCGCATTCTGAATGCTCCAAGATCTCCCTTGATAGGTTCAACAAACTATATGACTATCTGCGGGCTCAAACAATGCGGAATAAAATAAGATACAATAAAATCTACCAGATTTAGAAGTGAAGTCCGCGAGTTCATTCTCTGGCGCCCATTCCAATGGGGAACGACTGCGATCCATGTCCAACCTTGAAGGACTTTTCCTCTGACATTTTTGGACTCGTATTGGTGCGACTTGACTGCGGCTAGTGCACGGTTTACGGGACTTGACATACGATGTTATCGACTCTCGAGAAAGCTCGACTTCAACCATCTGCGTTGCTATTACCATTCTCGTGTCTTCTACGTGGTCGAGAACTCTTTGTCATCGTCTGCTGCAGCAATATGTTCATATCGAGGTCCTTGCCACAGTTTCTGCATTATTAACATCCCAACGCCTTATGGGTTTGCCCTCTATACAGATTATCGTTCACAGTGGTTCTTCAAAATCCAGAACACCCTATTCTAGTCTATTCCGCGTTATTTTTTCCCGTCAACTCGGACACAGTTATGGCGCGCCGAAGCCCGAAGGTATACGATAGGCATTTCATTGCAGTCTTACGACATGCGCGCCCATTTCAATATTCGATCCGAAGTTCAAGAAGCCCTGCAAACGGGATCAGCTCGCCGGTTTGTCAAACATTTTCAAGCGTTCGCCGACAGAGTGTGGAAATTTCGGTCGATGAGATACCATGTGATGCGGTACGTTAGTAAACTTCTACATAGCTGTCAAAACTATTTTGTAAGTCATCGGAATCCGAACGACCGTGATACTGTAGGTCTTTCCACATCCCCGTTCCCGGATCTCGTTACAAGATGTTGCAATGCATAGAATTTAGTTCTGCCGCATTCGACTCGGAGACCTGTGTCACTCTGCCCGTAGAGACATTCGTGTTACAACTAATTTAGGTGCCTGGGCACCAGATGAGAGACCAACATCTTTCTTTATGACGGTTATCCTTTCCCGGGGTCGAACAGCCCAGCGACTAGTTTCTCGCATCCGCCTCGGGACGAAAGGTAGACTTGGTTCAAAGTTGCCGGGATTCCGGTCTTATCCGTGAAAGTTCACACCACCTCAGCGTCACATAAGCCGTCCGAGTCCGCTTGTTCACGCGTCAAGTTTCCTTTGCTTGTGTCGCACAACTTGATACTGCATAGAGTCCTGACACCGTATAGCTACGGTTTGCCTCGCTAAAATGTCTCGTCCTGTCCAGCGTGCCTTCTCCTTCCTCCGTTCCGGAATGAGAGTGAACCACAACGTACGCTCATCGTTTGCGACATTTAGCAGACGTACGATGGCTTCGACTGCCTCGCATGCATCTCATGGCAGCTACGGGAGTGATACGCCATGGATGGTGCGTGTTTTTGCAATGCACCCGCTACTTTGAGTTAAATGAATGATTTTTTGGGCCGGGATATTTAGATTGGCTCGGCTTTGGTATTTGGTCCCGTGGTAGGTTTTCAGACGCGTCTTTTTTACATCGAAAGCAAGGCTAAGGGATGGTTTTAGATGCTCTATCTCTTATCACCATCTGCGCGTAAGACTAGCCATTCCCATGAGGCGGAGCACAGTCATAGCGCACACCGGAGTGTATGTCCATCTTTTGTTATGTTCAGTAAATAACTCACGGGTACTGCACAGGATGCTAGTCATGTAAGCACATGAAATTGATATTGTAATGCTGCAGTTTTTAACGGGAGTTACTTGTGTTCACGGTGCTTTGCATAGCATGCCGAACCGCACCCTGCTGCAGAGACTCCTGGAATGAAAGATGATGAGGGTACTGAGGTGTCTAGTGAGGAGATCAAGCAGTCGATGGAGCAGGCATTCGTGCGTTTGTTTTCTTACCGACTCGGTCATGTTTTTATATATGATATGAAGGACGCGGATTCTCCCAAGGACGCTCAGGAGCATGAGGAAGCTGTCGCTAAAGAAGCGGAGACTTCCGCAGAATCGAGCGAAACTGTTTCCCAGGAGGGTGTAGATTCTGCTCCCTCAGAGGCTAATTCAACGCCATCCGAGGAGGAGAAACAAGAGGTTGCACTAGAAGTTGCTCAACCTGAGTCTCCAGCAGATACTGAGGCAAGCGAAGCTAGCCAGGAAGCTACTGTAAGCTCCCTTGTCCTAATCTTGGACGTGTACTCATGGCATGTTAGGAAGAAAGACATTAAGTGATGGTCTTAAAATCTACTATAGAGCTGCGTCTACTTATTTAGTATTTACATAGTAAGTAGTTTGTGCGTCACCTTACAGCGCATCCAAAAGTCATGTTACTTTCCTGCATAACATCCCTGAATGACCCGAGCGATGATGGTCTTAAAGTGTCGTGACTTGGGAATATTATTCTGCCAATAGTTCAAGCAAAACTTAAGCAAAACATACGACTATCTATTCTATTCATCACGATATCATCTACTTTTAGATGGCCTCAAAGGGCTCTACCATCACAACTGCCCGGCAGGGCCAGGCTCCTTTCCGCTTGTATTGGCTGCCGTCTCAATAGGTTTCATGGCAGGGAACAAAAGCACTTCCTTGATGTCTGCACATGACTGTCAGCACATGCGCAACATCAGACCGAACGATACATACTAGGGGAGTCAGTAAGGAACATGATGAGACGATCGATACCCATGCCCCAACCTGCGGTTGGTGGCAGACCATGCTCAAGCCTGTATTTGATGGGTTTAGGAAGAGCAATGAATAGGCGAGACGTAGAACGTACGCATCAACAAATACTTCATCTACACCTTGTGCTTCGTCATCACCTTGTTCCTTTTGGCGCGACTGAAGTTGCATGATGAGCAAATGCAAGCAGTAGATAAAGTAACGGGCCGTGTCTTACCTGCTCCTCGAAGCGCAACCGCTGCTCAAATGGATCGTTCAACTCGGTGTACGCATTGCAAAACTCCTTCCCGCACATAAAGCCTTCGAAACGCTCGCACAGACCGGGACGTGAGCGGTGGTTCTTGGCGAGGGGGGACATAACTTGAGGATGGCCAGCTGCATAGATAGATGTATGGTCAGTACAAGGAAGAAGAGATGACGCTAAGGCATACTGATAAATGCAGGAGAGATGCACAGGGGTTCGATGAAATCGCCAACAAGCTATACGCGAGTTAATGACGGCGTTAAAAGATACCAAAGAAGACAGACCTTATCAAGAAGTCGGGCGTTAGTCCGGGGCTCACTGCATTCAACGTTGTGCTGTGACACATCAGTGACGTTCCTCAGCGGTCGAGAAAAAATCGCTGACCTTGACACACAGGTCTCGCAAGAACTTGTTAGTCTCCGTCGTGTGGAGCGTGTCACCAGGAGGGAACTTGGTTCCTGTCTTCTCCTCGAGCGTCTCGATCATGTCATACCTCTTCCACGGCGTCTTGAAGTCCAGCACGAGCTCCTTGCCGTCCTTACCCTCGGGGTGATACTTCACAATCGTGCTGCCGCCGTTCAGGTACTTGACCATACCCTCAAGGAGATTCTCCGTGAGTTCCATCAGGTCATACATGTCCGCGTAGGCCATGTAAAACTCGCAGAGAGTGAACTCAGGGTTATGTGTCAAATCAATCCCTTCATTCCGGAAGACACGTCCAATCTCGTACACACGATCGAGTCCACCGACAGTAAGCTGCTTCAGGTACAGCTCAGGTGCAACACGGAGGTACAAGTCCAAATCCAGATCATTATGATGCGTTACGAATGGACGTGCGGTGGCACCACCTGCAACCATGCTCGTCATGGGTGTCTCAACCTCGAGAAAGCCGAGGTTATCGAGGTAGCGGCGGAGGTAATTGATCACGCGTGCGCGTGTAATAAAGATGTTGCGCGTACTAGGGGACATGATGAGATCGAGGTAACGCTTGCGGTATCGGGTCTCCTGGTCCTTAAGACCAAAGTGGGCAGATGGGAGTTGGTGCAGATTGGGTGCGAGGAGAACCATGGACGAGGGGGAGATGCTGAGCTCACCCTTCTGACTGCGCGAGGGGTGGCCAGTGACACCGACGATGTCTCCGCGCCGGAAGAGTGCCTGTGTAGACATGAATTCATCCGCGTCTTTCGCATCACTGTACACGATTCAATACATGTAAGCCGTCATTTGAGATGGACCTCACCGGACATTTGCGAGAATTTGCACTTGCGAGCCTTCACCGTGTAGGTCGTAGAACTTGAGCTTGTTGCCGCTGCTCCGTATATTGTGCACACGGCCAGATAGAGATACAAATACGTCGTCGAGCTTCTGGCCAGCAGGAATCAAGCCTTCCTCGCTGTACTGTTCAACAAAAGAGGTGATGCTCTGGCTGACGTTAAACTTGTGCGGATAGGGATTGGGGGACTGAGTCTCCTTGAGCTTCTGGATCGTACGAGCACGCATCTCAAAATATTGCTGCATTGTGTCAGGATCAGTGCTCAATTGCTAGCAGAGATGACTCACATTTGGGTTCAGGTCATCCTCGTTTGCAGCTGCAGGCTTAGATGCAGCTTGGGGTGGTGCGGCAGCGGCCTTCTCGGCCTTCTTCGCATCCCTTTCACGCTGTTTCTCGCGACGCTTCAGCTCACTGTGCAATCTGTGAGTGCGCAGATATGATCATGATCATAAGTAACTCGACACGCACGTCTTGGAAATCATCTCTCCCGTAACGGGATCCTTGTGAGTTGCTGCGGGGCTATCTGACGCCATGTTTCTAAACAAGATAATGGGAGGTTTTGTTGGTCTGACTGGATATCTTGATGGTATCTGACGCAGAGAATCAAGGAATTTTAATCTTTGCATGTAACATTTTTGGGTCAGGTCGATTCTTGAAACGAGTCAAGCATCACGTGACAGTTATGCCAATGCCGGAACTTCAAAATGACTTAGCAATGCCGTGATGCCGATTGGTCATGTGACTGATTACATAATAAGATAATCCGCTTTGGTAATGCTTACAGGGTATGCTCAGGCTAATCGATGCAGACCGGCCCACGCCGCAAACATCACCTTCGACATCGCCCACAACAACGACAATGTCTTCCGACTACGATTATTCAGACGAAGGGGACGCTTTCTACGACGACGATGAGGATATGATCAGCACAGGTGATGATGGTGTGTTACCCTTCTTGTTATGGCTCATTCGATCACCGACAACATCGCAGGTTCAGCACCCAGTGATGATGATATGGACATGGAGTTTGCGGACGACTTTAAAGTCCCACAACATTCACTTCGAAAGGCGTACGAAATCGAACATGAGTCACTTTCCCAGCAAGCGGTGGAGAAGCTTTCGGCCGCTGATGTGGACCACATATCAAGTATATTCGGTGTCGATGTCCGTATGAATATCTTAAGTTTGATTTCGTACTGATGATTCTGTTCTGCAATTCTTCTTTGTGATGTATAGGACAGTACAGCTTCCTTATTGCTGCGTAACATGAATTGGAATAAGGAACGCCTCATCGAGAAGTACATGGACAATGCATCCTCCGTTTCTGTCGCAGCTGGTATATCAACTCCTTCCCGCGCCTCTCCCTCTGCAACGGGTCCTGCACCCATCCGCTCATCAGGCAGCCGTCGCAGAACAACTCGGCTGACACCAGGTACGTCACTCGTAACTGATACATCTAATTCACCTTACCTCACGTGCCTAGTTCCCAAGGCCGAACCTTGGGTTTGCCCTATTTGTTTCGACGACTGTCAGACGTCATTCCTCTCACTATCGTGCGACCATTCCTTCTGTGCAGGCTGCTGGGCGGCATATATAACCTCCAAGATTCGTGAGGAGGGCGAGCATTCTATCCGTTGCATGGCTGAAGGCTGTGCACTTGTCGCACCTGACCCCTTCATTATATCTACTTTAGCAAAGCATGGTCAGGATGAAGATGGGCGGACTCGGGAGCGATTCCAAGAATTGCTCGTCCGGCACTTTGTTGGTGCCAACTCGCACCTGAAATATTGTCCTTATCCATCGTGCACTTACACCGTCTCGTGCCCTTCTGCTTCCTCCCGTTCATCCCTCACAACTATGGTGCCAACCGTCAGTTGCGGTGCAAATCATAAGTTCTGCTTTGGGTGCTCTATCGACAGCGACCATCGCCCAGTCATTTGTCCCGTCGCCAAGATGTGGTTGAAGAAGTGTAGGGATGACAGCGAAACTGCAAATTGGATCAAAAGTAACACAAAGGAGTGTAGTAAGTGCCAGAGTACTATAGAGAAAAATGGTGGTTGCAAGTGCGTGTCTCATTTCGGGGAATATGAGATTACGCTGACTGTTTTGTCAGCCACATGACTTGCAAGAAATGCAAGTACGAATTCTGTTGGGTGTGCATGGGTTCGTGTCTCATACATCCGCCTCGTTTGATCCTGACATCCTGTTCTACATAGGCCCCTGGTCCGAACATGGCACAGCGTGGTACTCATGCAATCGCTACGACGAGAAGGCCGGTGTGGACGCCCGTGATGCGCAATCTAGGTCCCGTGCTTCCCTAGAGCGCTACCTCCACTACTACAACCGGTGGGCGAACCACGAGCAGTCCGCGAAACTATCTGTCGAGATGTACAATAAGACCGAGAAGAAAATGGAGGAGATGCAGATAACGTCCTCGCTCACTTGGATTGAGGTGCAATTCATGAAGCGCGCTGTAGAAGAGGCAGAACGATGCCGCGCAACGCTAAAATGGACATACGCAATGGCGTTTTATCTGGACAAGGGAAATGAGAAAGAACTGTTCGAGGATAACCAGAGGTGAGACATCCGATCTGGGTTTCTCCCCTGCTCTATCATATTCCACGGATCTGTCTCAATCGTTTTACTGTAGGGATTTGGAAAAAGCGGTTGAGGATTTATCGGAGCTGCTTGAATCACCAATTGATCCAGAAGCAATCTCGACTTTGCGGCAGAAGGTGACTGATAAGACGGTGCGCTGTTGCTCTACATGTTGCTATTACATCCTCGTCCTCATTCGTTCGTCAGGTCTATGTCGCGAAACGCAACGAGATATTATTGGAGGACACTTCAAATGGTTTTGCGGAAGGGCGCTGGAAGTGGAATATCGCGGTGGAGGGATTTGAGTAGATGCCAGTCATTTTCCCCTGAGACTGAGATTGCGCACTACAATTTGCACCTTCTCTCCAACGTAGCACAATATCGACATTCCCCTTCCACACTTACTCTACTCATAAGATATTCAACATCGTAAAATCGCTGTATTTCTTAGACATTATCCGGACCATGAAGTGTACAGTAATTTAAGAATTAAGCTGAAACTTGGCAAGATTTAGTCTCACCTGGTCAGACCTTGATTAATGGAGAAGAAAAACAGTCCGGTGACGATAGTTGAGGTTATGCCCGTTCGAACATTTCATGGAGTTGTGTCTTATGCAGTGATCAGGAAACCAACAGCCGAGCAAAAGTGACTGTAGTACAGCGCTTCTTTCCAAATCCGACTAGGGAAACGTAATTCACTACAGAGTGCTACAGAGTACTCTGTAGCACTCTGTAGTACAATTCAACTTGCTGATCTAGTAGCAGCCCGTAGCATCGATCGGTTCTCCCGTATTTAAAAGTAGCTCTCTCCCTTTGAACTCAAACATTATTATCTACAAACCTACCCTTAGTAGACTTAGCTTGAAGTTAGCAAGGGTCCCACCAGATTACCCACATGGATGGCCTTGGTCATAAGCGCAAGCACGCGCATTTGTATCCGGAAGTGAAGGCTCAAGTTCTGACTAGTTGAGCCGATCATGATTTTGTGTATTCCATAGCTGCCCAGATGAGTTTCTCTACCACACCTGTAGTTCTTTTGATACTTGTTAGAATTCTGATATGTGACGTTCTCATGCAATTGATTCATTGCCCCTAATACCTTTAAGCTTGTTGACGTTTGTTGTGTGTCAGTGAATACACAAGTTGGAAAGTTTGTTTCATTGCCATGCTACGAGGCGATTCTGTAGTAGCGACCAACTACGGTATTGCTACTTTCCTATCGCGCTTTCTGTTAGTACAGAGTGCTTCCAAGGTAAATCTGAAACTAAAGAAGTTCGATTTTCGGACCAACTGACCTGGTGAATCATGTACACTTGGTAGCGGTACCTCAGGCTGGTGCATGATTTCGTATCACCGCCTGTTTTTGAGTTTACTGGTTTTCAACGCCTTGCAAGTCACTGTATTCTTCATGTAGTAGTTGCCGGTGATAGCCACCTGTTCAGTCGGTCATGTTCACAAGTCAACACGAACTCCATCCGAAGCTTGTACTCCCAGAGCCTGCGTTCCAATAGTACCAGTTTGATGCCTTTTGGCACCTGTTTAAAAGGTGTTATAAGTCATGACCAACTCGCAACACTTTAAACTCTCATTATTGATGGCACCTGGACTCACTGATAGATGTGCATCTGCGTAGGTGCGTATAGACTCTGGCCGGTGCTGATATGCACATCTCACCACATTTACAGTGCATGGACTCCGCGTTCGTACTATCAATTCTAGTACGTAGAGCTCATCAATTTGTATCGTATCATCGAGCAAATTTGTCGTGGCTGGTATCAATCACCAAGGCTACTCCGACACCAATCTAGTGCTGCGATGGGCGCAAATGACCCAGTCCAGGACAGACCCGAGTTGTCTAGTAATGGAATGTATTCCATTGCAGATCGTCAGCAAGGCCCAATCCTAAAGTTATTCCTGGCGAAAGTACGTATCGAACTACAGCCGTGTATGGGCATCCCCACGACTTTTGAGCTCCATCGAGCTGCTCTGGTGCTCCGTTCCCCAGTCATTCTTCTTGATGCATGTCTCTCAGCGACTTTGCCAGCCTGTACGACAGATTCAGACAGCGGGGCATCTTATCTGATTTGAAAGAGGCCTTCGAGCTATGTCGAGCTGCACTAGCGCTCTTTCTCACCAACCATCCTGAACAATGGATGTCTCTCAACAACCTTGCAAATAGCACTCACATCGGCCTATTCCAGCAGCAGGGCGTCCTGCCTGACCTGTCTGAGACCATCAAGCTCCCTCGAGTGGCACCGGCGCTCTGTTCTCCCAGTGATTCCCTTCGATTCTCATTTCTCCACAACCATACCAACGGCGTTCAATACGGATTCTAGCAGCTGGACATCTGTCCAACTTGTATGAGGCCGTCGAGCTCCATTGAACTGCATTGGCGTTCCGTCCCTCTGGCCATTCTGCTCGGTCTTCATATCTCAACGACCTTGTCCTTCGAGACATATTCGAGCAGCAACTCCCCCCGACTTTAAATCATAGGACCACCCTCGCATCAAACCTCTTCAATGGACGACACGACTAACCTTTTCATGTTGCAGATCGGCAGCCTTTCTGCTCTTTCCATAATTCCGATTTTCATGCATTCATCGTTCATAGATGATAAAATCGTGGGGTTCACGTTCAAGTTAGCCCCAATTCGAGAGCACGCAAATTTTTGAGACATGTTCAGAGGCGCCCGACTGCTACCCTCGTCGATGGTTACGAGTGCGGTGATCCATGCGCTACGGGGAACTATCGCTACTTCTGCATTATTGTCTTTCTATATATTAATGCGATGAGGAGATTTGCCAGAACGCGGTTACCATCCGTGGTCACAATGTCGGTATCAGCGTCGGCAATGTCTTGAGTGTCATGCCCGAACTGGGCGTCGTCAATGAACAGGAATTCGACACCATGGACCGGGCTATCTATGAGGCCGGATGGCATGGTCTTGCCCCACTAATCAACAACCACGTGAGTTCACTTGGTGTGAGCCGGCATCTGCACTTGCTGATGGCTTCTACGCATAGAATTACTACCATGGTGGCAATTATACCTTCCTCCGCTGCGCTGGATTCGATATCACCAGATACGACCCCACCAACCCCGAGGTCGTGCAATTCTATACTAACCAAATTATCATCGACTTCACAGCCTCACATACGCCGAGGATCCCGCGATCTTTGCTTATGAGACCGGTAATTAGCTCGGTGGACCTATTTTTGGAGACATGTGGGTCCTGAATGAATGAACAGAGCAGATTGCGGTATGTCCGTTTCTTTGTTCGGTGGCTTTGACCCTTGCGCCTGTGGACATACAGTCGTATGTCAAGGAGCTTGCCCCCACCAAACTTGTCATTGACAGTACTTACAGCATCAATGCAATGCACCTCTCCATCCCCACTATCGACATCTTCTCCGATCACTTCTATCCACCTGACATCGCGGAGCTGCAAAGTGACATCAGCGTCGACCAATCCGTGAACAACGCATACATCGCTGGAGAATAGGATTAGACCGGAAACAACGCTTCCTCTTCGTCACTTCTAGATTTCTTCAGTTCGATCGAAGCTAGCCCTATCGTAAGTGGGGATCTTTTCTGGAGCTTGTTCATGCATGACGTAGCGAGACGTTGTAGTATCTAGGTAACCCGGAAAACACCGTGCAAACTGATACACTGATCTCGGAGATTAGGCAGCATCTCTTCAGGATGCAGGGACAGAATGTTTCATCGTACCTTCCTCCAGTGCTTTGTCCTGGCCACTAAGCAGAGGTAGTGTAACTGAATCAAGACTCTCATCCGCTTAACTGTTACGCCAAAAGGCAGCGATACTGAAAGCTTGTGTTTCAGTATCGCGGACAAGATTATGGGAAATCTAGGGTGCTTACAGGTAGACATTATAATCCATGGACTTAATATTGATAGAATGATTTTATCATACTTGCTGTTAAAGACTTTAGAAAAACTGAGCGCGCTGTGGACCTGATGAATGGCCGGTCTGGCGAGCTTGCACAAAGTTTGATAAGTGCTATACTACGAATTAAGTCCTTAACTCAGGTGTCATCGTATAAGACATCGGACTATAATTGTATACGAAGATATCCAAACTGTGAGAGTATTGTTAACCATAACATCGATGGGCCCAGCACGAAAGTCTGTCAACACAAAAGACTAGTATCAGAAAATCAATGCGTATGCAGTGGATGACGCATCTATCCGCGATGCAGAGAGCGCCCTGTGGGTATTATGTATATGACCAGCTAGTCCAAAATAGAGTAAGGAAATCCCGTAGAATAACGAAAGCATGGTAATGTGAGTGGTATGTACGAGGGTCGCAGCGATGATAAATATTGGTCATATTATCGATTGCGGGGAATAGAGACACGAGGGTGGGATGGAATGAGGTTCACCACTCGAGAAGGGGATCTACCATAACATTGTTCCGCTCTACAGTGACCGAGCTGGTGTATGAAAGTGTCTGTGCTGCAATTGCCCATGCGTCATGATCTCATCACATTCATAACTATTATCGCGCATACGGGGACTGCCCACCGTATGCTGCTGGCTGCTGGTACGGTGACTGACGGCCTGAGTACGGCGTCGGCGAATTAGGCGCATCAAAATAGGCCTTTTCTTGTACTATGCTAACACCGATGCCACCAGCGTCCGTGGCAGCTGTCGCTTGCGTCGGGTCGCCAATGCCTGCACGAGTTCCCCATGCAGTTTCATGGAGCGTGAAAAGGGCGTAAAGCTTCATGATCGCAAAATAGTACCCGAAGAGGATGAACGCAGGAACGTAGATGATGTGACTGGGCGTATGCCAGAGATGCGGAAGGAGCTTAGCGGTACGGGTTGCGAGAAGCCATACGAGGTATGAGAGGATAATGTTCCACCAAGGCAGATGGTATCCTCCATCTGCAACTGCAATGGTACTTTTCCAGACAAGATACCCGACAAGGCAGGGTCCTACTAGAAGAGTGAAGGGGTTAAAGAGCTTGTCAACCTGTGAACAAGATAAGAATAAATCAAAGCACACAAGATGACGGCATCAACCCACCATGGTATATGCGACATATGGATGTGTGGTCCAAATATATCGTTCCATGAATAATGACCGGAGATCACTTCTCCAGGTATTTCGGGTCCATCGTAACACCTGTTTCAAGAACCTCCAATTCGGCTTCATCGTGCTCAACAACTCTGCCTCTTTGCAGCACTGGACATAGGTACTCCATCCATGGCTCACCATCCACCTCGTCAAGAATTTGTCATCGCCCGAGTTGAGCTGGTACTTGCCCAGCCAGAAGTCGTGCGTGAAACCATGTAGGAACTCTGGGTCTTTGAGGATGACCGTTCGGTAGGCAGCTGTACGGCCCGAGAGACATGGAAGACCACCATCGATGTGTGTGCTGGAGCTAATTTCGATGTTACGGATTGTCAGACGGAATGCCGCGAGGACTTCCCAGACTGTCATGCTTTTTCCTACGGGTTGGACGCGTTGACTCGTGCCTACGCCCCCAACCTTCTGGTCTTCAAAACATGCAAGCACATATGGCAAGAGCGTCGGTGGCCAAATGGCATCGTCATCTGCAAAGACAATGATGTCTGTCGTGGTATTCTTAATGCCATGTGCCATCTGCAACCGCTTATTCGCGAAAGGGACGGTAAGGACGCGAATATGATCCGGGTCAACAGCGTTGGCAAGTTCTTGGAGAGGAATAAGCATTTTCTCTTCGGTGATGATGATGATTTCTTTGGGTTTGCCAGCTAGCCAACTGTTGGCTGCTTCTTTGAATTCTTCACCGGCATCGATGGTAGGTACAATGATAGTGACATCTTCCGAGGCCACGTAAGTAGGGTTTTCGGGGAGAGGAACGGGGCGGTAGGTGACAGAAGCAATGATACGGATGATGTACCACAGGTAGCGATAGAAGCTAGAAAGTCGTCAGCTTGCTTCAAGATATAGAAAGAAAAAAGGAACACACCCGATGACTCCGAATGGCACGACTGTAAAATAAGGTTAGCATGCATGGACAGTCAACGTGTTGTACACCGAGGACACGTACAGATTGGAAAGGCATCAGACGTCAAGTAGAGCATGGTGGCAGTCTACTGCACCTGCCGTCAAGAGAGTAGTGAGGCCAAATGAGCGGCAGCGTCGTAGCTACGACGACGAAGAAGAAGGCCTCCGAAAGAGAGAGAGAGAAGGAAAGAGAGAAAGAATGAGGAACGTTGGTACGTTATTACATAGGTGGCCAAAGCATACGCGCCAGAAGTATTGTCGGGGTTCGAAATATTATTGAAACAAGCTTATTACACTTTTATTACTCTTGATTATTATTTTCGGCACTCGAAGCAAACTCGAAGCTCGCGCGTATTCAATAGTAGTGAAGGAGACCCGACCTCCAGAGTTAGCAACACTATTGGTTCAAACAAAGTCCAGATATATGCGCGGGGTGACACTCGTCTTTTTTTTTATCTGATTGACCTGACCGAGTTTAGACCGAGTTGGAATAATCCGAATAAGTGGTCGACAACTCACAGACTGGCTCGACCCGAAGTCGGAAGACTTACTAGTGCGGCCGCGGCCATCAAGCTATTTTATTAATGACAAGACGTGGAAATTATACTGTTACAAAAGTGGCTCAAAGCTAGCGCAGGTGACCTGTCGAGATCTCCCGCTACACACACTGACTGCTGCCAGGGCACACTATAGATCATCTCACCTTCAGCGGAAGGTACCTGATAGAGATATGAGATCTACGTGTGCTTAGGCTTTGATCCAAAAGTGATACAAAATGAAAGGCTTCGCCTTGTTTGCCTCGAGAATCGATAGCAATTCTGCATCGTAACCATACATTTCATCGCACCGCACACACCGTAGTATTTCAAATTTCATCGCCAGCCTTCAGCTCAGCGCATTCTATACCCCAAAATTCTGCCACCGCATCAGAAACCCCGCGCCAACAAAGCCCCCCCACTCCACGTCACTGCTTCTGGTCCGTTTCTCGAATAACCAAAGTATAGCTTCGACACCATGGCTATTCAACCCGATATTCAAATGATCCAAATCCTCTATCCTATATCTATCGCCTCAAGAAAGTAAGAAGTTCACATCCATGACATGGCATCACTGACATGTATCGGATAATCCCATGATTTTGCTTGCAGAACACTCCACGGACCCGCACTTTGTCCACACCGCATTCGTGAGTGTTCAGGTTCAGACACGTGTATGTGGTAAGTACCGCCTATGGGAAACTCGAGCACTTTATCTGCCTAGCATAGCCTAGCCTTGCTTGTCTATGAAGTAATGTTGAACACGCTTTACGATGGGATAACTCCGAGTCATAGCACACGTTTAAAGCTAAAACAAAATGGCTCGAAGGAACGCCTGCCCAGCCAACCAAATTCGGGCAGTGTCGCACGTTCAGTTCAGGCCAATACAGGCCTTTTGTAAAGCGTACTCCTATGATATTTCTCTGAGCAGGTGAGATGTTGGTTTGTTTATGGTTGGAGTTGTGACCGCGGGATCAATTCCAAATCAAATCAGGTTCTTTGGTATTAGCCTCCGGGCCAAACAACATTTTCTTTTTATGGAAGGGACGAGTTTTTACTCTCGTTACACATGTGATTCACTAATCCCATATATCAACTATTCGCTTTGCTATCGAATCATTGAAGAACCATGCATCACAACTCGGAACAAATGTTACTCGGATGCCGATGCCCGAATATCTCTGTAGTAATAACGCTGTTGTAATGTCATATGAGGTTGACCGGAAGTATCAAGTAATTTACCATGATCAGCCCCTCGGCGGCCCGGCGGAAACAAACCATAATACAAATCAAATGGCTGAGATCTGTGATTCGACTTTCTCAGTACAACTGTACACTACCCAACAACTACATCCCGTAAAAACTTGTAACAGTACGCGAAAAAAACCGTGCGTTAAAATACGAAAAATTAAAACATACCTAACAACGAAGTGAAAACATGCGGGGGACTCGACCACACTACCGTGAAAAGGTACAGTGATACATACAGTAAAGTAGAAGTATGAGAGGAAAATGAAAGATGTGGAGTACAACACGGGGTGCGATGAAATTGAGGTGATACCATGCAAAAGTCCAATAGAGAGTCGAGCGTGATGGCGATGGCGAAAACATATCAGAGAGTGTAGACGGTCGAAATACAATGACGACGAGTAAGGACAGTGGTGACCGCGTAGCTGGTAAACGCAGAAGGTTGGATGGGCATCGAGTCAACACAAAAGGAGTTAAGAACCGTAAGGGACGACCAGAAGCCGCCAAGGAAGTAGTGGGCGTAAAGGAACAGGCCGTCTTAGTTAGGTCGATGGGACGGAGGAAGCCGAGAACCCTGTAGCGGATGATTTCCTTGCCTCCGAACTCTTCCTCCCACTTGCACGTGCGGAGGCGGAAGTACTAGTAGAAGCCCGTGATTTCTTTTCGCTCCAAACAGTGCCTGTCGATACCGATAGAGCCGCTGTGCTAGCACTCCACCTCGATCCCATCCTCTCGGCATGCGCAGTAGGCTCAGGAAAAGATAACACATGGCTCGTTGCTGCCGCGCTTGTTGGGCTGCTGGGTTGCACTTCCGCTTCAGTATCCGCTGTCAGAGACTGCAAAAGAAGTTGTGCCAATAGGGCCTCATCTCCAAGACCGCGTTCTCCCTCATTGATGTGAGCTGGAGGGGGGCGAGAAGGGAGTAGAGTTTGTGCCGAGGCTTGGTGTTCCAACGCTCTCACCCTCAATCCTATTCGTCTCTTGCGTCCTCCTTTAGCCTTCCTAGCTTTGGGCGCGGGAAAACGATATTGGGCCGCCACGTCACAAAATTGCACATGATTCAAATCGGCAAGCCCAAGGCCGACAGTGGGGGGAGGCGGGGGAGGAGGGGAAGCGAAAGGATCCCTCATGGAGAGAAAATCAGAGGCCGAGTCCGAAGACATGCCCCGCGAAAATGAGTGCTTTGGGGTGCGATGGCTGGGAAGTTCTGTAGGTTTCGGCACCGAAGAGTCCATTGTACGTTTGACAGAAGTTGGTAAGGCCTGCTTGACGACAGACGGAAGTACTGTAAAACAAATGATAAGTTAGATGTCTCGGACTGGCTGTGGATGAATAGTGCAATATATGCTCACAATAAAGGCTAGTGACCACTCCCACTGCCCAGACCAACGAACAGATGGAGTGAGCGATAACAAGTCCAGCGGCAACCGTTACGTCAGAGTTTTCCGATAGTCGCGATGTTGTCACTGAATCGCGAGCTTGCAAAGCGGCCCACGATGGGGAATTCTTTGCAATAATTACTAAAGCGATTTTCAAGGCAGCGCACACCACAGCTGCTACCTGCGCTGCTAACATGGTAACGGGAAGACGCATCTCCTTGCAACGCCAGCTGATTTCCGCCGCTCCCTCAGGTATCACACCATTTTCTTGGCCTGAGTGAGTGAGCGTGAGTGACGGGGGTAGATTTGCAATAGCTTTTACACTCTTGGCCGACGACTGGTTGCATGTCAGCTGAGTATGCGCCAATGAGCCTGGAAAGGGCCAGGTGTCAGGAGTGGGTGAGCTGACCCGTCTAGATCCATTCGGACAGATGGTTGGGCGAACTGAGCTCTCGGGACCCGCTCGATCTTTCTCGCATGTCTTGGTGAATGGAGCTGCAACAGCAATAGCGGAGCGTATATCAAGGAAGATTCCAATAGCGAGAGGCAGTTGAAGACTTCGTGAGATAAGAGAGAACGTGGGTGAAAGCAAAGTAGGAGTGCTTGCAATTGAGCCAGCGATTGTTGCTATGATGCCATTCAAACTTGACGAAAGAGATGAGTTAAAATTACTCACCGCAGGCGAGGAATGTTGTCACCATGACCGCCACGAAGCGAAAGGCACGGTAGGGAACCAGGGAATCTGGCGTGGTGGCTACGAACAATACGTACAGGGAACTCAAAGATACTTCAGAAAATATGAGTACACCGAGCGGGCTTAAACTGTTAATCCAATGCTTACAGAGACACGCATACAAGGCCAACAAGACATTCCAGGAGCGCTGAAGGAGCTGAACATGGTTGAGCGACGCTCCGAGGCCAAATCCACTAGTAATGGCTGGTAGGACAGTATTGAGCGCCAAAAGAATGTTTGGGACAATTTTGTTGCGATTAAAAGGAGATGAATGAGCCAGAAGGACAGCCGACACTAGCGGCAGAATCAGCATGAGAGCGGGCGGGATGACCTGCAGGGTCAGAGAAAACGGGGTGGAAATGATACTTGAGCCAGAAGACGCGAAAACGGGAGACATTGTAAGAAAGTAACAAAAGAATGTGGATAATGAGCGTTTGCAAAGATAAACAAGTGAGTAGTTGGAGGAAAAAGATGAGCGAGACCAGCATCAAAACCCGAAGAAGAAGGATAAATTATAAGATTTAATTTGCATGCTAAATGAACAGGGGAAGGAGCCGACGAATTAGGAAAGCGTCTTTGTTGGTATATAACCTTCTACTTTTATTTACTTACCCCGTCACAAGCGGATGAAAAGAAAAGAAGATCCAGGAAACCTAGACTAGAGAGATAACTTTTATCTGAAACTTGACTCGATAGAAACAGATACGGTGGCCAGTCGAGTCCCCGGACGAAATGCAGTACATGTTTCGATTTCTGTCAAGGAAAGCTGAACCAATCGGCCATTGAAGTTCCCCGCCCATTCGCTCCTCAAGAAAGGAGTGGTGCATGCCAGATGGAGGCGCACTTCCCAACGCTTCTTTGGCTTAAGCCATGTCATTGTTGGCACCAAGCCATACCTGTATACACGGATAAGAGATACATGCAGTTTATTTAGTGTCATGAATCATCTGATGATGGCGAAACATTTGTATACAGGACAGCACGGGAGGTTTCATGGTATTGCCGCACTTGGACCTATCACAGCATCCAAACCCACACTAAGAAAAGCCTTTGAAATATTTAACGTTAATGACAGCACAATAGTCATTATCAAGCATCTTGACTTGTGATTATGCTGGCAGTGGCGCTGTATCGGATCAAATAATAAAAGTGAACTTCGAAGGAGGATAGAAGCGAACGTCACATGGCGACCTACTTGTATGTGATCATCCGAAGTATGATGGAGAAGGGAAATCCAAAGTTGATCGTCAAGACAGAGATCATTGTTGCGCCAGCACAGCCACGTCTTCGGTCGGCAAGGTCTATGGATTCTGACTTTGACCGACAATTAGTGGTCAGCGAAACTCCACATCGGGCGAGCGGGGTTCGCGTAGTATAGTGGCATCCAACAGCTGTATCTAACGAGCATAAATGTGCCCGTCCGCTGCCGTTGGTAATTGAGTCATCGCGTTTTTTGAAACACAAAAGTTGCCGAACAACAGTACTCAGTTGAGATGTTGGAGTGGGGCAGATCATAGCACCTCCACGCCACTTTTTCATCTCATGCGTAATACTTTGTGGTCTTGACAGCTCCGTTATATGTCGTGACCGTTAAAATGATGTGCATACCCTTGCTTGTTTCCGCAAAAACGTACTGAGGCCTCTGAAAACGAGACACCCAGACCGCGATACAGTGTGCCAAAGCCCACAGAGATAAGCTGTCGCGGGTAGAAGCAACAATCGATAAGGACTCCGATACATGCCCTCTCAAGGTATGAACGAAAGCAGGTCAGAAATCTCTATCATTCGAAATGCGTATAGTTACAATATCTCTAGGGTCCTGACGTCCATCATGTCATGAACAGCAGCCAGATTCCTGACTTGCGCAATGATATTGCGATTCGATGCGATTCTCTTGTACTCCCCACCACGTTGCTGCGCCAGCAAAAGTGCACCAAAAGGTTGTCCGAGGCGGATGATCAACCTCAATTCTCGCAAGTGAGACTCTATCATCCGGTCGAACCCCATTTTCAACCGAGTACCCGCCAAACGAATAGTATGGCAGAGACTCGGACTCGGGCCAATCGCCCACGCTACGTGCATCATCTACAAAGTCAGGCAATCCAAGGTCATAATGATTCCACGGACGAGCAAGTAAGAATGTCTGCTGAGTGGGCCGATAGACCAGAACTGAACTTTCGCACTATAGTCTCCACTCATGAGCAGTTCTCCATCGTAGGAAGTTGCAACACAGTAAACCCGTGTGGTTGTGTGTTTAAGTGACTGTCCTAACTGCTGGTGCGACTTTGTGCTCCACAGTCGCGCAGTGTTATCGGCTGAGGCAGTGGCAATGAAGGTGCCATCAGGAGAGATGGCGAGCGAGTAGATGGTATCAGTATGACCGGTACAAGGCTGGCCGATCCGGTATCCGCTCGACGAGTTCCAGAAGTTAACGGTTGCGTCGTTTAATGCGGGGACAACTTGCTGACCGTCGGGCGACCACACAACACTTCGAACACCATCTTGGTGAGCGATCTGGAGAATGAGTTCGGCATTATCAGTCCGCCAAACCTTGATGGTACGGTCCAATGATCCAGATGCCAATTTAGTCCATCTGGACTGAATGTGACACTGTACACATCATAACTATGACCATCAAGTGTTGATAGGACCGCGCCGGTCTCTGCGTCCCAAATGACAACTTTGAAATCATTTGACCCACTAGCGAGTCTTTTGCCGCTGGGGGAGAAGCAAACCGATCGCACCCGGCCTGTATGCTTCACCAGCAGACTGAAAACCTTCTGCTTGGTCTCGACGTCCCAGATGATGATAGTTTGATCATCTCCACCACTCGCGATTCGCTTGTCATCTGGTGATATGGCGACTGATCGCACGCAGTTCTCGTGTCCTTCAAATGGCCCTCCTACCAATGTTCCTTTATCCACATCCCAAATTCGCAGGGTGTGGTTCCTTGAACCAGTGACAACCCGTCGACCGTCTTTGAAGAATGCGGATGCCCACACTGCACCTGTATGCCCTCGCATGATGTGTGCTGGCGTTGGTTGCCCTAACATTATTTGCGCAATCTGCCCACTCAAAGCATTGCTTGCTGCTGTATCAGAGCCGGGCACTCCTGACACCTAGACAGAGATATTGAAGTAGACGAAGTCAGTAGCATTTGGAGTTATGTAACGAGGAACGTACTTTGTGGGATATGGAACCGTCCACGGTGCACGGCCTCGTGTGCAGTGACTCGTACTACGAAGTATACAGTTAGTGTTGGATTTCTCAGAACCGACCACGGTGACCTATTCCGGTGTTTGTACCTGGCACGGTGTTACGGCATGGATATTTTTCGCTTCTTCTACCCCAAACGGTCAACGGTTGAACTAGTGATCCCGCTGCGATGAGCAAGTGCCTGCTACTCTCATGCAGTATGTACAACCCACTACAGTCTTAGGAAGTCTGAGTAGAGAAGGCATGGCTATCTCCATTTGTCATCAGGTCTGGCTTTGACTTGACATTTTCATTTTCAGGAGCGTCTAGGCGCGGCAGGACCATGTCAAAACGGCTAGCGGCTGCAAATAGCACACACAGTTGACATTGAAATATACTTGTACAATCTTTTTGAATACTAAGAACAGATACAAGAAACGTTGTAGACGCTTCACCGCGACGTCCTTCACTAATACCTTGTCCCGAAAACTCCCTCTTCGTACGATTTGATTTCTGAATGTCATCAAGCTCATCAAACTGGAGTCAAGAGCAGAGAAAACGACCTACGCAATGCGAGATGCTTGGAGTGGAACCTACAAAGCGCCAAGTCTCCCATCATGCACCATATCCATTGAGTTCCCCGTCTTTGCTCGCCCACCGACTTCGCGCCAGATGCTGTTCAGCTCTCCTTCTTTGTCAAGGCCCCAGATAGGACACAATTTGTCATGCAGTGACTCCGAAAGCAGAGCACGATATGAATGACGTGCATCAGCGTAGCTGATATGTGAACCGCAATGTCTATTTGTCAGTAAGAAAAGCGTACCCAGTAGCGAAGACGACCACGTCCGCATCGAGAGTAGAACCATCTTCAAAAAGTAAACCTGTCTGCGTGAAGCGCAAGATTGGCCCATCGCTCTTGAGCTTGATCTTCCCGTCGATGATCATCTGTGAAGCTCCGACGTCTTGACATTAGCACTACGGTCAGCTCAGATACGCTCTAATCTGTAAATGCACCAACCAAGATAATATCCTCCTCCCCCATTCAATGCCGTAAGCAGAAAGCCAGCATCATCGTCGCCCAAATTTGTCTTGAAACCTCGTTTTCGCAGGCCATCAAGAAGCTCCCTGAATCTCTCTATCAGACAATTAGGATACAACAAGTGGTCACGCACTTATCCGCCTGAGCGATGTCCTTGGTGACACGTTGATGCATTAATTTGAGAAGCAAATACGGGTAAGATGCATTCACGCGATCCGCAATATCAGTGGGAGGGCCGCCCTCCCAGAAAATCGCTGGGTGTGTTTATAATGGAGAAATTGTAAAGAGCGGACAACTCACTCATGAACCTCGGCATGCCCTCCTTTGTGGTCATGATGTAACTCGGGCTGCGTTGAACCATGGTCACATCTGCACCATCATTGTTTGAACGCCATCGATGTACTTTAAAAATCATTTACCAACGCCATTTTCAACGTAGTCCGCACATATGTCATGCGCTTATGTTTATAGTGAGCAGAGAAAATACAACATTCATGGTGCGACCCCTACCTAGACGTGCAAGCCCCGACAACGACAATCTTTTTCCCTGCGTGATCAGTTGCGAGATTGTGTTTGCTGGAATGTAATATCTGCCCCTTGAAGTCATCCTATGTAGGTATTTGATATCAGCCTGAGAATCTTACATTCATGGATCGAACGAACCTGCCCTGGGATATCTGGAATTTGGCCCATACCACTGCCTAAGGCGAATACGACATGATTGACCTCGAAGGTACGCTCCTCTTTGTCAGCACGTTGGACTGTCACAGTCCATTTCTTTCCCTTCGTGCCTGGAACGACAGACATGGCCGTAGCGCTGGTCCAAACATCGAGTTCCATACTGTGTGCATATGATTCCAGCCAATCTGCGAGTTTCAATGCAGGCGTGTAGACAGGCCACGAGGCAGGGAACCTGCGTGGGTTTTGGTTAGACAGTCATAGACAAACTAAGGTGTGAGACCCACGGAATGTATGGCATGTGGTCATACCCTATACGGAAAGGGATCATTGAGCATGAAGCAAACACAATATGAATCTGAAAGAGTGATAGACTCACAGACGGGATCATGGAGACACAGCGCTGCATAGCGCTTCCTCCAATTATCACCAATTCTCTCGTCCTTTTCTAGTATCAGAGTCTTCATGCCAAGCATCTTAAGCCGCGCTGCAACCTCGAGCCCACTCTGCCCGCCCCCTATTACCACGACGCTGGGCTCCTCGTCAACACATTCGATCTCACGCGCACGTTTCGCGGCCCACTTTCCATGGTTTGACTGGTAGTCTCGTCTATGCCCATTCTGTTCTGGGAAACCTTTGAGATTTTCCAAGTTCGTGAAGACGGTATGGGCCTTCCATGAGCCATCCGCGAGGGGTACCAGCCGGAACACCCCAGATGCAATGCCGACTGTAGTTTCAAAGTCAAAAAACGCTTGAATCCACGCGATATCAGGGTATGGTCTCTGAAGCTCTACCAGACCTTTCCTGAGTTTGAAGGAAGACAAGGTAAATAGCGGGAGTTGGTCTGTGAGGAATTTCTTAACGGAAGGGGCACTTTGGAAGGTGTGGAAGTCCCATGTTAAGGCGAGTATATCGCGCCAGAAGACATCATCGACAAGGAGATCTATGACTGATGTTACATTCTTTGACTGCATCGCTTCCGCGAAAGCTGAGCACCATTGACTCGCCACCGCTTGAACATTGACATCAGGAGTAACTGAGCTTCTGAGGTCATCGAGAGTAGGGAGGACCAATTTGTTCGACATGATGCACAGATTGAACAGCAGAGACAATCTTGCGATAATTACCGTTATAAATGTACTGCCTTTTACCAGGACGGAGTTCTATCGTTTGGCTGAGACTCCTGAGTACGTACTTCGTTTATATTCTGGGCCATTATCGGAGTGATGATGGGCGTTGTTGGCAGAACCCGAGAGTTCTGCAAATCTATTTGGCAAAACTGGTTGTGCGAGCTCCACGGCAGAACTCGTCCGAAAGGAGGTTGGCAGAACCTGGCAGAACTTGGGGGTATCCGAGGCTAATGTTGAGTTACGTTAAGCCTCGCTGGCTGACTGCGTGCTAGAACTTCTTCACTGTGCCAAGAAGATGTCTCAATTGACTTGCGAAGCTGCGAACAGGGCTACCATGTTGGCTTTTGGCTGCATGCGAGATCAAAAAAACTCTCGGATGACCCAGTGCAGGCTTATAATCAGTCGCTAGCTCCATCCAAGCAGACAACCTTTCTTGGTGCAAAAACCTTCCGATCCATGGAGCAGGCTATTCTGGATGAGGTTGAGGTGAAGGTGGGGGTGACAAATGGGACGAGGCAACATTGATGTCATCATTACTAATACCGCAGGCTAAGGTCAAGGTGGTTAATTACAAGGGTACTTAACATTGATGTCATTGTCAACTTACTTAGGGCCTGGCCTAGGCATCACCAAAAGTCCCAAACCTAGATATCATACGTATGCTCAGGTCTTATCATCAAGTATCAGCCTCACCGCAGCCACCATAGCCCATCAGCCCAGACCAGCCCCAGTTCACCCCAGATGGTCAATGAAACTGAGTCTTTGCTCATTTGATCATCAGCTGATCCGGGTCATGCATCATAGCTGACATATGACGATTGCTTACCAGGCCTGAGCGATTTCTGGTACCTTATAATGGCAGCCTAACTATGCCCTCACCATATTCTGTATTCCTAGGCATATTATTTCATCACCCTTTGTGAGGCGCCCTGCTTCACCTGGCGTGAGATCAAGTCTGGTCTAAGAGACGTAGAACAATCGCTGCCGCTAAACCCTCCTCACAAGAAGTGTCTCATTTGGAGCATTTTTGTTTCCAAAGGATGTAAACGAAATCAATCAAAGGTGAACTTGATGGCTAATCACAGGCATTACTGGAAGCGTGCCGCTCCGATGTGAATTTTAACGGTGATGAGCAATTTGTCCGTCGCCTTTGAGTCCCAGCTTGGCATGTCATCTAGTACGGGATGTTCATAAGGGCTTCTGAAATTACTGGATGTACCAGCGCTTGCAAACAATACACATAGTTGACGTTGAAGTATACTTGTACAATCCATTTGAATGCTAAGAACAAATACAACATACGCTATGGACACTTTGCGTTCTTCGCGGCCTTCACTGATACCTTGTCCCAAAAATTCCCTCTTCGTACGATTTGATTTCTGAATGTCATCAAGCTCATCAAACTGGAGTCAAGAGCAGAGAAAACGACTTACGCAATGCGAGATGCTTGGAGTGGAACCTACAAAGCGCCAAGTTCCCCATCATGCACCATATGCCATTGAGTTCTCCGTCTTTGCTGCGCCCACCGACTTCGCGCCAGACACTGTTCAACTCCCCTTCATTGTCAAGGCCCCAAATAGGATACAATTTGTCACCCAGTGACTCCGGAAGCAGAGCACGATATGAATGACGTGCATCAGGCGTAGCTGATATTGTGAACCGCAATGTCTATTGATCAGTAAGAAAAGCATACCCAGTAGCGAAGACGACCACGTCCGCATCGAGAGTGGAACCGTCTTCGAAAAGTAAACCTGTCTGCGTGAAGCGCGAGATTGGCCCATCGCTCTTGAGTTTGATCTTCCCGTCGATGATCATCTGTGAAGCTCCGACGTCTTGATGTTCACTATGGTCAGTTCAGATACGCTATAATCCGCAAATGGACCGACCAAGATAATATCCTCCTCCCTTATTCCATGCCATAAGTAGAAAGCCAGAGTCATCATCACCCAAAGTTGTCTTGAAGCCTCGTTTTCGCAGGCCGTCAAGAAGCTCCCTGAATCCCTCCTCCATCAGGCAATTGGGATACAATAAGTAGTCACGCACTTATCCGCCTCAGCGATGTCCTTGGTGACACGTTGATGCATTAATTTGAGCAATGAATTCGGGTAAGATGCGTTCACGCGATCCGCAACATCAGTGGGAGGGCCACCCTCCCAGAAGATCGCTGGGTACGTTTATAATGGGAAAATTGTAAAGAATAGAACACTCACCCATTAACCTCGGCATGCCCTCCTTTGTGGTCATGATGTAACTCGGGCTGCGTTGAACCATGGTCACATCTGCACCATCTTTGTTTGAATACCATCAATGTGCTTTAAAAATCATTTACCAACGCCATTTTCAACGTAGTCCGCACATATGTCATGCGCTATACTTTATAGTGAGCAGAGAGAATACAACATTCATGGTGCGACCCCTACCAGACGTGCAAGCCCCGACAACGGCGACCTTTTTCCCTGCGTGATCAGTTGCGAGATTGTGTTTGCTGGAATGCAATATCTGCCCCTTGAAATCATCCTGTGTAGATATTTGATATCAGCCTGAGGATCTTACATTCATGGATCGAACGAACCTGCCCTGGGATATCTGGAATTCGGCCCATACCACTGCCGAAGCCCAAGGCGAATACGACATGATTGACCTCAAAGGTACGCTCCTTTTTGTCGGCACGTTGGACTGTCACAGTCCATTTCTTTCCCTTCGTGCCCGGAACGACGGACATGACCGTAGCGCTAGTCCAAACATCGAGCTCCATACTGTGTGCATACGATTCCAGCCAATCTGCGAGTTTCAATGCAGGCGTATACACAGGCCACGAGGCAGGGAACCTGCGTGGGTTTTGGTTAGACAGTCATGGATGAACTGAGGTGCGAGACCCACGGAATGTATGGCATGTGGTCATACCCTATACGGAAGGGGATCATTGAGCAAGAAGCAAACATAATATTCTGGAAGAGTGATAGACTCACAGACGGGATCATGGAGACACAGCGCTGCATAGCGCTTCCTCCAATTATCACCAATTCTCTCGTTCTTTTCCACTACTAGAGTCTTCATGCCAAGCATCTTAAGCCGCGCTGCAACATCGAGCCCACTCTGCCCGCCTCCTATCACTACGACGCTGGGCTCCTCATCGATACATTCGACCTCACGCGCACGCTTCGCGGCCCACTTTCCATGGTTTGGCTGGTGGTCTCGTCTGGGCCCATTCTGTTCTGGGAAACCTTTGAGATTTTCCAAGTTGGTGAAGACGGTGTGGGCCTTCCATGAGCCATCCGCGAGGGGCACAAGCCGGAACACCCCAGATGCAATGCCGACTGTAGTTTCAAAGTCAAAAAACGCTTGAATCCACGCGATATCAGGGTATGGTCTCTGAAGCTCTACCAGATCTTTCCTGAGTTTGAAAGAGGACAAGGTAAACAGTGGGAGTTGGTCTGCGAGGAATTTCTTAACGGAAGGGGTACTTTGGAAGGTGTGAAAGTCCCATGTTAAGGCGAGCATATCGCGCCAGAAGACATCATCAACAAGGAGATCTATGACCGCTGCTATGTTCTTTGACTGCATCGCTTCCGCGAAAGCTGAGAACCATTGACTCGCCACCGCTTGAACATTGACATCGGGAGCAACCGAGCTTCTGAGGTTATCGAGGGTAGGGAGGACCAGTTTGTTCGACATGATGCACAGATTGAACAGGGAAGATGATCTTGCGATAATCACCGCTATAAATGCGCTGCCTTCAAGTTTTTCCAGGACGGAGTTCCATCATTTGGCTGAAACTCGTGAGTACGTACTTGGTAGTCAGATGCTCATATGCCGGGCCATTATCGGAGCCATGATAGGTGATGGATTATGCATGAACCTTCTGAGCTCAAGTGACCTGCCAGCTGGCTGTTCATCGAATCGATCGATACGATAGGCTAAAGTTGGCCCAAAATGTAACTTGCAACTTGAAGTTGCCACGCTCATGACTCCGAGCACTGCGGCTGCCGAGAGCTTCAAATTTCTCAGAGCTGCAGCCAAGTTAGATTTCTAGATATTAGAGAGATACGATTGCTCTCGCCGTACACACGACACTCGTTCTAAATGAATTCCCTAAAGTTTGCTGCTTTACCCGGCGATCTTCTATTGGAGGTGACATCATGTCTATCCTCTAGAACGGATGTCCTCAATCTGGCACTCTCAGTAAGTATCTCGAACTCAATTCTGACTTGATCTTTCCTGAATTCGTCGCACGAAGAGCAAACACTTGTTCACTAGCATATGCCCTGTATTGTATGCCCGTGTGCACCTTGGAACTGCAGAACAATGCCAGCGAACTCTGTCGATGCTCCGTTCTTGCCCGAACGTTGCGCGCCATGTCCAGAAACTCTACATTCGATTTTCCTCCACCTCCTCCGACTATATGGTCGATATCAATGGAATTGCAATATCAGCGCTGCTGAGGGAACTTGCACCGAAACTGGACGCGCTTCATACTTTCATCTGGGATGCGGATGAGATTCCGCAATGCGATGATATGTGGTTCGCCCTACGAATGTCGTATGTTTGATCGGTGGTTCCTTTCTTACCAATAACTTATTTTATCACAGGTGCCCAGGGCTGCGCACACTTGGCACATGTTACGGATCTGTGATACCCAGCCAACGAAGTCATGTATGTGCATGACAAAAATGTGTACCATTCATTCATTTTCTCCAGTTGTTGGAATTCAAGAACCTCCGTGGGTTCTCGTTGACCCTGAAACATGGATACTACGCCCATCATTCGGATGACTTTCAAGGTCTGTGTTGTCGTTGACATGTGATTCACTGGTGTTTCGATTCGCTACAGATGCTCTTCCTTTCGATGGTCGCCTTTGGGATATGCTGATCCGGCGTTCCCCGGACCTCGAGGAGCTGCATGTCTTAGGTGGACCGTTGATTCTAGACGGAACAGTGCATCCGCTCTGCAACGCACGCTGGCCTCTCCTGCATTCCCTATCTCTAGGGGATCTCATGTTAGATTGGTCTTCAGGACCAGGATCCATGTCTTCCAAGCGCCCCTTCATAGCCTTTTTGGAGGCTCATCAGCGTCTGCGATTTTTTCGTACATCTCGTACTGCATTGAGTCCTCATATGCTCCCTTCACTCGATCCATCCGCATTACCACACCTTACCCATTTTGCTGGTTCGTTGGAGCATCTTCAAGTCCCTGGCCCCCTCCCATCCCCAAATCACACACTTAGCGATCGAGGAACCGCTAATCATCCGTGATCTCGCACCTCTTTTAGTTACAGGGGTATTGCAGAACCTGCGCTGCCTTACTGAACTTCGCATTGCCTTTATTTTCCATTCTTCATACGAAAGTGGGAACTTGATTAGAAACCTTGTAAGCACTTGCCCTGGACTGACCACGTTGGAGATAACATGCGCGAGAAGGTCATCTTCAAAGTTGTATGTTTTCTTGTTTGCCACCTGTATATTAAGGTCCTTAATATCTCTCAGGACACACTAGCCAAATCCGCCAGCTGCCTCCCTCGGCTGCGTCACCTACGGTTGACGCTAGTTCCGGTAGCCACAGAGGACTCATTGCATGTTTGCGCATCTCATGTCGTACAAGCGATCCCACGCTTACACTCATTTACACTGACGTTCATTTCCACCTCGCTTCCTCTATCTCTTACCCCCGTCGATTTTGACCTGTATGAGGAGAGTGGAAACTACGCTATTCGTATCGACGAACATGGGCTCCCTCATTCTCTGAGCTGTACCGAGCGAAGACCTGCGCCACGCCTGCCCTTCACACTTCCAAGCATTCCCATCCCTTTAGCAGTGCCGCTACTGGCCTTCTCCCCTTTCACATCCCCCTCTCCGCCAAGAGAGAGGAAAATGAGGAATCCAACGATTCTTGCTGAACCTCCGTCCAGGCACTTCCAAGCATAGTGGGTTAGGTCTTATTTTGGAGCGCAGTACAGCAGGGGATGAGGTGAGAGTGCTTACTGTTCTTGTAGCGCTGAGCGGATTTGCGCTGTGGGGTTTCTTTGCATAGATTTAGTCACAATGTCGGTACAGCTATTCCTCACTTATATCCGGTTTGAACTTGACTCATAGATGCATATGGTAGCTCTACGTAATGTATAATTAATACTTGCTGTCATGACATACAAAATCACCCCAACCTCACATAAGCGGCGCTCAAAGTGACTTCCTGGAATCTCAGTACGGCTCGGTAAAGTCGGTTACAGTCGGCTAATAGAGCTTCAGAGACCATCCAGTCTGATGAGCTTGATGACATTCAGAAATCAAATCGTACGAAGAGAGGATTTTCAGGACAATGTATCAGTGAAGGACGTGAAGTGTGGAATACCCCGTTCTAGAATTTTACAGTTGTCGGTACGTGAGCTAGGACTCAAAGGCGAAGGACAGATTGCTCATCACTCATCACCGTTTACATTCACAATGGAGCAGCCTGCTTCTAGCGATGCCTGTGAAGTTCACCTCATAGCAAGCTTTGATGCTATCCGTTTATATCCTTCGGAAACAAAAATGGCTCCAAATGAGACACTTTTTGGGAAGAGGGTCTAGCGGTCATTCTACATTTCTTAGACCAAGACTTGATCTCACGCTATGTGAAGCAGGATGCCTCACAAAGGGTGATGAAATAGTATGTCGAGGGATATGGTGAGGGCGTAGCCATTTTAATGCGGTCCTGCCGCGCCTTGACCGTGACACGCCTGAAAATGAAAATGTCAAGTTAAAGCCAGGTCTGATGACACTCTACTAAAACTTCCCAAGACCGTAACACTGAGAAATCCAACGCTAACTACTACATAGTACACGAGTCTCATTAAATATGACCCACAAGATGTCCATGTCATATTTCACATACGTATGCCATTCCCGCAGTGCGTCTTTGTGGTGATTCACGGTCTTTTATCAACTTTCGACTCTGCAGCGCCGGCTGCAGCGTTTAATAACAGTCCACCGCTAATACTCCGTCAGTTATGCTCCACATAACAGCAGGGTCTACGCACTCAGCCTATTGAAATCTGAGTCCTCGGCAGCCAAGTTACAGCTTGAAACTTTGCCAGCACTGACTGAAATTTGGACTTGTGTGAAGGCAATAGAAACGAGCAAGATGTAGAAGCTGAGTCTACCAGTGACGTTATCAAGCACAATCATGTTAATGATGTTTTTCACTAAGGTTCGCTGGTTGAATGTTGAACGTTGAGATCTCGAGAGACGAGATGCGTTGTTTTTATGTGAGATGAGACTGGGAGATGCATCCTTTTACATGATCAGCCCTCCGAGTCAGTGACTACGTACAGCATAACAGTCTTCCTTTCGATTTCAAATTATTGTTATCTATCAGCTGAGTTACGATTAAAATTTTACTGATGCGAGTGCATGGTCTTACGAATTTCACGAATTCCGAGGGAGTGCCTTGTTCCCCATCCATGCGGGGTACTTCGGCTCCCATATGTTGACAAGAATAGCGTAAGAACGTAATGATAGGACCTCGAAAATCTCGTCAGCTGCAAATTTGCCTGACTTACGCGAGTAGTAGGAACAGCGGCGGCAAAAACCTCTTGACCACGAACAGGACAACTTTGTGACGCTCGCCAATGGCAGTGACGATTCGTCTACGCGAAAGGCGCCACCTGAACCTCACTATAACTCGGATTGTTCATTACCCATCTCTTTGCGAATATCACCTGCCATCTGTGCTTATCTAAGTCCCAATTCAACTTTCACTGAGTGCATGCGCTCTCCGCCGTACCAAACACCACTTGTCCGTCACTTTCGCTGCCCTCGTTTCTTCTCCGGTGATTGAAGGTGCGCATTTGGCGCCCGCGCCCTCGTATAGCCATCATCGTCGTTCTTCGCCAAAGCCCACCTTCCCTCTGCCAAATCCATCCTACATTATCCCATCGACAACGCTGGTCACGCCGTCATCGAGTTATCTCAATGTCTCCAGCCTCAACCCCGTCTCTCCTAGATATGGATGATTGTACTGCTCGTATCTTATGCATCATAGTCGCCAGGTATTCCAAAACACGAGCCTGCGCCAGTGCCATCGCCATCAGCCATCATCATCCGCACACTCGCAAACAGCAACGACGACTTAGACGTGTTGTCCGTTCCAGGATCCTTCGTTAAAGTTGGACAAGCTTTAAAAAATATATCTCCATTATTTGCATTTTCTCATGTCTCTTCATCTTGTGTATCGTCTTCCTTAGTTAGAGAGTGATCAGATTCACTTGTATTTCTTGAATCCCCTCCCGTCTTATGCTTTTTACTAAGTAGAATAAGGCTAAATAAGCAGGAAGTGGCGGGAGGGACCTCGCTCTGGCGCCGAGTCAGCGTGAGGCGAGACTAGGCAGCACCAGGCTTCATGAGGTTGTAGGTCGAGCGTGGTGGGCAGTATCCGATGCACGTTGGCAAGGTGCTTAACCTCATACACAAGCAGAAAATTCCCTACCGAGCGGTGCTGGAGGTCTTGTCGGACCTCTCCCGAACGTGAGATAATGCAGTGTGCACGTACCTTGTTCTTCTCAACATTTGAGAACCGAAGGCGACTTTGGAACGGTAACAGGGCACCTACGACTCCTGTGTATCAGAAGAAACTGAATTACATCTTTCAGGATAACGGAAACTACCGCAGCACTGAGTTGCCATTAAATCACATAACGTGCCAGGGGTTTGCTATACAGGCTGCGATAGCATATCACATGAATGTTCTCATCATGTAGCCACGCGGTTGATTATTCCTCCGAGGGCGATCGTGCCAGCACGTATGATCGTATCAAAGTGGTTCAAGAAGCTCAGGGTAGGCTAGAAACGGAGGTACATGCGACTTTGTTCACAACCAGCACCGGCGAGATCTGATATAGTGACACAGCAGGGCACGGCATTTGAGATACGAATCAACCCCTTGAAGTACAGCTGTTTATTCTAATTATATCAGCAGGATTTCTGGGCTTACGAACTCCGGGTCTAATAATCAAGAACTTGCAATGTCACCTGGATGCAAATACTTGTTATGCTAGCTTGTTACACAATGACATGCATGGATCCAATTCTCATGGCCACTGGCAACACCATCGCGAGTACCGTGACCTCCTGCCAATATTGGAAAGCGTCGATCTCAAGCATGAAGCCGTCGCGATGAGTGAGTCTTCACGAGAGTGTGCATTCTAACCTCAATGAATTTGACTCAGAGATTCATCTGGATGGTCGCACGTGTCTAGTTACTTGTTGGTAGTAGTTGGACCAGAGCACCGAGTTTTGGTGTCAACCAACCATCTGATGATCTCTCATACGCATGGCATATTTAACTACCCTCGGTTCTCGCTCAATTTGTACAGATACATTTGTTTTGTATATGTAAGTACAATCATACTTGTGTATACTTCAGTAAACTCGCGCACAGTATAGCTATCGGTAACAAGGTCCGCAGGTACCCGTTCAAACCCCCTAAACATCCGAAGTTATTCCATGTAGTTTGTCCACGTCCTCATAAATTTTTGTCCAGTCACGACAGACAGTCTCGTATCCCCTGACGGCGGACCCCACATTATTTACGACCGGCTCGATTTTCATGTTGGGGTGACATAAAATCGATTGGCGAAGATAATTCATGCAGTGGCGAGTGATCAATGAGGGGGCACGCATTGCTGCGTAGTTGTCACGTATGATTCCTAGGCACTTGAGCTGGTGAAAGAGTGTCACTGTGTAAATGCGACTTTCACCCGTCTCCTCATCTTTGATTTGAACAGTGTGTCCTCCGCGCGGAATGAGTTTCGCAAACTCTTCCCGCCCTCATCCGTATCGGCGCGGTAGTGTGCTGTTTGGTCTACTCGCATCCATACTGGCTCTCCGAACTCCACTTGAAGGGATAGATCTGATACATGAAATCGTCAGTCAAGCCTGTAGGACACGCTAAAAAGCTTAGTAGTAATACCATGACTGAGAGCAATTCCTTTGAAAGACCTGCTGTTGGATAACCAAGGCCTTCGTGCAATAAGATTGACAAGGCCAATACCTACAACTGTGGTGAGTATCACCCTAAAAGCAAAAACAAGTCGTCTCATTATTGTCTGCGGGGAATCGGGGTAACTTTTGGCGCTTATTATTAAACTAGCCTTGTGGCGGTACGCCACGATACCTCATGCATGCATGATTCCCCGATCGATCGATCAGAGTCACTGTATAATTCGGCGGCGGAACGCGGTTAAGCAGTAGTAGCAGTCACCTGTGCGATTGATGCCAACACAAGGTACGGGGCCTGGGAGGATTGCTTCGGATACAGATCACTGCGTGGCTCGGAAGATTTACGTGCCATTAAGTCAACAGAAGGCAAAGCGTCAGGGTAATAAGAGCCAAATAGTGAGGCTGAAAGGCAGTCCATCTATTACCAATTACTTATCTGCGGACATCAGTGGTTTGGGCGCACCAGCCCCATGATGAGGCTGGTCCTTACCAGTACTGGTCAGACACTGATACGCCATCTTCTATGTGGTCGATATTAATGTGTTTCCATTGAACAACTACGTGAATGCCAAGGTTTCGTTGAATGCGTTGTTTTCAAAGTAATTGTGGGGTACAGATAATCCAATCATCGAGGTCCATACCAGTATACTACATACAATGTTTTTTTTAAATTCTGACCCGAGGCACTCTGCAACCACTATCTCAGTATCTAAGCAACCTTGCTCACACAGCTGCTTCCACTGACTCGCGGTCGTTACTCTTGTAGGACGGTCGCGCCTCAAAGCCACTGGAACCGGTGAACGTTTTTGAGCCATACCCGAGATCACCCATGCGGATTGCTTGCACTGATGGCCTCGAAGTCATGACCCTGGACATGGTGTCCTGAGACCAACTCTTTCCTTGCGCGACTCGGAAAACTATAAGTAACATTGCAATTATCTGTGGCAATGTCATAAGTAACGCGAACTCCTCTCTATTCGCCAGTGCTCACCTGAACCTGAGTGAGCGACTCGATAAATGTCTCCGAGATAGGATTGTTTCGAAGGAAGAGTGTCAGAAATGCCACCGAAAACGCGGAATAAAGAGCGGCGGATTCAATGATCATCGCGGCAATTGACGTGTATTGAGTGCCGTAGCTAGAGCCAAGAACTTTGGAAATGCGATGACGATATATGAGCAGACGAAGTACAATAGCGATCGTAATGATGATGTTCAGTGCGAGTGAGAGGGTGAGATATGGAACGGTGTAGTTGATGTTAGTCGAGGAGAAATATGGGGAATTGGCAGTTACTTGAAGCAGGAACATTATACCCATAGCTGACCGATACAATGGTAAGCATCCGATACAGTCACAGACACTCGAAGGAAGCAACTGACCGATGGATGCGGCGAACATCAGACCAGGGAATAACAGGATAATCCACATTGGTACCATACACCCTCTGTAAATCACCATACAACGCCAAACCTGCACAGATATATTAGCGATAACATTTTCAACGTCGAATACTTCTACTCACGACCAATCCATCTGAAAGAATCATCGTTAGAAAACCACAGACGTTTCCAAGATTGTCCACAGGAATGCCGAACATGTTATTCTCAAATGCGTTCGGACCACCCGGATAATCGCGATATTGAATGAATGCGAGTTGTGTGAAATCGGCCAGCGCTGCCATAAATAAGGTGCTGAAGATGAAAGTTGTGGTGATGTATATGAGGAGAGGCAGTTGCTTTTTGTAGTTCATGCGGTTCATCTGCCGGAAAAGGAGGTGGAAGCACATCAAGTACAGTGCGACGTTAATGCCATATGCAACGGCGCTGACTACTGTACCCTGCAACCAGCCTTTCTCTGCGAGAAACGTTTCAGACGATTCGTCTGGTGTCCAACTAGATGACATGATGGATCAAATGATGAACAGAATAACTTGACGGATCTTTCTGGGGAAATAGTGATCTAGGGTGGGCGGGGGTGAGTCACGATCATGATGTTAGCACCTTTTTAAATAATACTGAAACGTATGTCCTTTGGCACACAGCTGTTGGGCCCCTTAAGTGCGTGCGGTGAACCGTGAGTGGTGTTTTCAAGAACATTAAAAATGATGTGGCCTAGATCGTATTAAATTTTGTGCCTGATCAGGATGCCAATAGTAGAATCCTACATTCCAGGAAGGTGCAATTGCAGTCGTATCGCCGCTGAACCGCTGATGCGCCAGTTTTCGATCCTGACACCGCTGGCTTCTTGCGATTGCTGTCTTCCTTCGTAACTGGTATCTAGTAGCCCGAACAGACACACCAGGACGTGGCACATTCGTAGCTACCTGTATCAATTAACTTCTCTCCGGCTCCTGTCGTCGCGATAATCTGGTCTGGCCGGATCTCCTCTCTCGTTTGTTCTTCGCTACTTAGCGCTCGTTGTCGTCTCCCTGATCGTTGCATCACTCATATCGGCTTCGTTAGTCTTCTTGCATGCGTCTCGTTTCATCCTAATGCTCCCCATGCCCTCGTATATCCTAAAGTCGATCGTTCTCTCGGTCATTCGCTGCTTGGTCAACAATTTGTTGATGTCCTCACTACCTGTTACGAGAATCGCTCCTTTACGACTGATGTTGAGTTTGAAATGATTGATTACATCCGGCGTGATGTTGTGATCGGTATGTATGAGGTTGCTCGTGCTGACAATCAAGTCGTTCATGATCTCCATCACACTGCACCCGTCTTTTATCAGCTACGATTTTCTTACTTATGTATGTAGAAACTCGTCTTGTACATACCTAATATTCGCGAGCATTGTGTCCCTCTCGATTGTGGAAATTTTCAATCAACATCCAAATGTGGAGCTGCTCAGAATTGCTGAACGCGTGCAGAGTCATTTCTTCAGAAAGTCCGGGAATAGGGTAGTCATCAGGCTGGTATTCGTTTCAGTGTGTTTTCTGAGGACTTTGCTAGGTTAAAACGGTCATGTTCTCTTCACCGCATGCAGACTACTGGTCTTGCACCAGTTGGAGAATGTCACAAAAGTCTTTGTACTACGCCTTCGATCTTGATCACGTTGACTATAATGCATGTAGGGAGATAAGTACTGACTTGAAGTTGGCGAGATAAATCATGGATATATTGATCGCAGCCAATCACTATTGCCCTCACTACTGACAATATCTGTGTACAGTCGCTCTTGTGTACTCGCAGTGAAGTTCAACTGTCTTGAGGTTCTCAACCAAATATCCGCGTTTTGGATCAAGCTGCAAGTCGAGCCGTTCAGCTCGCAGCCAAACGGATTTGATTATAGTATCTCACCGTCCAAGTCACTGCCGTCAGATGCTGTGTCAGGTGTCTAGGTGGGCAAGAGAACGAGAGAAAACTGAGATTAAAAGAAAGTGGAGACTGGAAAAACGACACATGAAAGGATCAGCTGAGACTCTGAGACTCTGAGAGGTCGACGCAAAGCTTACATAAACGCTTACACAAGATATTGCCACAGTCGATTTGGGGAGCCGCCTAAACGTTAACGAGAATCACGCTCAGCGTGCGTTTCAAGCGTTCTATCTGTGATCTCACGGAGTTGGATGTCTGAAAATGTTCAGGGAGATCTGACGGTACCTCTTAGAAGCTTTACAGGTCTTCATACCCATACCCGTGTCAGCCGATCACAGGTACCAGGTACCTGTACCGTACCACCGGCGGGGTACGTACCGGTAAGCCTTACCAGTGCCATACCCTGGTGAGGAACTTACCTCATAGTACAGCATCGATTCCCGATTGCAACCAACCAAACACCGCCGTTTCATCTTGGCCCTTGGACGATGCATGAAACAGTCGCGAGATAATTCAAGTTGAACGTTTCAAGTTGGTCCTAATATTGTGGTTTCCGAACGCGTCTGCCCTCATCGTGTATAAATCTTGATCAAGTCTCATCTGGACGTCAGTTCGCTCCCCCGACGCGCTCCATATGTTAGCTTCCAATGACTGAAGTTACAGCCAAAGTAGACTTCAAAGTCGGTGATGACACGTACCAGACTTAGTATAAGATCGTCGGGGATCTCGCTTCGGGTGCACACCCTCTCATCGTGCTACACGGCGGCCCTGGCGTCTCGCATGAGTATACGACCTCTCGCTGAAATTCACAACAAATGCAACATTCCCGTCATCTTTTACGACCAATCGGCATTGGCAAGTCCATTTTTCAAGGTGTGGTGGAGAAGCCCAAAGGGTTCTGGACAGTCGATCTGTTTATGGATAAGCTGGGCAACCTTCTTGTCCGCTTTGGTGTGCAGAATGGCTATGCTCTTCTGGGTCACTGCTAGGGAGTGATGTTAGGAACGGATCATGCCAGCTACTGACACACTGGGTCTCAAACATCTCGTCCTCACTGGCGTAGCCCCATCCATGGCATTGTGGGAAAAAGCACCAGCCAGTTGCTGAATGCGCTGCCAGCAGATGTGAGGCAGACGAATGAGAAGCACGAGAAAGAGGGGACACCGGATAGTCCTGAATATCATCTAATGATGGTGATCTTCTATGAAAGGTATGTTTGTAAGACCCCCTGGCCAAAAGAGTTGGAAACGTTTTTTGCAGCCGTGTCGCAAAATCCCACTGTGTAACATGCACGATGTAGGTGATGGATGTCTCGACGAACCTTTATAACATGTGCCAATTATTGTTACCAAGGTTGGACCGTCAGAGTTTACCATTACGGGTACGCTGAAGTCATGGTTGTGTCTGGATCAGATCTACACAATCATAGTTCCACTCTCCTCGCCAACGGGGTCATTGAGGAAGCGCAGGACGTCTGCATCGGTTTTTTCTTCTACAGAATCCCACATGTGAAGCGGGCGCGGCTCTCGCAGCGTCGCATACTATTCTTGGGGAGGATCAGGCAAGATATTTTCAAGTAGTGGCTGAATTTCTGACGTATCCTTGTTAAGTATAACTAAGATTGAATGCATGGGAATGGAATGACCATATTACCAGCGATTTCCTCCTTCCACGAGTACAGCGCAGGATAGGCTGGAAGGATTATCCTGTCTTGAATAAATTGCAAAAAATAACATTTCGGGAAGACACTTAAGTAATTTATAGGAGCCTTCGTCTGAACTGGCAACAACTTTGGTTGCACAACTTGGTGATATAAGGCAGCACTAAAGACTGGTCGATTTTATTGTATTAAACAGGCTCCAATTTGAAAATGAACGCATTTAAAACCTAGCACCGCCATTGAACCACTCAGTAAAATAATACATAGTTCCGCAGACGCACTCAGTGAAAACGAATTGAAGCGTACGAAGTAGCGTGTCAGTTTAATCCCAATGCGCCATCCACTGCAGCCACTTCTCGTGGTACTCTTCAAGTACAGAATTTGCCTTGCCCCAGTCTCTGCATACTAATGTGTCCCCGATTCTGTCCTTCTCGTAATCGACGCTCAGAAAGTCTCCCATTTCCAGCGTATGCGCAGGGTCACACATAAGAGTCTGCCGAAGATAATTGAGACAGTGATGTGTGTGATGGTATGTGACCTGGGGTTGGTCACGGTTGTAGTCGAGGAGAGCTTGTTGCAGGATCCATAAACAGTGAAGTTGATGTCCGAAGACCAGCACGAAAACTCGGTGCTCTGGTCCTAGATGGGTGCGACCAACTATTTTCGGCCAGGTTGGGATATGCTCCCACTCCAGTTGAGATTCTGTGTCAGATGCGTTCAGAGCAAAATGCACACTCTCGTGAAGAGTTATCGCGACGGCCTCATGCGTGAGATCGACAGGAAATTCCCATGGATAATCATCGCCAGCGTAAGTGTATTCTATAGATTCTGAAATGACGAGGTCAGTCCATCATGTTTTTGCATCAACACGTATGGGAGGTACTCGCGATGCTGTACCGGTTGCAGTTGGACGCGAGCGTGCCACACGGTGACAAGTATACTAAGCATCCCGAATATCCATCCAACCGCTAGTTCCCCGCGAGACATCATGGATACCGATTGCCTGCAGGTACTAACGCAAGTTCTTGATTGTTATAGTAACTAAGTCCAGAAGCCCTGCTGATATATGATTAGCACAGCCAGCGAGTTTGCCATAGCCCTAAAATATTTTACCCTGCTGCAGGCAAGCTAGAGTTACACGATTATATGGACCCATCACAATCAAACTTGTTCTTTTGTTTTAGCTTCGATCTGCACGTCTCGTATATTGCACCAGTCCGGGTCAGAGAATGAATTGCCGCATGGTCACGAAGCAGGGTGGGTGACGCTAGTTGTCATATCTTGATAGAAGGAAGACAGTAGCTCCTTCTTCATACCATCCGCATGGTCGCATGGCCACACAATCATCACATCATGATCCTGGCCTAATCAATGGATTATTGCTGATGCGTATTGGGCACCCAAACCGCCGACAGAAATGTACATCACGAACTGCTTTTAGGTTCTACCTCACTCACCCATGTGGCGACATGGTTGCTGTTATGATCCCCGTCATCCTGAAAGATGTACCGGTACCGTAAGGTAATGTTATGGTATCTCTTTCTGACGAGTCAATATGACAGGTGAGCAGCTGAGCTAGACAAATTATCTTGATTCATGGCTTCCGGACCGTGGGATGCGCCTATCTTTATGAATCAAATGTAGAATTCAATTTCGTTCGTAGAAACCCCTGTGGTGTTGACAGAATAACTCATACAGTCAGATACGGTCGACCGCTCAGGGCTCCGAACCTCGAAGCACTTGCTCTGAACGAGGAGAGACGAGACGTCAGGGAGTACTATCATATGGTGTCCTAATCCACCTGTTGGGACCAGCCTGATCAGCCTGAATCACGCGGACATGTTTATGTAAGTAGTTCAAAGTCAATTTGCGACGGTCGCTGACCATTTCGATCAAAGCCCTTCAAGACATGTTATTGGATACCACTCCAAAAACAGTACAAATCTGGAAGTGCTGTCACGCCGGCCTTCAGTCGTTTGCAGTTCTAGAAACATAAACATTTACCGCTAGGCAATTAGTACAGCCATGGCAAGTCCGTGTCAGTCAACCGCTGTGCACTAAATATGAGCGCCGAGTTCCATCTGACCTTTAACAGGAATACAAGGAAAGACTATCCCTGAATTTCAAACCAACACACTTCATTTAGGCGACCCGAGCTGGTGTTTAAAAGAGCCCAAATACCAATCTCATCTGGCACAAGACAACGCATCTTAACCAGCGAGCCTTATCTAACAGTATCATTCAATACCATGAGCGTGCTCAACATTAGCTTCTACGTCGTATTCTTGTTTGCGACCTTCGCGCAAATCCCAGCAGCAGTCGGCGGGGGCTGTGTTGAAACCGGTGACGACGTAGATGGTTTAACCTGTGAGTAGATCCCGGCGACGGTGTGGGACATGGCTAACAAACCTCTAGCAATGGAAGCACGGGGATGCTTTTAGAGCCTCAATGCAGCGGGGGGGTTAAAAGTCGGTGTAATGAATATTGGAACAGCAGACGAGACGGTCATCCTGTATATGATCACCATATACTAGTACATATAGTGACAGTAACGCCAGTGTATTGTCTGAGTGAGTGGCGAGGAATTATACTACTAAGACTGTATTTGATAACAATCATAGAAGGTGTGGAAGGAGCATCGGAATTAAGTTGATACGCTATCCTCTATACGTGAATGTTCATTTGAGAGTATGATCCTGTGTAAGACAATACAATCTAACTTAGGGAGCCTGTGTCCCGCCACGCCTCTAGGTCCGTGAATGCCTTGATATGAGGCGTGCCCCCACCGGTCCGCCCCCGCAGGTCGTTTTAGACATGCAGGTGAAGTGTCTTTAAAACGTTCGCGCAATCAAGAACGCTGTGAACCAAGGAGGAAGAGATTTTCTCACTACCACCGTTGGTACCGTATATCGTGCGACTTGGTGCATTTCAGAAAAACTACCCCTGAATTTTAAATCAACGCACTCCCCCCTCTCAAGGAGCTAATGTTTAAAAGGGCCCAAGTACCGATCTCCATCTGGCATAAAACAAGGCATCTTAACCAGCGAGTCTTAGCGGACAGTATCGTTCAATACCATGAGCGTGCTCAACATCAGCTTCTACGTCTTACTCCTGTCTGTGGCTTTTGCGCAATTCACAGCAGCAGTCCCTGTCTCGAAATGCCACCATGCTGAGCTTAGTGACGACGTGGATGGTTTAACCTATGAGTAGATCCCGGCGACGGTGTGGGACATGGATAACAAACCTCTAGTAAATGAAGCACGGGGATGCTTTTAAAGCCTTCTTAATAATGCAGTGGCGGGAAGGTTGAAAGTTGATGTAAAGAATATTGGAACAGCAGACGAGACGACCATCTCGTATATGATGTAGTGACGGTAACCTTCCTCGACAACAACTTGAAATCAGTATATTACTACTGAGACTGTACTTGATGACAATACGTACCATTGTATACATGTATCATAACGGCTGCTCGGCCGCGCCAGCCCCCGACTCCAAGTCGAATCATTTTCTTGCAAGACATGCCTATTGAATATGCAGCACCAGCTGGTGTGTACATACTGTACTGAGTGTACCTTACAACAGTAATTGTACCCTCGTGCAGTACTAACACCAGGTCATGCTGCATCCAATGCTCTCGAGGGATTGTCTTTAATACCGTACATCGTGCGACTTGGGATGGCAGCCGCATGCCTTGCGATGCCGACGCCTAGGAGTAGCAATATTTGTTGACGCTGCTCGAAGTCCCCATCGAACTGCCCGCTGGAGTTTGCATTTACAGGACAGGTAAGTTAATCACCACACTGTCGTCCGATTTACTTGGTCATGCAGTTAGTCTCCGAGTCCTGCACGCGACTTACGTACTGATCATGGTTTCGACTCAAACTTTAAAAGTGCAGGGGGAGGAAATCAAACATGGGGGTCCGGACCTGATTATCATGGTGCGCCCTGCCGGGACCCGGCTGAGTACCAAGGTTTGAGGTCCAGCAGTTGGGCGCCCGTCGTGCGATAGGTGTGGACTCTGATAGGATTCATCATAAGCACTAAATGACTCCATTAAGCAAAATACTGACCGTGTGAGCGGTGAAAGTTCATTAAAAACGGCGTGCTCACTCCGTGAGTCCATTTCAGTGTGTATCAGGTTCTGAACGTTTGAAGCAGTGCATGAGGTCATAGTTCTGATACCAGATATCTTACCCCCGCTGTATCAGTATCAGTCCAAACCGATGGACCATCGTGGAAACTTCAAACCTAATTATTATGGGAAGATTCAGGTTTAGAAGCTACTCGAATCACCAAGGAATGATGGACGGTTTTGATTGGCTGGCAAAACTACATGCTCTAACTCCGAGCCCACGATGCTCACATGCATACACCATCCGTTGAGCGCCTATTTCATCCAAGCATCAACCTCTGTAGCACATTATATCGGGTCACGGCCTAGTCCGAAGCTTCAAGTCGCTCTTCCGTGCTGATCGCCGCACTTGCGTGTTTGGCGTTTTGGATGAACATATTTTCCAAGTCCAATTCGAAAACAAGTATTGCTACGTCATTCCTCGAATAATCATATACAACGCTAGTACGACTGATATGATGATCAACCTCTAAACACCGCCATTTCATTTTGAGTGACGGACAAACAGCCGGAATAGTCCAGCTTGAACGTTGAAACACCCTTCTCTCGTATAAAGGGTTGCGCCCTGATGGTTGCTAGCTCCCTCTTCAAAAGCGCCCCATACATTAAACTTCCAATGACTGAAGTTACAGGCAAAGTAGATTTCAAAGTCGGTGACGATACGTACCAGACTTGGTATAAGATCGTCGGGGATCTCGCTTCGGGTGCACACCCTCTCATCGTGCTGCACGGCGGCCCTGGCGTCTCGCATGAGTATATGACACCTCTCGTTGAAATTCAAAACAAATGCAACATTCCTGTCATCTTTTACGACCAGATCGGCATTGGCAAGTCCATTTTTGAAGGCGTGGCGGAGAAGCCCAAAGAGTTTTGGACAGTCGATCTGTTCATGGATGAGCTGGACAACCTTCTTGCCCACTTCAGTGTGCAGAATGGCTTTGCTCTTCTAGGTCACTCATGGGGAGCGATGTTAGGAGCGCACTATGCCAGCCACAGACACCCTGTGGGCCTCAAACATCTCATCCTCACTGGGGGAGCCCCGTCCATGGAATTGTGGGAAAAAAGCACTGGCCAGCTGCTGAATGCGCTGCCAGCAGGTGTGAGGGAGACGATTGAAAAGCACGAGAAAGAGGGGACAACGGATAGCCCTGAATATCAACAAATGATGGGGATCTTCTATGAAAAGCATGTTTGCAAGCCCCCTGGCCAAAGGTGATGGAGACGTCCTTTGGAGCTATGATGCAAAATCCTACTGTGTATCATACGATGTAGGTGGTGTCTCGACGTACCTTTTCGACATGTATTGATCATTGTTGCCAGGATTGGACCGTCAGAGTTCACCATTACGGGCACCCTGAAGTCATGGTCATGTTTAGATCAGATTCACACCATAACAACTCCTACTCTGCTCACCAACGGTGTCCTGGACGAAGCGCAGGACGTCTGTGTCAGTCCTTTCTTCCACAGAATCCCGCATGTGAAGTGGGTGCAGTTCTCGCAGCGCCACATGCCATTCTTGGAGGAGGAAGACCAGGCGAGATACTTTCAAGTAGTGGCTGATTTTCTGACGTATCCTTGAATAGTTAATCCTGTAAAATATATCTAAGCTTCAATTAAGGCATGGGAATGAAATGACTACAGTGATTTCCTCCTTCCACCGCCTCAGCAAAGGATCTCAATCCTGTCTTAGATAAAGGACACGCGCTGAAACCTGATAGAGGGCCGCCGCCTGTATGTGTACCTCCAGGAGAACCTGGAGATACTAGACCGTCTAGACTTACCGGTACAATTGCTCAGTCATTTGGCCATAATATGACTTTGGCACTGTCTCGCCTCAGTCTCATTTCTCCATCAATTTTTATAGTTAGAATTTCTAGTGCGTGAAAACCGAAGTGGCAAACTGGAATATCTGACTGAGATAGGATGATATGCATGAAGTGAACGTTGGTGTACGGGATTTGCCGAACGCACAATAGGAATAAATGATATCGATACAGCACTTGTACTAACTTTATGCATTTACAAAAGACATGGAAAACATACTTTCAATTGGGGCAGGTGTTGCTCTGCGTGTCGTGCTCGACATTGCTACTGGAAAAGATCACAAACTCATAGGTTTGTTTCGAGCAGTCTTTAATTTTTTTTTCAAGTATATCTAATTAACTTTGTTGCAAGGCATACTCATCGGACTCTGGGAGGGCGTCGTGCTCTCGCACTTCCTCTCGAAGCATACCCGTTCTCGATCGAAGTCGAAAGACCCATACCTCGCCCTTGCTACGCGCATGGCAATTGACATTTACTTATCATACTCACTTTCTCGCTTTGCCCTCACATGTGCATGGACGCCGGTCGGGCTCCTCCTTGCAGACGTCACTCCTGGAATATGGCGCGATACAGGACTTAAGAGTGTATATAAGGCACTGAGGAGGGAGGTGAGAGCTATAATGAAGGCCATGCCGCGATGGAAGGTCAAGAATGACTTGCGAGTACCGAAGATTTCCATCGATAATCCCGTGCGAGGCTTGTTTAAACGTGCTCCACCATCATCTGTTGTTTCGAGCACCCGCGCTGCACCTCCCGCTTCACCCTCCCAACAAATACACAAAAGGCGCATGCCACCTGGGACGTACCCTGGCCGTCCTGCCCTTTCCGAGACGAACTCTGAGCTTAGTCGCGTACGCGAAGTCATTCCAGGTCCATCCCCAGCATTCATATCAACCACAGTCGATCCCGCATGTCTTCCACCCGTAGACCTGCACTCTCAACATATTTCGCACCTCTCCGACACTGGACCTTCGAGACACGACCCTATAACTATCCATAATGACAGCTGGGTGCACGTCAGTGTGTCTTCACATTCGCCAGAACAAGGGCAGGGCCCAGAGCTAAGTGTACTCGACATTCTTCCACCTACATCTGAAGGCCAAACCATCACCGCAAACGTCGAGGTTGTCTCCCCAACACCTCGCATGCATATTAGCTCCCTCCCTACAATCGCCGCTCACCAGGTGCCACTGCCGGAATCACGGCCCGCATCTGTCATAGGCAGCGTCCTCTCCCTATTTGGTGCAAAGAGTATATTGAACCGCGCGCGCGGCGACAAGGTCAGGTTGGACGTTGGAATTGATGCTACTCAGCATCAGGCAAGCACGACTGAGTGGGAGCATCCAACTGTCGGACAAGAACAGCACCGGCCTAGCGCAGTGACGGGACACCGCCGCATGAGCTCAGGCCCTGGACCTTCAATGCTCAGGTATACTGATAATGACGGTGAATCGGTAGTGGGTTCGATCATAGGGGAAAGCGCAAGAACTGAGCCCATCCTCGGCGGTATGTCAGAGTCTCTGTCGGGTACTGGAAGAGCAGCTTTCGTAGGCGGACTTTCTACCGAGATGACTGCACCCGAAGCTTTTGTGGGTGGGTTTACAGTGGAATGTACTGGGAATGAGTTCGCCATCCAGTCAGGCATTGCGTCTCAGCCTCTGTCTGCACTAGGACAATCCAATGTACCGTCTCAAAACCCATCCGAGAACCCCTCTCAGACACCCGCCCCTCCTGACGCTCCAGCCACGACGTCTACGATTGCCGATCCCCAACCTCTCGTAGACTGGTCTCAACCATCGAACACTGATAATATCCCAGGCGCCAACATCAACAACACTGCCAATAATCCCCTCCCGAACCCCATCCCCAGTGCAGACGACCCTGCCAGCAATCAAAATCCTGCTCTTACCGCCGCTCAGAAACCAGAAAAACTAGGAAAGCCAGAAAGGAGGAAGAGAGGGTCCAGGAATGCTACGCAGGCAGCCTCCCAGAGCGCCACACCCGGTCCACCTGAGACCACTCTCCAAGACCAACAGCAGACCTCTGCCCGTGCTCAAACACCAAGTCCTGATTCTCAAAACCCCGCAGGCTCTGCATCAGACCCCCTTCTCACCTCAGATGGTCCAACGCAAGACGCGGCTGTTTCTGTGCAACGTACGACAGAGATAGACACAGACATAGCGAAGCACGGGCACATCCGTGGGGTGCAAGGACCCGACTTCTCCGACGGCAGCCCCAACTCGCCACCACCGCCCTTCAAGGAGGTGGCGACACCTATCGAGCCCACTCTTCTTACGCAAGAGCAGACTGAGCGCGAGTCGCTTCGCGGGGAATTCTTGATGCGAGAGCTGAAGCAGCTGGAGATACTTATCACGAAAGCGGAGAGTGGGATAGGGCGGGGAAGTCCAAGTCCATTGAGTGCGGAGAGGCTGAATGGGCTTAGGGAGAGGCTTGAGATGGTCAGAGGGAGAGTTGAGAGGAGGGTTTATGAAGGTGCTTCTTTGATTTGAACTCTTTTGGCTATGGGCACGATGCTGAATCTTCCCCCTTCTATTCCCATACACAGACCCCTCCACCGAATTTGAAACCCCACACCAACTCACCCTTTCCGGTATCGACAGCCCGTCAGCCATTGACCTTGTGCGTACCGCCATTGTAGATCTGCTCCTAGAGACACCCCACGCAGAGCCATTGGCGGTCGTTGGATATATCAACAGGCAGAAGAAGGGAGGCGGAAAGGCAGGTGATTTGAAGAACGCTGTTGTAGATTGGGTGAAAGAGTGAGTTTTTTTGTCGTCGCGTTGTTCCACCCACTTTGAGCAGATGGGTTTTATGCTATTTTATTTCTTCTTTTCTATGTGGCTTCGCACTAATGCATCACCTTGTAGGAACAAGTTCAAGGTTCGGAATGACTCGGGGACGCCATTTATTCTGAATATCACGTTTTAAATGTTCGCGTGTTACACGCCCATTGAATACCATGTCCGCGGCGCTTTCACCACCAGTGCGTGTCGTATTCGCAACGACCTCCACACATGTTTTTTTACATGTGGACCTTATCACGACCTACGTCGATTATTCAACCATGCAAGTACCCTACCCCGCCAATCATGCCACGACATTGATATCTTACCTATACTACGCACTCGATTTCATCACCTGGAAGCAAACACTGCTGGACAACGGCCTCGGTTCTTATGCTCTGATTTATGGTCACTCACAGATATGCGGTACAAGTACTGTATTCTTTTGTATATAGTTTTTTTTATGCTTGTGCGAATAATCACTTCTGATTATGTTCTGTATGATTTGCGGGGCTGCTGTAAGCACGCTGGCTTACTAGAGTTCCCATAATCTACATAAATACTGTCCACGATACTGAAACATAAGCTTTCAGTATCACTACTTTTTGGTGTAACAGTCAAGCGGACGACAGTCTTGACTAAGTTATAGCTGCTAGGCATGTGATTCATTGCACATGGTCAATCAACACTTCGACTCCGGAACACCAACCATCCGCGGTGTGCGTCAGGCTTTATGAGATGGACAAAGAATTTACATATGCCGCTCCGGACTCCGTGATCATCTTGGTCTTCAGTGTCTTCTTAATTGTCAGGTCATCCATTAGCTAACCGCCAAATATCAGAGGTGGTAACTTTAGGACCAGATGCTGAGTGTGTATGAGCCTTAACGCGGAAAAAGGAAGACTATCGAAAGCCTCTTTTTAGTGCAGAAGACCTATCAGCCTGTGATTATTCGCTTGCTTGTTGTGTCGATAACACGGCATGTTCTGGACATCCCAGCGATTATGGTACTGCGGTAGCCTGAGAAGCTATTCTCACACCTCTCGAAGCAGCTGGGCTTCCCATACACTGTGCGCTGTGCTCTGGCAGCTCGCTTCAGCACCGAAGCACAGATAATGTGGGTAAGGCCGGGGCTGATTCTGTAGGCCTTGGAGGAGACCTCGATCGGTTTTTCAAGGCTACGAAGGCCCCACATCCATGAGGCATGCAGTTCTGCTATAAAATCAGCTTGTCCACGGGCATTCCATCGAACACGTGGGGCTCACCTCGTCAACAGTTTCATAATGTATTCCAACATTCTGTCCCTCATTTACGTTTTATACATACTTCATATTTCGTGTGTTGCCCACGTCATTGTTAAAGACACAGGTACGAATTATGTTCTAGTTCAGCTGAATGTTAATAACCTGTGTAAAGTTGCCCCAGGTATGGCTGGTGTGGATATTCAAATGTCGCCTGCAGCTATTATCTGATCCCTGTGATAGTTCCAGCTGCCGACACTCAGGATGGAAGACTGTGGATAACAGCTGTCCACGACGAAATAATTCCAGGTAGAGACAAGAAGTCATAGCTCGTAACGCAGCTGCCTGAATTTATCACCCGCAGTCCGTGCTGATGGTCGGCGTACGGCAGAGGCTCGAATGACGCCCCTCGTTGGTGTTCTTTGGCAAACAGGCGTTCATCAGGAAGTGTCACCTAGTCGAGGTAGATAAAATCGCTCGATTTGTTCTTTAGTTACCATTTCTGCTTACTACAGCAGGCAACAGCAGGGAAAATGGACCTGAACCGACGTCGGTCGCTGTTTCTTTTTGGAAGACGGAGGGAATAGCTTCAGAACTGTGTTAGTCTATATGAATGGTCACTTGACTGGTGCTTACCAAAAACCGTAGCAGCTATTCAACGTGCTGAGGAACCTGTACCTACGTACGTCTTGGGATTACTGTTTCAAAGCGCCGTTCACGAGAAGATCTCCAATTCTCAAGGAGTATAGCAACCGGATGGTCTTTTATGTGTCCTTGCGCAATAGACTGACACTGATCGAAGAAGCGCTTTATTCGTGAAGGACATCGCAGGAGTTGAAAAGCAGCGTTAGAAGGTCCTCACAGCGGGCTTCAGAAATGATGTTAAATGGGAAGATTTTCGTCCAGTGAATTTCAACTACTTACCATTCTGTACAACATTTCTAAGAGACCAAGAGCGAGTTACCTGCGTGAGCGTCAGCAGCTCGAGACTCGGGAGGCTGTAGAGTTGAAGTTTCGAGAATTATACGTCTTACCACTTTGAAGCGCTGTCATCATCTTGTTCGTGAGTCTGAGTGCCTGCATTGGGAAAACATTAACTGTGTCAGTCCGCAACTACGTACTGTTTTGTCATGTTAATCCCGGCGATTATGTTTCAAGAATAAACTGTCTTTTTTTAAGCGCAAGACGGAAGATCGGTGCACGGTGACCGACGACACTTAAGGGAGAGTACTTCTATGTCCCCATTCAAATGGCACAACTGCTGCTTATTGGCTGTCTAGCCTTGCGGACGAGAAGGTCCAGTGGTGAGTCAAGCTTTCAAGGTTGCAGTTAATTTCCTCGTGAGTAACGACCCATTCAAGTCCCAGATGTGCTGTGACCAGTCCGACATTGTGCTGTGACGTACCGTCGGGGAGACAACTGTCCAGACTAATGAGTTCAGAAGAGCGTGTCACGTGAGTCTGAGTAACGGGTTCCCCCGGACGGCTTTCTTTTATAACGTCACTGCGTACGACTTTTTCTGAGAAAATGACCCATCGGTTGCAAAAATACTCGAGATAAAGCCTGCTAAAGCACCGTAATTTGGCTTGAGAGAGAGCACGTAGTCAGGCACGGTGCCATATTCGACTTCGGCGTACATGGTGAGCCCGGTCGAACCCCAATGCGCCACGTTTTAGAAATTGTAATGTGTAACTCATATGCGGTCTTTCTTGCTGGCTAGTGACCGTGGAACACAGTACACACTGCGCACCAGATGCATATAGGTGTTTCCAATGAATTAGTTGTGACCATGCCCTGATGGCAACGACAAGTCAAAACTCCACAATCCCGGCAGGCTGCGGGTCACAAACGACGCGATAATCGGACATGACATGTACAGAGTCCGAATGGGCAATTTCCTGAAGCAAGGACCACAACCGAACGAAATGATAACGCCCTATTCCAAAAGACTTTTCACCAAGGTAGCAGTCTCGAACCCGCTCGCACAGGTAAGTAGTGAAAATAATATAATCGTGCATGCAGGGGGCGGCTACGAGACTAGTCAACGGCTCATCATCTTGCTCAGCATCGAACCCATAAGCATCATCCTACAGCGAGAAGGTCAACTCTTGATTTCCGCTAGGTAGACGAGAGCGAAGGTAGACATTGTTCCTCATTGACCACCGAGACTGAAAACAGCTCCAAGGACGGACCCCGCGCATCTGGGAGATTTTTGTTGCAGTCTCGAATGAGAAGCAAGTGCGGTTCCTCTTTTGATTTTCAACTCGTGGTCGTTACAATGACTACCACTAACTCTCAGGCATCAGCACCGGTCGCGAGCTCATAATAAACTGAACACTGGATGCTCGTAGTATATCTAAACCCTCTTGCATGGCGGTGGGTCATCATGAACCGTACTCGGACGTGAGCCGGTACCTCCCTTTGCGACACCCAAAGCTGCTGTGTCAGGAAACGAATATAGTTTCTGCACTTAGTAGGACCTCTCCGTCTGTACGGCCTATTTATCCTCCCGGAGTTGAGACGGTTCTGAATATTGGAGACGCTGACGCTCCTCGATACCGAGCGTTCCTCGGATTCGAGCGATATAGTTCGCGGTGTCGCCAAGGAGTGATCACTGCTCGATGATGAACCCAGTTCGTACCCCTCTACTGTCGCATCAACCCGGCATTGTTCGCACTTCCTGCCAACGCAGTGCATGTTCAGGGGCAATAACATACCATATAAATCGGATGAGGATTCCACGCATTCCGATTCTCATAGTTTCTGTGTGTCCCAACATCGTCTATATAAACACGCCTATTTGGTTCAATCTCACTAGTAATATGTTGACCTTGTCTCATTTCGCGGTCGCTCTCGCTCTCGCATCCTCTATCTTGGGTGTTATCATTCCTGTAGTACCCTCTCGCCGCTCCGGGGAGCTTTGGGAGGGGTTGGAACACGAAGAAGTAGACATAGGGAATCTAGCACCCTCACGTCGTTCTGGAGAGCTTTGGCTGGGAGCGGAACATGAAGAGATAGACGTAGCAGGTCCGGCACTCACACCGATCTGACGAAGGAAGCTTTCCCTTCCACTGGTGTTTGAGGTCAGTCCTTGTGCGAGCCTCACGAATCTAGTCCTAAAGCACTACATACAGCTATACCATGTCATCCAGAATTTAGTACCGGTTGATCGTAAGCGAGGGGCTCTGCTCTGTCGCATAGGCGGGCATATACAACACGTGGGCGGCTGGGATAGACAGACCGAGCACTCTACACACCTATACTAGTACTTACTGACGTAGAACGAGAACGAACGAACGAACTAGATGAAACTGTTTATTACTACAGATAATTTTGCAAATTCGAACTCTCATACATGGATACCTTCTGGCCTCGTTAGCGTCCATGGATAGGGTTCTCCATCACGGTTGAACGTTGCAGCGCTGAGCGTTGGATGATCATGATGTAAGCACGCTGGCTTACTAGATTTCCCATAATCTACATAAACACTGTCCGCGGTACAGAAACACAAGCTTTCAGTATCACCGCCTTTTGGCGTAACAGTTAATAACGTTAAGGGACGACAGTCTTAGCTAAGTTACACATGACTCGAATAGTTTGATTGGTATATGGATGTACTTGCTGCACGAATCAGGGCATCGAGTGTTGAACTTGTGTGATATCCTCTGGTCAATAGCAAAACATATTTAAATTAAAGTTTAAAAGAAATTCGTTCAAGCTGGAGTACTGGCTAACGGGAGTTGCGGTAAAAATGGCAGGGCTAACAATGCTTATCATAACTTAGATAGAGTACCACGTTACATGTATGATACAACAAGTGTAATTATCTTTGCCAACATCGCCATCACTCTCGTCGAGACCACATCAAGAACAGTAAGGAGGGTATCTTCGTCGGAGGTATCGCATCTCGTACAGTCTCTATACACCGTTATCATAGTCGACAATTGCCCAGTCTCAGAACGAATCGAAAATTCGTTACTGCACCATCAGCGTCAGCATCACATTAACAGTCATACAGATGAACGGTTTTTATTGAAGCCAAATAGACTCACTCCGCATTAAACTCCCTCAATACCTTTTCCACAGCTTTCTGCTTGGCTTTCGTATAAGGTACTGTGATTTTGATTGGTTCAGCGTCCTGCCGCTCAAGAAGCAAATCACAATCGTATTCGTCAGCGCGCTGGTGAGTTCCTGAGCATTTTTTCCGGAAGAGGGGACTTCAGACATGGGTAGGCGTCTGGGTGGGTCTTTGTTCATGGTAAACAGAGTAGTTAAAACAGTGTAAGATCTATGGAACATGAACGCACCAGCGAAAATAATCCTTGAAATTCTTGCTTTTACGGCACTGAGACGGGCCTGAATCTCGGAAGGACCCTGTTCATCAGAAGAGTCCAGTGTCTCCTGTGCGCGTGATTTCTCGAGTCGCGCCACTTCTTTAAGTAAGAAGGCACTGCGGTGGGTTTCAGCTTCTTTTTGGGCGGGAGTAAGAGGTGTTGGTTCTGGTTTGAGGGCAGAGTCTGGAGATAAAGCTTTGGCTTGGTTCAAATTACTGCAAGTGGACATACATACCTATGTCTTGGGTTTCATCGCCTGCGACTTGTGTATCACCGCTTGCAAGGTTGGCATCTTCACATGTGGCTTGGCTATCGTCGACGGCTCCTTGATTACCCTCCCCGTCTTGTTCATTCTTTTTTTGCTCTTGACTATCCTTCCGTTTCTCTCGAGCACCATCCGCTCGGGTTGGGCCATCCGCACCTCGGGCATGATCCACAACGTCTTGAGAAGTCTCGGTGTTCTCGTTAGTACCCTCATCTGCCCCCTGCCCACCCATGTCATCCACATCTCCGACATTTTTATTTATAACCGCCCCGTCTCCTGTGGCAACCTCTAGCCCTTTTTCTTCCGCAACGCCCTTGGCACCCTCACCTCTCGAACCCTCCGCGACCTGTTCGCCTGGCCCCCTCCTATCACCAACGCCTGCACCAAAATTCGCCCTACGAGGATGCACAGGCGATTCGAATTCTTTAAATGGCGGTGGCGGATCGTCATCAATATCGCCAGTATCCAAGGGGTTAAACCCTCCCGTGGCAGATTCATCACGCGCCCCTACACCAGGGAAGATTGAATCTGGTTCGGTAGATGGAGATTTGAGGCCTGGCATGGGACGAATTGGGTTCGCAGGGTCGTAATCGGTATTGCGGACGGAAGTGGATGTAAGACCTGGGCTTGTACACCTCGATTTTGGTCTGGGCGTAGACGTCTTGGATGGGGGTATCGGTGTGGGGGTCCTAGAAAGAGATGCAGGTGTGGGATCTTGGATGGAAGCGCGGGTGCGGGTGCGGTTGAATGGACCTCTACTTTGCTGGATTTCAAGTCCGGCTGCAAAGTTGGGGTCGTCTGTTTTGTCAGGGGTACTGGGGGTTAGCGGTTTGGTCTGGGGCACCAAAGCGGGCGCTGGGTCTGAGAGGGTAGCAGGTGTTAGGTTTGAGGGAGTAGCAGGCGCTGGGTTTGAGGGGGTAGCGGGCGCTGAGTTTGAGAGGGTAACGGGCGCTAGGTTTGAGAGGGTAGCGGGTGTTGGGTTGGGAGAGTAGCGGGCGTCTTGGACGAGGAAAGGGGCGTGTTCGACCCAAGCGCGGAGCTCGTGCGCACACTGTCATTGCTGGAATGTGCTTGAGGCGCACCAGAGTGCTGAGGCACCTGCCCACCTGCCGGTATGACAAACCCACCGATTCCAGCAGCACCATCGGACAGGATATTCTGTTCAGGGTGACGAAGCATCGAATGTTCCCATCTGCTGCTGGCCTGGTATCCTGTCGAATTTGGTTGGTTACCGAAGGTAGGCTGATTTTGTGTCTGTCCCAACACCCCTGGCGAGCTCGCCCGTTGGCGGGATGGCGTGCGTGTTATCCCAAAATCAGGGCCTCGGTCCGGACTAACTTCCCCGACACCCGTGCGGGCATTTTGGCTCGATATGCCCGTGCCACAGGTGGATAATAGATTTCCTACACGGGAAGTAGAGGGTGATTCTGTTAGTAAAACCGGCGGCGCATGGACAGAGAGGTCAATCTCAGAATCTGGGATGGGAGGGAGAATAGCGATGTGCGAGCGGGGGGTAGGTGAGATGATTTTGAGTATGGTTGTTGTTCCGAGTACGGCTACAGGTGGAGTGAGGTCGAGCACGCTGAGGTCTGGATCCTGTTCCTGTTCCTGTTCTTGCATCTGGGACGGCACGGCGGTATGTACCTGGTTGTCATCTGGAGCTGGTATAGGGTCGTGCCTTGAAGAATCAGAATCAGAACTAGAAGAGAGGAGGGACGGGAGGTGAGAGCGCGGGTCGACATCGATATGAATGAGGGCCGGGGAGGGTCCTGGAAGAACTTCACGCGTAAGAGTATTCGTCACGGAAGGGGTTCCTTGGCTAGAGGGCGAGCCTGATGTTGAGCGTCTCTGCAGGATTTGGGCCGGAGAAGCTGGCGGGGCAGCACGCGTGCTCGACACAATGGTGGAAGATGGAGGACGAGACAAAAAACCTGGTACAGGACTTGAAATAGATATGCTTGGGACCTGTATATCATTCTCGATCCTCCATCGTGGCACGGACCTCCTCATAGCTTTGACATCTTTCCTTAGCGCCCTGTATACATACCTCAGCCCTGTCTCTCGCCACACGCTGGGCGCTACGTCGGCAAGGAGGAGCCCAACGACTGTCCACGCGCCAGTGAGGGCAAACCGGACTGGCGAGCTCACGAGCAAAAAGTCGATAACGAACCGAGTGGCAAGGGCCAGATATGCATCACTGGGATTTCGCGGATTTTTATGGAGGAAATGCGAGAGCACAAAACCTTCCCAGAGCCCGACGAGTGTACCTGGAATAATAATAATTAGATGGGCCATATTGGCATTCTGTTACTTATAACAAGACGCACTAGTAAGCCTATAATCACTGTCAGTCAGGATGTCGATGACGGCGCGTAGGGCGAGTCCTAAACCGATGGCGATAACATGTTCCATACTGTCACATACGCCGTGGACGATGGCGAGCCCGATTAGCTGAGTGGACCTTGCAGCCCTTTAATTTGTGATCGAGCAACGATCCGATCGCGAGTCGAGGCATCAATCATATTGCACGGACCTATATGGGCAAACAAGAACAAATAACTTGATCAAATGATCCGATCGATGATGAGCTTGACTACTATTCGCTATATTGAAAGCATGTTATCCGCGACAGGGAACTGCAGGTTATCGTCTATCGTGCGCTAGCAAATCCCCCCATCGACAGACTTTCTGGTACATTCCCACCGCAATCATACGTTTTGTCCTCTGTGACAACTATTTCGATCTCCCCACCAACTCTAAACGTATCATAGAAATCAATATAGCATCTACTTTTTGCAGGCACTCCGTTGATCGTCACATTTTTCACGTACGCGGGCACACCATTGGGTATCGGGTACGCTACAGACGCAGGAGAGTAGTTGGTAACAGTTACCGTAGTGTTGGTGTTAAGGTAGGTGTTGTGGATGGTATATTTTGGCGTGAAGGGGGAGACAATAAGGTAGTGCGTCGTTGAGGGAACTGCACCCGAGTTAATTTCATGGATGGGTAAACGAATGAGGAGCATACCTGGGTACAATCCTAAGAGATGGAACCCGAGGAGCGTTGCCATTGCGCCCTGATCGTCGTTTCCAGGAAGACCTGCGATGCCTGGATCTAATTCAGCATCACTCCATATCAGCTAGCTTCTCGAATTTTACCAGTATTAAAATTGTTCATGACAACATCGCGGACACGGTCAACAGAGCGCCAAGGTTGGTTTGCATAGTGGTATCCGACGGGTGCCTGCTTCACAGGTCAGCAGTGTTTCGACCTTGTATATCAGAGACTAACCTGGAAGGAAGGTTCGTTGCCTGGCAGGTAATATCCCGCCTGGGTGCCAACAAGGTAAATGTTAGTTAGGACGACTCGTAGGGTGCACCCACGTCGAAGAAATGGTCGAGTCGGTTCGTGAACGTTGTATTTCCTCCCATGAGCTCAACCAAGTATCCTGTATCATGCGGTGCATACCTGTTATTGTCCCTCATAAGGCATTCAACGTCAAGAACAGAAACACTCACCAGCTATACTCCCACGACGATGATTCGTAGAACCCGCTCTGGTTATCCTCCTGAAGCGAGCACTCCTGAGTGCTCCTGGTGTCCTGTGACGAGCAGTCGACAGGATCGGTGTAATAGAAGGTTCCATTGGAGAATCTCTTCTGCATGAATCCTGCGATGACAATAGTCAGGGTCGACGTCCCTATGACTACATTGACTCAACATACCTTGGTATCCATCACTTTCCACAGTTGCGTCCCAGACATTGCGGTACCACTGTGAAGTTTGCGATCAGCAACTTTGGACCCCGCTGTTCGCTCACATATGATCGGTTCGCATAGTATTCAACATCGTCCGTTTTGCCAAGCACTTGTGCCACCTGGCGAATACCAAAGTCCTGGAATGCGTACTGGAACGAATGAAACCGGATCTTGAGATTGAAACACCAGCATCGATCACGGAGAATTCACCTCAAGAGTTCTACTTCCCTCCCTGGTTTGTCTACCGGTGCTTCCAGTGTCTAGAACAGCAAAAGGTACGTAGGAAAATTGCCTGCCAATGTAATTCAGCGCTCATACCTAACACACCACCAACGGAGTCACGCACTTGTATACATTCACTTGCCTGCCCATTGTATTCCATTCGGGCGGATTCACCTGCCCGTCCGTGACGAGCGCAGCATACAGTTCATTAAGGTCGATTCCTAGCGCTTCCGCCTCATTGTGATAGTTCACCGCAAACTGTGCAACAATGCTGTCACCGCTCGACCCACCCTGCGTCCACCCGGGAAGGTTGTTTGCGCGGCATTCCGGCATCCAGCCGAGTTTACGCCAGCCGTCGATATAGTTGTCCACGATTTGTGCGAATTCGATCGGGGAGTGAAGAGTCATGAGGGGATAAAATGTTCGGAACTGCGCATGCGGGTGAGTAAACTCATGACATCACATTATTGCTGCTCACCGTGTCCCAGCTACAGTAAAGAGAGTCAAAGTAGAATGATGTCGTGTTTGCAAACGCGCCTTGAGTTTCTAGAGTAGCATTATTCTGCAAAAACACGGTTAGCTCAACTTCGATACGATGTTCTACACCTACAGGAGTCAATGACGCTCGGTACAGCGACGAATACAGCATCTCCGTCACATTAGGGGGTGTGTTTACAACATCAATCTCGATCTTGCTGAGCTTCTCCTGCCAAAGAGCCTTGGACGCCTTCTGGATTTCCTCAAAGGACTTTGCGCCAATTTCCTCCTCGGCATTGGCGCAGGCCTGGTCGGTCGATATGAATGAAATACCCACGCGAAGGATCACTTCCTCTTGGTTACCCTCATATGAGAAGAGTGCACCTGATTGGTAGGGTGTACCGCCTATCAAGTTCTGAGAGAGATTGAGGTGGGTCTGACCGAGTGCTTTTGCGTCGAGGCCGTAGCTAATGAGCATATTGTTAGATCAAATATACCAGTAGCACGCAGTGCTCACGTATCACCCGTCCAGACACCATATTCACTCAGCTTTTGAGTTCCGCTGTTCAATAGATCATAACAAGCAAATGCTTGGTAGTGGTACGCGCCGGGACCGAAGCTAACGCACAATCGAGTTAATTTACCACGTCACTGAAAGGACATTCGATACTTACCTGGAGCCCCAGTGGCCGCCAATTGTGATACGACCATTCTCTGGGTCAATATCGAGGGTTCCGCCCGCAAATGATGCAGGCAAATCATTGGCTAGGTCGAGCACAAAGTACGGTTTCAAACCCCCTGGGAACGTGAAGCGTTCTAGCCCAGCACGACGCGTCGATGTAGCTTCCATCTTGATATCATTATCTAGAGTCAGCGAAAAGTAGCCCGGATACGCGTCTGTCGCGCTCATTTCAGCTCCCGGGATTCCCATACAACACACCACGCCATACCATCGGTATCGTTCTTCCTGTACCTCTCACGCGCCTGCAGCGTGGTCGTGCACGTGTCGAATCCCGAAGGACAAAGGAGGGGCATGATCTCGAAGTTACCATACGTCCCGAGTGATGACCCCGTGCCACTGTCATGCAGGGGACTCATGCCACGAGCTTTTTGGGATGGATCTGCATTGTACCCTGCAGACAATTCATCACGCATTGTACCGGAAGCGTACATGACCTGCGGAACAACTCACCCGCTGGCGCGTAACCCGTGATGTCGGCGGTGAATTTGACCTGGAAATAGGTTTGTGCGTTGTTGTCGCTGTGGTGTTCAAATTGAGACGTACCATTCCGAAGGGCACTGACGCGCCTGGGCTGCATAGCAGGCGTCATTCAACGGCTCATAACGCGTCACGGAGGGAAACTTACCAAACATCCCCATAATTGGTGTAATCTATGAAATAGCTGTCAGAGCAAGCGAAGCGTCCGAAAAAAAAGCGATCTACCAGTTCCGATGAAAGGATTCACGAAAGCGGTGTAGTCGATATCCGTGGAATTGGATACCTCCGCAGCCGCTATAGCAGCACTGATACGTGCTTGAACTTCTAGCGATGGCTGAGCGTATGTCGTGCCAATACACACTGCAGCAGCAGATGCCAGTAGCCAACCAACCATGATCGCGGCCGTAGTCTGGTTTGCGTTGCCAAAGTGTGGGGAAGCTCACGCTATATAATACTGAGCGCTTATGTAGATCTTCCAAAAAATTTATATGCATTCATTTAATGACCCGAACACTGTCGGACAACGGCCCATCAGCACATTGAAATACTACAGCTTACGTGGCATCTGGAAGAACCTGATAATCGCGTGCAAGTCGGTGAGGTTTAAGTATACCCGTGACGTGGTTTTGAAGGCATGGGATTCATCGTTATGGCCACAGCATGCAGAATACATGATGTACATATGATGATGAGCCTGGAAGTACAAGTATCAGTCTGCTACGAGGGCGCGTTCAAGTCGAGACTGTACGGATTGAATGGAGATAAACCCGAGATGAAGTCATCACACCTCAGGATCGAGATGCGGCTTGCCACGCGTCGTGGTGAACACCGCATGCTTGTCCGAGTCTAAGGCCAGGACTTATTAACAAGTTAACAAAACATTGAAATGTAAACCCACGGTGGTCATGGTAAGCCTTGGCTCCCAAGCTGTTTGCGGGCTATGCGTTCGAGTTCATTACAAATGAGGTCGAGGCCTGTGCCATCGCCATTCCAATAGAGTTTCTCTTCCTCCGGAAGCTTCGATAGAACATATTCTGCTGCATCGCCAGGTCCTCTACCAATGCCAATACGAAATCGATGAAAATGGGTTTCGCCTCCGAGTGCAGATATGACGCTACGGACACCATTGTGCCCGTTGGCAGAACCACCTATTTTTGGAGACAAAGCCTTCGGTTTGTGAGACAGTGAATCGTGGATAATAACCATTGCATCCGAGACTTTCACAGACTTGCGGAGAGCTCCTGCTACTGATGGACCAGTAATATTCATGAGGGGCTCTGGCCGAATGTTCGAAGTCATTGAGAAATTAGAACAGTTGGATCACTAACTTGGTTTCAGGAGTGTCAGAGATACGGCAGTTTCGCCTAGTGTGACCTTTGAACGTCCAGTCACGCCGCCCATCGTCCTATCAGTGGTCATATGTATCTGCAGTCTTGCAGCTAAGGCGTCAATTATGAGGTGCCCAATGCTGCAGTTTAGGTCAGTCTTTCACGCCAGCTGTCGATTATGTTGCAGCAATGGGAACTCACCTGTGGCGAGTCTGGGGAAATGGGAGGTTACCCAGACCTACAACAAGCAGTTGGGGAAGTCCTGAAGCGACAGTCATCCTGTAAAAATTGTTGGTTATTGGTATACTCAAGGTTAATTGGAAGAATTGAGTTTTAACAAGCCTTCAAGAGCTCCTTGAGTCATAACTACAGCCTGTACAGACAAGTCAAACTGAGCGTGACCCCAATAAAGTGACCCAAGTTTGAAGGCAGTTACGCCGAGGATACCATATTTAGAAGTGTCTCGGAGGATGAATATTGATTCCGATGGCCTCACTTCAAACACGATCCGCGGATAGGCGAGACTCAGGTTGTTTGTTCTTCCTTCCGTCTTCCATCTTTCCTCTCATTTATACTCAATGTCGTCAACTGCGACGGATACCAATGGCGAACTCCGTCCTCGTCACAGACGCCGCTTTTCAACGAATGATGCGCAACGTAACCTTCGTCTGGCTATCTGCCAGCGCCTGCCTCATTCACTTGAGGCACTCGACCTCTCATCTAACTCAGCCAAAGAGACTTTTGCTGCGCTCAGATACCTTGTCCTATCATATTTAGAAGACATTGAGATGCGATTGGCCAAACTCGAGTCTCCAATCACGCCGATTACTGATCTTCACCTCACTGAGGCTTTGAAGACTAAGGGTGGTCACTCTGTCGAAGAAGCCAGACAGTGGGCCAAAGATGCCCTCGAGATGCTCCGTAGTATTCGAATGGACGTATGCTCTCATTTCCCGGACCTCCATCTTCCAGACATGTCTCCAGTAAAGTCTCATCTCCCCGAACTCCCCGATGTTCCTTCCCTGAGCGACGTGCGCTCACGTCTCCCTGATATTCCGAGCGTCCGTCCACATATTGCAGCCCTAGCTCCGAGCGATATCACATTGCTGTTAGAACATGCCTGCTCCCGCTTTTCCGACTTTGACTTTTCTGGTTTTCTACCAACACTTTCCGCTCGCCTCCACTCCTTCCATGCGCACCTACGTTCATTTGATCCTCGCTCTAGTGAGCTTACATCTCTTCCAGGAAATTCTCGTATATCCGGCCTCATTGATTCCATCATGTCCTCCGAACTCATCACTGAACTATCTGATGATGTCACTGAAGCTGAGGCTATGATAGAAGTGGCGGCAAAGGACATTGCTCGTGCAGTAAAACAATCATTCCAAGGATCACGGCTAATTAAGTATGTCGACCTTCCGCCAAAATGGCGAAACAACCCATTTGTCCCTGGAGGCTATCGGTGTGTGGCAAGCCCCATCCTCTTTACAGCACGTTTATTCGTGCATCAGGTTCATCCCCCTAGAAAGATGGCCGCTTATTCTTATGTCGCTTTTCGCTGTACACAATGAGACCCGTATGTTATTTTTTCTATAAATATGTTACGCTCTGACTATCACAAAGTGAACATACACACGCATCTCATTCCATTCGTTCTTTGGCTCATCAATTTGATACCCATATTTAATGCATCGACTATTGTAGACGCCCCGGAGGTGGCATTTATCTCATTTGCTCTTCTGTGCCTTTTCAGCAGTGTGGTCTGGCACACCATGGCCGGCTGTGCACATCCTCAGGGCATGGAGCTGTGCGCGCGGATAGACTATGTAGGCATTGGATGGTGAGCACAATTAGGTGCTTCCTGAATTTGCTGAATCATTCATATCCTTCAGGCTTATCAGCGCCTCGGTTGGCACCGTCGTATATTATGGCTTCCAGAAGTGTCATCCAGAAGTGGGAAACGCATTTCTTGTTTGTTGCTTTATGACTGGGATTGCAGGGAACGCATTCCCATTCTTCAAATGGTTCGATCAAGCTGAGTATAAAGTAATGTTGTTTTTTGTTTTTTGAATTTCTTACCGACTCAATTCCTTCAGCACTGTCGCATTGCTTTCTTTCTGTCCCTGGCATTTACCGCCGCCGCTCCGATGACAGCCCTCGCATACCTCCAATCACCTGCGCAGATGTTCGCTTTCGTTAGTGAGTTCCTTTCTCTACCATACTCTATGGCTTCCCCCGTATTGATGAGCTTTTCTAGACCCTATTTGGCCTTCTATCACGTCATACCTCATCGGCCTCATTTTCTACGCAACACACATCCCGGAACGTTTCCTTTCCGAGCGGCACTCTCACTGGCTTGACTGGTGCGGTGGCGGTTCTCACGCAATCTGGCACATTTTTATTGTCATTGCTATCAGCCAACACCGTGCTGCGATCGCAGAGTTCCGACACGGCGTTGAGTGCCATGCTGTATCGTGATGCTGATTTTTTTAATTGGGCTGTCGCCTGCGGATAGAGAAGTATTGTTCATATCCATTTCTTATCTATAGTGGTAGCGAAGAGTAAACAACATTTGGTGATCTTTTGCTTCAATTCTCATCGACAACAACGTTCGAATGTCGTGACGATTCCGCACTCTGGGGAAAACTGTGTACAATGGATCATATGCAAATGCGTCTGTGCAAAAGTCAAGTACAGTGCGTCCGAGAGTGAAACCTTGCAAGCCGTTGAACGTTCTCGCACATGCAGGTCGTAATGGAAACTGTGTCTGCTTCACGCCGACAAAGAAAGTTTAGCGCGATTCACTATGCGAGCTTGCTCTCCCTCTTTGCCTGTTGTACCTGCGCTAAGCGGTGACTGCGTAAAGTCATGGAAGTACCCTGAGCTGCTTTCTTTGTTGCCGCTGCAGGCATGGAAGGTGCCACAGCAGCCTGAGATAAGGCTATTCGTGTGTCATCCGATGCAAATCCAGGAATACGGATATTGTGGTTACGTTCTGTGACAGAGCAATAAGTACTAGAATGAGAATGAATGAACTTATCAGACTTACCAAGGTGAAGCTGAAGGTCTTTGACTTCGAGCGTGTCGCCGCCGCGATGTTTTGCTAGTCGACAGCCAAAGTTCGTGACCGAGTCGATGAACTCATCAGCGATTTGAAGAAGTAGCTATAGATGACATAATGAGGGACACATCGAAGCACCTGAGTGCAGTGGCTTACATCCTCCACCTCAGGTTCGATCCGAACATTGGGATCAATACTTGAGACGAGATCTTGTATTGATCGTCTCATGCTCTGATCTCCCGGGGTATTCTTTCTTCGTGAACGGTTGTCCTCTAAGCTGAGCATGCCAACGTCGTCAGTGGATCGTGCGATCTGAGCAGGGGTACCTGGTGATATCGATCAAAATCAGTACTCGGACAGACTGCGGTAGGTAATCATCAAGAACTCACCGGACACTCTGCCACTAGTCATTCCGCCTGAAAGAGTTGGTCTTCCTTGCTGTGCAGCTGCCCACTGGACGGGCCCTGGATTGGTGGTGTTGAGAGTTTGGCTAATGGGATACCCGTCACCAGGTGTGGATGTAAGAACAGGAGCTGGTGACCCGCTTTTAAAAGCAGTAGCAGTCGTTGCAGCAGCCCCGGTCTACCACAAACGAGATGAGACAAAGGAGGTTCCTACCCATTGAGTCATACCTTTGTACTGCCATTCGCGGTCGAAGTGCCAGTCACGCTTCCCGAAGCAGCACTGGTCGCGGACTTGTGTTTTTCAGCGTAATCTTTCAGCTACAGATAAGACGCCCAGGTGAGATAAATAAATCTCACTTGGTTTAAAAGCCGACGGACCTGCTGGATCTGTACGGCAGTGAGCTTGCCCTGCCGCATAAGCTCGCCAAGTTGGCCCATGTTCTGCTCGAGGAGCTGGGCTATGCGCGTGCTTGATGCTGCCTCGCCATTTTGGCTTTTAAAGGCACTAGTCAGGGCGGTAATTATGTTCGCGGGGTTTGGAGGAGCCGCTGTTGTTGCTGCTTCGTTCGTCGCCATTTCTGAATTCTCTTCCTCCTTGTCCAGCTCTTAGAGGCGTGGCGCAAGTGTGAGAAATTTTTACTTCTTCCATGACCTACGTAATAAACTCTGTTATAGGCTGTGCAACTTGTGTGGGTTTAGCAGCTTCTACATCTAAGAATAATTCTATTATACACCAATACGTAGTAGATTATCATCCATATTACCATGCGAAGGAAGCTGCTGCATGGTATGTCGCAAGTGTGATTGAAACAAAAGATAGTTCGAATAGGTTCAAGTGCGAGGCATTGCCATATGCAACGGAAAGAGTGGGCCGCGGAACTCGCGCACGGGTGCTGAACGTGAAAATTCAAGCTGTATTGAATGAATCATGATTACGACAGAGATTGATCAAGTCGAGTAATACAGCTCAATTGTGCGTGTGAGGCGTTGAAACCCATATGTAAGATGCAGCAGAAATGGAAACTGGCAGGCACCGAACGGCGTGATTGTTTACGTCTAAACTCAGTGGGTGGATGGGGGACTCGGCGGGTTGCGTTGAGTATCGAGGGTGCACGTCTGTGGTTGAGCCTTAAAATATTAGACTACCGGGAGACAATTGGGATTGATCACCCGGAGGAACTTGAAAAACCCAATCGACATGATGTTCTGGGAACTCATGGTGGACAACGTTGACCCAACATTGTGTATGAAGAGGTCGACCGGCTCGTGGATCGGAATGACCACGAAACAGCAAAGCCTGTAGCAGTCATACTAGGTTTTACGAACGTAGCCCCCCTCCCCCCACGTGTCAGAGAGCCATCATTCAATACGGTGAATGCTGGCAGGAGGAACACTAGCCGCAGCGAGAGAAGTCAGAGACAGATCGTGATGACCAAATTCCATTTTCAGATTTCTTCCATGACCTACATAACAACTGTCTTTTATAGAATAACGAGCACACACAGTACAATGTTACTTCTGTACGTGCGCGCCTTGGCTCTTTCCTACATGATCTAATGGAGATATGAAGAGCGGAGTTCCTCGTTGAATCGTTTACTCACATTATTACGAGTATCCTTCGGGAAGCCTGCAACCGACGACCGTGGCATCATACCCTTTGATCTGGCCTCGAGCGAATCATGAAGGTTGACCATGAAGTCACTGTTATCAAAGCCGACGTCCAGTATGGAATGCTTGTTCAGCGGATTTTGCGAGCTGTCTCCGTGCGACCGAAGGCTCTCCTCATCTGAGAGGCTTGGATGCATAGGATGTTTTTGCGGACAGATAGGCCCCGGTAAATCGTAATGAGCACGAGCTGTATTTGCAGTGAAAGGTGCATTGGCTTGATATGGATAACGCGGTGTCACGGAAGATGGGGGCGTGTATGCAGGGACCAGGTACCGGAAGTGGTATGCAGCAGAGAAGATAAGAACCGGGCGTGGACGGCCTGAGCACCTTGGCAAACAAGGTTCTGGGTCCGCAGGACGGTACACGTCATGAAGGATGGTATATATAGTGGGGTCTTGGGGGAACAATCATACATCTGTTGTGTTTGAAGGTCAGAAAAACGGACCTGGAGATTTGCACAGGAATTCCCAATACTTGGGAACTAAGGCTGTGCTGTAGAGCAATGGACCTTTATCCGATGAGTTCGCAGAACCGGTGAAATACGGTCCAGTGCATTCGAGTTTCGTGTCCTCGTTGTGTATGGGTGCGCCATCCAATAACACGATATAGGACGATTTGGCAATGACGACAGAGGCCGAGGCGAAAGTTACAGTGGCATCAATATCTCTCATGCGACGCGGCGTGTTAGAGGAGGAGCGGAACACAATGGCACCTTGTGGAGACTCGTATAGGCCACGTGAATGTGATGAAGATGAGCTCCACCGTGAACTAGACTCTGGTAAAATGTCAATGTATACTGAAGTGCGTGTGTCAGGAAGTTGGTTATGTCTAGATAATGGCATGGTAGGGCCGTCACGGTATTGCGGGGAGGATATAGAAGAACAGGCAAGTAGGCGAGTTTCCAGCAATTAAAGAGCCGCAAGACAAAAGGCAGATGTTTATATCCGCCTTCAAGATGAGGAGAAAACCTCCGTGACCTAGCTTCAGTCCGCATCAGGTAACATGTGCGCGAAGGACTCGATCACTTCCAAGGTCAACCCAAAATAGAATGATGCCTTGATGAACACTCAGATTGGCGTCGGAGCAGATATGACTTACATTCCCGTCCATCGGGTCCTTCCACGCCGATTTGTTTTGACGATCTGTGCATGTGGTCACCCGTCTGGTGGAAGATATACCCGCGAAGTGACAATCGATCGTGCATAGCTAAAAATCGCGTTTCACACGAGTCACCAGAGAGGTTTGGATTCGTGGAGGCCTGGACTTGGAAGGGGGTGACGTGAGCTAGGGCCTGTTAAGGCTGTGATTTACAAAAATTGATCTGCTGTGCACCTTTCAGTATCATGACCTCGAGATAAGACCTGATAAGACGGCCATACAGGCTCAGCTAGGTTCAGTTACTATAACCCTTCAGAATATTCTTTGTCTGATCTTCCTGGTCGGCTGGGAAAAAAAAAGTGAACCTTGAGTCGGTGATATCCAAGTTAGTAGCCGCAGAAGATTGGAATTTGGAACCACATGGATATTTGTCGTGCCGGATGGCAATAGCAGCAGCTAAGCTTCAGAACGCGCCACTTACATGAGCGCCGTGACGTCGCGCGAGCAATCGGAGTAACGCAGGTAGAGAGGATGAGGTTGCGTCAACTTGAAAACAGGTGAAATACGTGGCCCAAGCTTGCCAACAACTTGCCAAGATCACTTGCTTGGTTGAGCTGGTGTGTGAGAATTCATACAGCAGTCGTTTAAACGACACTCGGGTCCATGTCAGCATCAGGTATTCGTTTTGAGACCTATTATTATCACAGGTGCGCGAACGGGATTTTTATAAGAAGTGAGGCCCCAGTGTGAATTATGACGCATTACTACAGTTTTAGGTCAGGCTTCGAATCCATGCGATTCACAAACATAAGTGTATTACAAGCTGATTACACCCAAATATGCGACGACTTTTGTGTCAGCACAGGTCGGACGTGTGGGGGGACTTGGAACAAGTAATAGGGGTGGGTAAATAAGTAAGATGAAGATGCGCTGGAAGGACAGCAATTGATATGTACTCAGTATCTCAGAGCCTATCATGTTAAGTCGACCTTCCTTGGCATCGGATCAACTCGGTTGAGAAAATAAGTATAAATGGAGCCAACGAGAGGGTGATATAGGAAATGAAGTATAGAAGTGGTCAAATAACCAACATGAATACTGTACAGGTGGAAGTGAGCATATCCTCGGTGGGTTGATCCGAAGAAATGCCATGCTAAATGAGGATATACTGCGCGATAAAGTACCCACGGATGCAAGTTATGCGTCGTTATTGACATAGCAGTGGAAAGCGATAGATGCTCGACCATGATAGGATTTACTGATGGTTATACCAAGAAACTGCCGGAACACGCCGAGGAATGATGATACGAAGGATTTGTCCGTCAAATTCAGCGCGCACTTGCGCCAGATCAGCGTCATATCCGAATAACACTCGACGTTCGAAGTGCCCTGTATTAGGAGATAAGCACACTATAAATTGAATAAAGATCGACAGCTTACCGCCTTCAGGCTCCCATGAATCAGCGACGACGTGAAGTATGCGGCGCCTGCGGGTAGCGATCGTACTGAGAAAGTGATCAACGGACTTCCCGGGAAGTACAAGCTATCAAAACTCACATGCCATCCCGTCTGAAGCCAGGGAGTCGCACGACTAACCGATACTCCGACGGCGAAGTCTCCACGGCTATCCAAGTATCTGGGGGCGGGGTATGGCAAAGAAACGAGTCATGTGGAGCACGTCTATCAGCATCTTCTCCGCGGCGTTCAGCTTGTGTTGGCGGTGTCAAAATCACCGGTGCCTCGGGAGCAGGATACGAGCATGAATTAGAAGGTGACCTCAGTAAAGCAGGCGGGTGCACTTGGTCGGTAGGAAAAAGCGGCGAATAGGGCGGAGGAGGCGACGATGGAACGGGTGTACACGGCCAACCTGTCCTGGGTACACTGGGCGTAGAAGGCTGATTGAATTGCGGATCGTTGAGCGCTGCATTGGTTTGCGGTGGCACAGGCAGCGGTCGTCGCCCGGATGTCTCCGATGGTGATTGGCTGCCGCTAGGTGTGCGCGACGCGACAGCACCATCCATCCGGGGAAGAAGATTGTAAGGCGTTTGGAGTGGCAAAGGCAAACTTGTTGTGGAACTACCATTTATCCAGTTGGTGGGTTGCATACCGTCAGGTAATGAGTATGGTCGTGAGAACGGAAATACAGGCGCTGCTAGTGTGGATTGAGTTTCCCTGCTATGCGACGAGAACTGGTGGTGAACAGTTGCTGCGGAGGTATCAAGAGTATCAGGTTGCTTGTTGGCCGGGAGATCTGAAATCCTCATGTCCGGTGATGAGTCAGGGCTTGCGATTCCGGGCGGTGTATGTGGGATAGGGTGCAACTGTGTTGACGCTGACAAATAAAGCGACCCGGTGGAACCATGATCCAATCCTGTAGAGTTATCACTGTCGGTATATCGTGAGACCCTGGTAAAGGACTGAGAAGCGTCAAGATGTACCCTTTCGAACCAAGCAAAGTTGTTCCCGTGTCGGAAGCCGTATTTGGGAATGGGTAGCCCATTAACTGAGAAGAGTACGTCAACGGGGAGGATGGCAGGGGAACCTCTCGAGGCGAGTGAAAAGACGCGTGTCGCTTCGAAAAAGACGACCGACGAGATGATGGTAGTGAACGGGGAAGGTGCAGATATTCTAGGAAAAAATCAACATAACAACAGTTCAGCGAAATTTGCTATTTGAGTTGAAAGTTACAAAGACAAATTGAGTGAGAAGCGAACAAAATTAGGTCTTTAACCGTGCCGTATGACGATAGAACGGATATATCCGGTTCCTGGGAAGATCCGGAAATAGTTGATACGTCCGACACCATGGCGCACGAAGGACTCGGAATAGGTAGAAAATCCCGGGGAATTAAAGAGCCACGAACAAAAGAAGAGACTAAGCTGTCGACGATACACGCCAGTAGTATTGAAAGATCCAGAAAGCAAGTTCAGCAACGAGAATCGCCCAACGCCAATATTAATGTGGTTTCGTGTAGTCAAAGGAGACTGGAATGGTGAAAACCACTGGCAGTGGCAGGAGTCGTCATTCTCGAGTGAGAAACGCCATCGAGAGCCACCACGATTATGATTTCTGGCGCAATGAAAGCGAACAAAATGGAAAAACACTCTCAATGAACAGACAACGCCGTCAGTCCTTCAGCGCCCGAGATAGCATAGACAAGATAAAGAAGTGATTTGAAAGTGAGAGTAGTACTAGAATAGTTCTTACCTGATGTACGTTTACGATTCTGGGAGACTGTGGATTTTTCTGAATTAAGAGACACATCAAACGATGCGTCACCATTACCGCGCATTTTCTGGAGTAGGTCGACAGAGACAAACGGGGGGGGGGGCGTAGTCTAAGGATCGATGCCAGTGCTCGGATGATGTATGTGATCAGCAGGTCAATAATTGTATGAGCGTCAGAGCGAGAGCCGAGACCGGTAAAAAAAGTGCGAAACGGGAGGAAATGGGACTCTTGTGCGGCTTTGTTTCAGCCTCTAAGTAGTCGGTCAATTGTGGACGTAGTTGACACGGCGAAGGTGGCAGCATTTAAAGAGCTACTAGTAGCGGGTGGAGCAGGTTCGTGATAAGTGGCGTGAGATCCGAGGAATGTAGTCGTGACGTCACAACTTGTATAATATCCAGTCATGATCGGAGTCCGCTCTATTGGACATCCAGTAGATTCCTGTACGGACGCAGCATTAATTAATTCCAGCAGTAGACGCGTAGTAGTAGTAGCTCATGTAGAGTAGAAGTGGAAGTCTAGCTTGAAACACTGAGTTAGCTATTTTCGAATACGGCGTTTGCCGATATAGCAGGTACTACTAAATGAAACGTTCCGTGCTACTAGCACCCGCTCTACCCAACAGAAACTTGCCAAGCAAGACAGGGAGCAGGACCCCAGAATAGTGGCTAAGCGCTCAAGGTTGGACCCTCCTTATACGGTTCTGACTTATCAGTTTCCCGCGATGTATTTGATTTTGACCCCGGCATTCCAAAAGTTGTTTTCAACGACTACATTGAGGTGCTTAGGAAGAGGATCAAACAGGTTTTGTTTTACTCCTTGCTCTAGGCTGATATTTTTTCATGGCTGTTGCTTCACTCAATTTGTTTCATGCAAAAAATGAAAAGGGAACTGACATGAGAACATTAACTCCACGCGATCAGCGCAGAACATGTTCACTGCTCGGTTGCCGAATTTAGGCTTCCAGCCGTGTTCATTCAGGTGCGCTACTCACTATGAATCTCGTACTAATCCCCAACTTCTCTGCGGACTTAGGAGCCTACCCCGAGACATGACACATGTTTTGGCATTACAACATATCTGCTACTCACCCTTTTACACTTACTGACAATTAGAATTTGTGTACCATCTACGCGCGCACTCGTCAACGGTATAACTCATGGGCTTTCGACAGGTAAGCTTTACTGTCGAAAATTTCCTTACGTGGGAAGCTGTATCACGAGTGCATGATATAGCTTCACAAGTCAAGCACGAGTACAGTAAAAAGGAGACCGCGGCCCTTGGATGCTTGTCGAAATAGTGTCTCAGAAGACTTCTATATCAAATTGGTATGTTTGACCTCTCTGATGGAGGATATTGGTAATGGGCGAAGATATGTCACACATGGAATAATCAAGGTCCTTCCGGGATACGCAAGTTTCGCCCGCTGAGCGACTGAGCGCTTTATGCGACATGTATTACTTCGGCGCCAAATTCAGGACTTGCGGCTCAAAAACTATCCCTTGTGCGGTTGGTGGTGACAAACTATTAACTAAATGAGGACTCGACAGGGGGCTATACCAGACAGCACTAGGAGGTGGAAATCGGGGAGCAATCAATGTTGATGCAATCAAGTATCGATAATCTCTAGATTCCTGAGCCAGAGTTCGAGATGAGCAGCTTTTCCATTTCAAAATCAGCGCGGAAGTCATATTTTTGTGTTCCGGCGCGATGTAAACATTGTTTCCAATAGTCATGCCTGGATAGTTGACGTCGTTTCAGTCATTTGTCTTTGTGTCCCAGCGCTAAACAAATATTGCTCCCAGCACTCATGCCTGCGTAGTCAACGTCTTTTCCAAACCAATACCATGGCGGGTCTTCTACTCCACCACGGTGACGGATTTAGTTTCTTGTCGTCACATCACTATCTCACGTTTCAGCTATAGGAGCTCGCCTACCTGAAGCTGGTCCGACAGTTGATAATCCAACGTCATTGTTCATAATGACATTTAGCTACCGAATCTTGACCGTGCAGGAGCTCAGAACCGATGAGAGCCAAAAGGAGAAGATTTGAGTGTCTCCATTGAATCCATCGTCTTAAATCTAACATGCCGGTTGCATTGCTCTATCATGCCTTGTAAAGCATGCAACTTCATTTGTGGAACGGCAAAAGCCGACAGGATGGCGTGGGCCACACGGGGCCACATTTGATCGGAAATTAGGTACAGAAGAATTTTGCTGGAGACAATCCGAGAGCCATCTATCACTTTCATTTATGAAACCGGCAGGAGCCGGCAAAATGGTCCGGGACCTTTATTTGATGGGGGGAAGATGTGGGGATACCCGAGGAAAGGTCTTCTCCATCACAGGAATTTCCCTTCCAGTTACAGTGTTACGAGATATCGGCGAATGATTGATCATGCCAGCATGTCCTATCATGAGACCGACGCTTTGTGTATCGACGGCGTCTGTTACCAGGGCCTTGGACCGTTCTCGCTTCACGGAGGTACATTGGTGAAAGACTCCTGTTCGAACACTCAGCTACGGGCGTATTCTATTACTCATGATTGTACTCACTAAAGAGAAGAAGTAGCCACCGTGGGGTTCTTGTTGACGTCTTGTAACCACCGTGACTATCGGTGCTCCGAGTCTTTGTGCATTATACTACGTACTGCAGAAGTCGGGCTTTCGATGTTGGTTTCCAGCTGCATATCGATTCCAATGATGCCATGCGATGTGAGTCACTTGAAGGGGAGGGATCAACTTTGGAGGTCATAGAATGGAAATTAAGCTGCTACATGTACATTCGATGTACGATGGAGGCGATACTCCGGCAGACTCATCCGCATCTGGAAGGGCAGTGTAGTAGTCGATTCATAGAACGGGTTTAGAATTATGCAAAACTTCATTCAACGGCGGCGTCGGCTGGAGACAACATTTTGCGCGGTCTGCTTAACTCCATCGTGCGCGGCTACCAAACTTGAAAGTGGTCCAGCCTTATGAACGATCGCCGTTTTGCTTCGATTGATTGGTCTGGCTAGAGGAGACTGGTCCATTCTCTGGTCCAATACCGGACTGTCCTGGAAGGACAACTCCGTGGCGACCCCACTGTTGACCGCGTTACTGATGACAAGGTCCTCAACAAGGGCAGTGAGAAAACACGAACACAAAAGACAATTACATGTAATGCCAAGTAAGTATAGGCTTAAGCTTGAAGTGAGGAATGTAGCGAGGAACGACCTGGAACGCTGGAACGAAATACTGTTTTCTGAATCATTCTATTAGGGTCTGAGTGACTATCATAGTCAGTTGACCAATACTAATAGAGCCAAACCCACTTATGTGGAGCGTTTTACGATCACGTGATGCGGTCACGTGACCTTTGGGTTCGCTGTCATCTGCCATCGCCAGTAAGTATGTCATTCCGGTCGAGGTCTCGACGACGACGCGCGTCGCAGGGCATGATACAGGCAACCAAATCGAATTCTGGGAGTCCACCTAGCGTGTGATCTTTACAAACAGCAAACAAATCTACGAGGGAAGGACAGCAATGGAGAAAAAGAGACTAGTGTGTGCGGGAGAGTGAAATGTCCGTGAGTCGTATGACAGCCGCAGTCCAGCGAATGGAAACCATATGCATCGTGAGGACCATGGAGGCCTAAAGAACGACTACTGGAGTTGCTTCGAGAGGTCTGGCTAGGGGAAACTACAGAAAATATCAGCGATATGCACATCCCTGCTCCATAAAAGTTTCCATTTTGGTATTGATTCATGCATGCATTGGCGTGTACTTTAAGTACAGGTCTGCCGCTACTTCAAAGCCGCCCGCAAGGAATGGTGTCGTCTCGCAGACGCGGAGCGCATGTCTGTAATCGTAATTTCTGAGTCCTTCGGAGGCAAGATGTCGGCTTTGGATGCTGATCGATAACCACTGGAATACTGTTCAACATATATACATTTGCACAATGCCTGGTATGTCAAGCCAGCTGTCTTCCTTCTTCCCGCCTTTCCCGCCATGCTTCTACCTACTTCTCCCAAGCAGATAGTATCTGAATTTGTGTTATGCCTTCTCTGCGCTGCTGGATATGCCCTTGCAGCGAGGAACGCACCTGGTCAACCCAAACAGGCTGTGAAGATTAACGCGTTTGAGCTCGTTGGCAACAGTATTGGCAGTGGCCAACAAGTATGTCAGCCCGCTGTTCGCTACTTAACTTGACTTGACTGACATTCGACCTTAGGTATTCTTGGGCACCGAAGACAAGGTCTATATCGTTGACAAAACAGAAAACAACCCGACAAAAATCAACGGACACCCTGCATGGGCTGCAGGTTCGTATTATTCCGCGACATTTAGTTCCGGTATGCTGATGGTCCCTTTTAGAGTGGTCTGCTAGCTCAAAACAAACGCGTCCCATGGATGTTACCACGAATTCTTTCTGCGCGGTGAGCTTATTATATCTTCCCCTTCATCCGCATCAATATTGACGACAATCGGTCAGGGAGGAAATGTTCTCGGAAATGGGACGTGGCTCAACGTCGGCGGGAATCAGGCGGTAACTTACGGCGGTGTTGCTGCCGCGGGCCAACTCGGCGGACCTCCCTATAATGATCTTGATGGCGGACAATCGTATGCAGTTATTCTTTCCCTTACATATCAGGCTAATGATCTTGCCACGCTGCACCTCAGTATTCGGTACGAAATTTACTATCTGACATGGCAAATCATTCTGAGCCATTCTAGGATGCTCAACCCGTGCGATGGCGGTGACTGCGATTGGTTCTTGGTTGCACCCATGACTACAAGGCGTTGGTATCCTACCCTGTGAGTATCTCTGCCAACACGTCACCCCGTACCAATGTCGCAATGCAGTGAAACGCTTCAGGACGGAAGCATCATTATTGTACGTTTTTCACTCCGATATACTTTTGATCTGCTAACCCCTATAGGCCGGAGGATGCACATATGGAGGCTACGTTAGTGATGCAGCACAAACCAATCCCACGTACGAGTTCTTTCCCAGTCGTGGTCAGCCAATTCTCTCGCCCATACTTCAGACCACACTCCCTACAAACTTGTACCCTCTTATGTGGCTCCTTCCATCTGGCAAAGTCTTTGTTCAGTCTGGCTGGAAAACGGTCTTACTTGATGTGGACCAAAACAAGGAGACTCCATTGCAGGACATGCCAGATGCCGTTCGTGTATATCCTGCGAGTGCCGGAAACGCGATGTTACCGTTGACCCCTGACAACAACTACACGGCGTCGATCATGTTCTGTGGTGGTAGTAACATTCGTACCGAGCAGTGAGTCCACACTCCATACCGTAAGTCTCTTGGACAAAATTAATATCCGAATGCAGATGGTCCCAAAATTGGGATATCCCCCACTGGCCAGCGTCTTCTTCCTGTGTGCAGATTACCCCCGACCAGTCACCGAATTACGTTGAATTAGATGCATTGCCGGAGGGTCGAACGATGGGAAACTTGATTCTGCTTCCTGATGGAAGAGTCTTGTGCTTGAATGGCGCAAAGACAGGTTAGTGCCAGAAGGTTTCTAAAAAGCTTTTTGTAATGTGCTTTCCTTGACATCCAGGTACTGCCGGCTACGGAAACACGACTTTTACTATCGGCCAGTCATACGCTGACCAGCCACATTTGACGCCGCTCATATATGATCCAAAGGCACCGGCTACTAAACGCTGGTCTCTTAATGGATTCTCCTCGAGTACTATTCCACGCATGTATCACTCCACAGCTACCTTGCTTCCAGATGGTAGGGTTAGTTTAGTCAGACCAGAGCTTCGCTAATTCATTTCTAGGTTCAGTCTTCGTGGCAGGTTCGAATCCTAACAGTGACGTGAATACCACCTGCCCCCTATCCTACCGAATATCGAATCGAGCGCTTCTATCCTTCATATTACAATCAACGTCGGCCAGAACCTCAGGGTCTTCCGAACCAGCTCTCTTACGGCGGCTCCTATTTCAATGTTTCGTTAACGCTGGCAGACCTTTTCGGCAACGTGGACAGCATCCAAACAGCGAAAGTTATCGTTATGAGGACTGGATTCTCCACGCACACGATGGTGCGACAGACTCGGTTGCTTAATTTTATAATCGATTAATTATCCGCTGCAGAACATGGGCATGCGCTCAGTACAATTACAGAGCTCCTTCACAGGAAACGGCGATGGAAGCGCAGTTCTTCATGTAAACCAGCTGCCTCCTAACCCAGCCATCATGCCTCCTGGTCCCGCACGTGCGTCTTTGAATCCCCTCCATGATTTTGGATGACTGAGTTTCCTGTAGTGTTATTCGTGGTTGTTAACGGTGTCCCCTCTGTCGGCATTCAGGTCATGTGCGGGTCTGGCAAGATTGAGAAACAGTCGACGATGCCTGTGCAAAACCTTCCGACCTCGAATATTATTTCACAGCAGGCGGGACAGAAGCAGATTTCCGGTGCTAGTTTCTTGGTCCATTCTGCCAGAAATTGGTTGGTCTTTATGATGAAATACGTTGGAGCATTCTCCGCCATCTTGCTTTTTTGAGCTAGCGAAGCCGGTACGCCTTGTGTTTGCTGTACTACTTTTGGATGATACTTTACATTTTTTTCGATACATTTGCATAATTTTTTAGACGCAGACGCTATATCGTATACCCAGTCGTGTACTTAGACCATAGAACGCCTGTGTAATTCGTAAAACGCGTCGATGATTCGAGCGTTGCCGGTATTCGGATCGTGCCAAGATAATAAAACCGATTTGAAATTAGGAGTGCAGGATACTTGAACCAACATCTTGATCCAAGCGGTAAAGGTGCCAGTGCCCTGCATAGTCTGGTGTTTAGTGTGTAAATAAAGAAAAGATTGCGGGGAAAGTCATCAGGTCAACTTTAACGTGTGGGGTAGAGTCCGGCATGCACTTGGTACCAAAATAAGGCAATTTGATCTTACGTCTTAGACTACGTTCTCCAGCTCTGCTGTCAAGCACTTAGCGCTGGTATAAATACTCAATTCACGTTCGTGCCAGCAGCCAACGTTCACAGCATCCATTATCGCGGGATCCTACAACTATGGTTGAAGCATATCCGTCGCATGCTCCACGTCTGCCACAGCCACCTCTTGTGCAAGCCGCCAAAATGCACGTCAAGAGGGTGACACTGACATCCAAGAAGAACTGGTGGATGGGTAAGTCGCTACGGTTTGCATATATCACTAATTTCTGACTTTTCTGTCGTAATGTAGTCGAGCTAGATCAAGAAGACGAGAACCCAGCGCATCCATCTACCAAGTCGTTCTCGTCATCAGAAGAGACCGCAGTAGTACCGGACAATGGCCTTTTCGATCGAAATGTTGAAGACGAGAAAGCAAAAGAAATGTCGTCTCCCAATCCATCGATACCTGTGTATAATCCACCACGGCACCCAACTTCGATATTTTCCTTCCCTACGCCAACCGCTTACTCTGCGCCACCAAACCCTGCCGCGAACCTTGCCCCTGTGGCGCAAGGTTCTGCCTCTGAGCTGTTCAAGTGCATCGTCAAAAAACCCGACGTTGTACAGCTCGAGATCAACGGAGAGATGCAGTCAAATGCATCAGATGTGACAACACAATTCCTCGCCGAGCTGCGTGTATATACCACGGTGTCGCGACATCGCAATATCACTGCATTTCTAGGCTGCTTGGAGAACGTTGGTATGGTGTTGGAGTATATCGATGGACGAACTCTATATGAGGTCATTCGCCCGAGACCAGCTTTAACCCGAAAAAAGAAAATTGACTTTCACAACCAACTCCTCGATGGCCTCACACACTTACATTCATTTAGACTGAGTCACGGAGACCTCTCACTGCTGAATATTCAAGTGACGCATTCCTCTGATACCATCAAGCTTTTTGACTTTGGACGTTCTGTGTCTATGGACTCGGTATTCATCTCGCCATCGGATGAGCCTGTAGATCCTTTCCAGTACATTGCACGGACAGGGTCGGCCGCAGCTGCGGCACCGCAAAAGAAGGTGGAGCAAATACACCCAGGTACACGGCCATTCGCGGCTCCAGAGGTCCTCCGCGGGGAGTGTCAGGATCCGCTATTGGCTGATGCCTACAGTTTCGGGATGATACTCGTTGCGATCGACCGCGTTGAAGTGGTGGACCTCAAGCCTTGGGAGCAACGGAAGGATGTGGTGCCTGAGAACCTCTTTGAGGGGTGCGAGGTATTTGAGGAGTCTGCGCGTCAATATCTGAGGCGATGTGACTCAAGGAGGAGGCTTTCAAAGCACGACATGATGATGTCAGTGGACGAATGAGTTTCTGTGCATTTTTTGCAGCTCCCATTTCAACCCCCCTCACTCCAACACGGACGACATCGAGCTCCACGAGCCAATACCCCAGTACAGCACCACAGTTCAATTGCATCTTCGGTGTAATTGCGCATTTTCCATTCTTCATGGCCAAGGTCCTTTTCAAATTTATATCCTGTACGACTATCTCTAATATCTGGACACCGCTCAATCCACACACACCTATCACTGTATGTATCATATTGATTAGCTACGTTCTGATACCGAGTAATGGATTTTCCCTACTATACATGCACTTTCCCTGCGTCATAACGTTGTACTTTACTCAACTTGGAGTCCAAGATTTGGAGACTAGCAATTGGCTTCGGCATCTAAATTGGTTCCCACGCTTTTCTCTACAGCCGTGCACCACGTCCTCCTTGGCTTTCCTTTCCTCACATCTAAGTAGTCACTAAACATGGCGACTATACATCCCTCACGCATGGGTTTGGTCCCACAAGACCCCAAAGATACTTATCTCGCTCGCAGACGTGCACGCTCCCCTTCACCACGAGCACGTAGCCCACCGCGATACAGTGAACGAGAAAGAGACAACGGCAGAAACCGAGCGCAGGACCGCAGTAGAGAACACGAAAGAGACAAAAGGAGGGATGCTAGTAGGCATAAGGACAGAGATGGAGGAGATAATAGAAAAAGAGATGATGACAGACGGCAGCGCGACAAGAGCGCTGACCGAGGACGCGATCGTGAGAGGGACCGCAGCAGAGAGCGGCGTCGGGGAAGTCCTGAATACACTGACTACAAGCGCCCTGCGACGCCTCCGCCTGCTGAGGCTCCGTGGCGGAGTCAGGAGAATCTGTACCCTAACCGACAAGGGAGGGATAGACCACCGCATGCTGGTGGGTCGTATGGTGGTGGAGGGAGCGAGTATTTGGAGAGGTACGTATGCAGTCATCGAATTTTTGGATGATTCACTGACTATCATACAGTCGTCGAGCACAAAGAGATGCTTCAACACTAAGTATTTGGCCTCCTTCTCCCAAGGCTGCAACAAGAACACTGTATGTTTCATTTCGCTGCTTAACATTTGGTATACTCAAATCACAATCAGTTCACCTTCCCGCGATGCAAAATCTCGCAAATCTAAACGTGGCCGGTCACCAACCCCTACTGACTCCTCTGACAGCGAGGATGAGCGCAGGCGGAAGAAACGCAGAGACCGAAAACGTGCGCAGAAGGAGAAAGACAGGGCTGAACGAAGGGAGAGGAAGGAAAAGAAGAGTCGAGCACCTAGCAGACACCGGAGCTACGACAGCGCAGAAGAAGACCGAGAGAGAAGCAGGCGAAGCAAGAGCAAGAGCCACCCTCGCAGCCCAAGTCCTAGTCGTACTCCATTGCCCCCTCGTGCATCTGAGGAGGACGAATGGGTGGAGAAATCCGCAGCTGCACCATTTGCTTCCTCGTCCTCGGTCGGTCAGAGCCTTGGCTCTATGCCACCACCAACCACCATCCCATCACACTCTGGAGAGGCGATGGACGAGGACTCTGATGAGGATGTCGGGCCCCAACCGCTACACAAGGTTGTCATGAAGAAGTTCGATGAACGCGCTTATGGTAGTGCTCTACTTCGCGGTGAAGGTAGCGCCATGGCTGCCTTCCTGCAGGACGACACGGACACACGTATTCCACGTCGTGGTGAAATTGGTCTTACCTCGGACGAGATTGCCCAATTCGAGTCGGTTGGTTATGTGATGAGTGGAAGCCGGCACAAGCGCATGAACGCAGTGCGTATGAGGAAGGAGAACCAGGTTATTAGCGCGGAGGAGAAGAGGGGTATATTGAAGTTGCAGAAAGATGAGAGGCAGAGACGGGAGGCTATACTCAGGGAGGAATTCAGTGAGCTTGTGACAGAGAAGCTCAAGGGCCGCAAGTGCAGCCGAAGTGAATGCTGTTATGTAGCTCATCCAGACTGTTGCGTACATGTATTTGATCTACCAGCATGTCTAATATCAGTGCACGACCATTGGCCATTAATTGTCTACAATTCTGAACGAGAAGCTTTCTGCAAGCTAACAAGCTCGACGTCGAAGACTAAGGCGGAATGTGCAGGAATAACATTGCCAAATCCACGCGAACCTAATGAACCATGGTTGAATATATACATCATACATTGCCGGAATAAACCAACCGTAAGCCATGTCTGAAGGAATCGTCAAGGTACGCTTCTCGTTGAGGCACATGCCTTGGAGACCCTCGTCCCATCCTTTGATAACTTGACCCATACCGACTGGATAAATAAACAATCAGCAAGGCACATTGTATGCAAACTGAATTACCCACGTTTGACAGGTAACGGTTGGCCTCGGTCGATACTATACAAAGATGATTATAATTACATTTCTTCAATTCGCAGACTTATGCTGACCTCGAATCAAACTTGCTGCCGTCGGAGAACAACGTCCCGGTCTGTATTTCACGCCCCATGTGAACTCACACGACATAGACAAGTCACGAACCAAAACTCACGTAGTGCACCTTAATGGCGTCCCCAGTCCTTGGCAGTTGCGGGGCAGTCATCAGGCAAGTAAGTGACTGCGATCTGCAGTTCCTTCGGGGGCTCGGCGGCCAGCGCGCACACCGCCAAAGCCAACATAGAGAGCCAAAATTTGAGGAACTGCATAGTAACACTAAAGGTCGTATGGGTGCGTATGTATGAGTTCAAGTACTACTTGTCGACCACGTCGTCAGAGCCGTTCGGATACCGGAAGCGTGAGATGAAGAGCGGCTAATGCCGTGCGTGCTGCTGAGTCAGCAACTGTACAGTGAGTTCATGTCGATAACCTTAATTTTCACCATATCTCATCACAGCGAGGAACGACCCCCGACATCGACAAAATGGTGAGTTTTGACGTTTGATCACTACGCCATGTATTGACAGGTGAATTTGCTTGAAGCCTTCCCAAAAGTCCTTCAGAACGAAGCGTATCCTCGCCAAGGCCGGTCGTCAGAACAGGTGAGTGGGGTGTATCGATGCCTTTACAACCCATTCATAAACCACTTCCAGGCCCATCCCTCAATGGTTCCGTCTTAAGACGGACACTAAAATTCAAGTATGTGTCGAGGATCTTAGAAGCCGAGAATGTTGCTGATATTTTATAGTATAACGCTAAACGCCGTCACTGGAGGCGCACAAAGCTCAACATCTGAGCAGCCTTCTCTTTCATTCTCGATGTTTTTAGCGCTGTGAAGTTGAGGTAGAGACAACACGGAGAGACGTACCACACCAATGCAACGCAGCACGTATCAACCCCTTATTGGCATATTATGGCTATACAACCACCTCCGCATGCAAATATGACCTTTCTTTCTTCCTTGAGTCATGTTTGCCTCCTTGGGACTCTCATCGCATATAGTGCATTGTTGTACTCAGTTCACAGTTGACAGGACGCAAAGGATGATATTGGCATCCTCTTCTGATCTGATTGTCCCATTCTGCCGAGCGCTACTGGCGTTGCATGATTTCGAACAACTGAGTTAATGTCCGTCAAGACAGTAATTGCCATTGAGCAGTGAGATCAGGTCCTTTGACTGTCATGTTTCAAATCCGCCAATTAGCGAACACGATGATCCGGTACGAACGCCACGAGCACCGTGATATTACTTGTATGATACAACGTGTTCGGCTGTATGCAGTGCTGACGTTTCTTCAAAACTCGCTGACCAGCTGAAGGCCCATCACCTGTACTTGCACTGTACGTCCTCTCTTTCTAACAACCAAGTGCAAGGCCCGTATTCGTATCTACCATGTCGCTCATCTTCACGATTTTCGCGCTCGTCTTTCTGACTGAGCTCATCTCATGGATCGGCAAAACTGTCCTCCTTGAATTCGTTGGTGTTCTTCTTGAGGCTTCATACGCATGAGTTTACAGTTTCTTTCTTCTAGGCATGGGATCTCTACACCAAACTTTTCATGAATGCCTCATACACCCGACAGCGCCAACTGCAAGCCGAGCTCCTTACAGCGAAGAAAGAGCTGCTACAAACAAGCGCACAGGATCAATTTGCCAAGTGGGCGAAGCTGAGGAGAAGCGTTGACAAAGGGCTAGCAGAACTTGAGAAGCTCAGTACGTGGGCTCCACGACACGTTGGCACATACCAATGAACTGACGTGTTTCATAGATGGAGAGCTTGTGTCCAGCAAGACTGCATTCTCACTCAAGTTCAACACACTGTTGTGGGTCCTTACGACAGGGCTATCATTCTTCGTTGGCTGGTGGTACAGAAGGGCTGCAGTATTCTACCTGCCTCCTGGTTGGCTTGGTCCACTTGGCTGGTGGATGGCGTTCCCTTTCGCACCCAAAGGTCAGTATTCCCACAGTTATTAGCACGATCAATCCGCAAAGGCTCAATGATTGACCCACGCCAAGGTTCTGTGAGCGTCGGGGTGTGGCAAATGGCCTGCCGCAGAGTTATTAAAGTCGGAGAGCGCACGGTGAAAAATATTCTTGGTAAATTCAGTCTACTTATATTCATCACTATTGAATACTCATCACAACCCGTGCAGCACCCTCTGAACCCGTCGCTGTCCCAGTTGAAATGGAGACCCGTTCCAAGAGCTCGTGATAAGGAGTAGGGCGGATCCCCGTAGGAGATCCAGGATCAATGTTCTTGTGGTGATCTGTATGGTTTATGAGTCGCAGATTCGACCGTCTGTACTCCGTGTTTAATTTCAGTTTCACGTAATTGCGTGGTTCCTGCAGAAATAAACACATGCTCAGAATGACGTCGGCTCGGAAGGACCAGCGGTATGTCGGAGTCCCGAGACTAGTACATAACACATTTCGTTCCTTATTTACCACAACTCCACTCATCTTTCTCAAACATGGTCGCAGGCGTTCAGATTCACACAAAGGTCGATGTTCATAGTCCTCAATCTGGCATCCTCACCGACGATGCACTTGCCTTCCTCGCTGCACTTCATAGGACCTTTGAGTCTACCAGACATAACCTCCTAGTTGCGCGTGATATTGCGCAGCGCAGGTTTGACTCAGGAGTACCTCTTGATTTTCCTCCTGAAACAGCCCACATCCGTGCTGAGCCCTCATGGCACTGCGCACCCCCTGCACCTGGTCTTGAAGATAGACGCGTTGAGATTACCGGTCCTACTGACCGTAAGATGGTCATCAACGCTCTCAACAGTGGTGCAAAAACCTTTATGGCAGATTTTGAAGGTTCGCATGCCATCCATGATGCTCATAATTACGCTAATATACTATTTCCAGACTCCAGTGCTCCTACGTTCGCAAACATGATCAACGGCCAAGTCAACCTGCGTGACGCCATAAAGCGTCAGATCGACTTCGAGTCTGGCGGCAAGCAATACAAGCTGTCTGAGAAACCAGCAGTGCTTATCGTTCGGTACGTCACATATCTCTTCCTAGCTCCCAATCCGGTTGTTCATATTTCGGTCTAGGCCTAGGGGCTGGCACTTGGACGAGACGCGCATCACGGTTGACAACACCCCTGTCTCGGGTTCTCTCTTCGATTTTGGACTTTACTTCTTCCACAATGCCAAGGAACTCATCAAGCGCGGCTCAGGGCCCTACTTCTATCTTCCAAAGATGGAACACTATCTCGAAGCTCGTCTATGGAACGACGTCTTCCTCTTCTCCCAGTCCTACATTGGAATACCCCATAACACAATCAGGGCGACTGTTCTCATCGAGACGCTTCCCGCGGCGTTTCAAATGGAGGAAATTCTCTTCGAGCTCAGAAACCATTCCGCCGGATTGAATTGCGGAAGGTGAGGAGCATTCATGTGTATAATTTGTCATGGGTCAGTCGCTCATTTCCGCGTGTGTTCTTAGATGGGACTATATTTTCAGCGCCATCAAGAAGCGAAGGGCGGACAAAAGCGCCGTGTTACCAGACAGGAAAGATGTTACTATGACAGTGCCATTTATGGATTCGTATGTGCGCCTTTTAATCCAAACTTGTCACAGGTAATGCCACCTTTCGTCCATGACAGATAAGTATTCATTGTGTATTTTAGGAGGAAAGTTGCTGCCATGGGCGGCATGTCTGCTCAAATCCCCATCAAGGATGACCCTCAAGCCAACGAAGTGGCGATGGAGAAGGTTCGAGCAGACAAGCTCCGTGAGGTCACTGCTGGCCATGACGGCACTTGGATTGCGCACCCCTTGATCAATCAGATTGCCCGCAAAGTGTTTGACGAAAATATGCTTGGCCCTAATCAGGTTCGCACGGCAGTACCGTTTTACCTGTTCCTATTGCTCACGCATCGGTTATAGTACCACGTCAGACGTGAGGATGTGAAAGTAGCCGCTGCAGACTTGTTGAATGCCACCGTTCCCGGAAAGATCACGGAGGACGGCATCCGCTCCAATGTCTCTGTGGCTATGGCGTACTGTGGGGCCTGGATCGGTGGCAATGGCTGCATCCCTCTCAACTACTTGATGGAGGACGCAGCTACTGCTGAGATCGCGCGTGTGCAGCTCTGGCAGTGGGTGAAATATGGCGCACGTATCGACACTGGCGAGCAGATTACGACGCAGTATGTTGACCGCATCATCGCGGAGCAGGCACCTGGCATCAAGAAGATCGCCCCGGGCGTCAAGGAAAACCACTTGCAAATTGCCAAGAAGTATCTCATGGAGCAAATCAGGCAACAATGGCCAAGCGAATTTTTGACGAGTGACTTAATGCCATACCTGACGATGGCTGATGGCGTCGAGGACAAGTGGTACAGGAGCTCTTTGTAAAAGCGCCGCGAACACGCGTACCTGTGTTTTACTGGTTCTGTCAACGCCCCTTCCCGACATGTACTTGTAATATTATATTGGTCGATGATTGAGCCGCCAAGTGTTATAACTAGCGTGCATTATGCAGTGATGTTCTCAAGGACCGGAATAAGTGTGAATAACAAGTCATGCGAAAACTATGAAGATGGTTCCTCGGACCAGAGACCTAAAAGTGTACTATGCCTTAGAAACATTTACAACTGCGCCATGCGTAAGTGCACGACTGTAGGGACAAGCCTGGGAGGAGTACCACAGTCAGCGGATCACAATACACACTCTCACCGCGCGTGCCAGGTAGGGAAAACGTACCTCGTGACCAGCCTTGATCAGTTCCTCATCTTCCACACCCTCAACCTTTATATCCACGGCCAACCCGAACCCCCCAAGCCCCTCCGCCTCTCCAAGATGCACAGTCGTGTGGATCACGGCGTTCCTTGCGGCATCCTTCTTTCCCGTCTTGCCTGCCATCATCTGCAAGGCCCCGAGGAAACACGCTACATCCATGACGCATATATTCAGTGCAGATCACGGGATTTTAATATATTAACAAATTACGCACATGCATACCCCATGGCGAACAGTTGCTCAGGGTTCGTCCCATCGCCTTTGCCGCCCATTGCCTTGGGCATTGCTAGGTGCAGAGAGAAAGGGGTCTCATCGAATGAGTTGACTTCGCCCTTGCGACCCTGCCCAGCAGCGGTAGCATGGACGGTGTACTATACACGATAATTCGCGTTGAAAAAGCGCGTCATTGTCAGAAGGGATGAGCATTCAATCTGTCAGTAGCACCTTGTGGTTCTTGAGGGTCACGGGTGCAGCCTCCTTGGTTGCGTACGACCGCGTTGCTTGAATTGCCCGCACGCGAGATGTGCTTACGATACGTGCACCAATGTTCAGCATGCTGGCTTTGCTTTGGCTTTTGAAAAGGTTTGGTATGGGGACTGAAGGAAAGATACGGGTGAGAGTTTAGATCACACGGGGGTATTTATCGGCTGCGACGTCATTCTACTGTGGTTCATCCGATTAAATCACAACAAAAAATAGTTCAGTTTGAATACAATACAATGATCAGTCTACAATATGACTGCAAACAATACCTAGAAACCACTAGCAGTCACACGCAACTGCTCCAGCTTTTTGAGCACCTCTCCCACTGTGCGGTCAAGTTCTCCAGCAATCGCACTCTGCTTCGACCCTGGCAACCGAGCATACGTCTCGCACAAATCACCATCAACAACTGCCTTCACTGGTACATAGTAGCCTCTCCAGCTCAAGTGATCCCGACCCACAAGACTTCCCTGCTCCGTACGCATGTGTTGCTCGAGCGTTGAGATGAAATCTACATCCTCCTTGGACACGAAAGGTACGAGAATTCCAATAGTTCCATGAATGCCAGTGTAGAGTAGCACCTCGCGACCACCAGCAACGAGTGACACTTTGTGTATCGAGGTAACAAGATCGCCAACATGGAAGTGACACAACATGTCGGTTTTATGTGGGGCACCCATCAATATACCCTTCTCATGGAGGATACCGGCGCCTGTGGGGTCGTCATCTACTTGGTCAGAGACCTTTGCGTCCAAGCGATTGATGAATACGTTGCCAAAGCGATCACTAGCTGCGACGGTATTGTAATCCACCATGGTCGCCGCTGCAATCCATCTGGGTTGAGTGTCATCCGCGAAGATGAGCAGGCGATTCTCTGGCGCCTTGTATACTGCGAAATATATCGATTCCTGCATGTCGCCGACAATTATGCGGGAACCTTGGGTGTTGAGGCTAACGATGGCAGTAGAAAATGTCTGAAATGTGAATGTCAGTAAAGTGAACTGACGTAATGTTGTGTATGCTTACTTTGTTCTCTGCTTTGCGTAAAAGCTTCTTCTTACCCATCTCATATATCCGGAGAGCCTTTCCAACGCCAGCAACCAGACGTCCTTGGAATCCCATGACAGCAAGGGGGATATCATCCGTCTCTGTCTAAATAAAGATGTCAGCAAGACGAAGTATTCGTCAAGATATTACTTCACCTTGTGAAGGAGCTCCAATCCCACGCCATCCTCGGTGAAACGATACGTTCGCAAGAAACCACTGGTACATGACCGCGGAGACAATAAAGTATCCTGAGCGGTGCCTACGACAAGATGTAACTCATTATTTCGTGCAGAAAATGATACGAAAGCAAGGCTGAAGGCAGCCTCGTTGTTGTCTAGTGTGATAGTCGAAATGGTCCTGCCCTACAAAACATAGATGTGAGCTCACGCACCAACTAGTTATAATATGGCTTTACCTCAACAGGATCGATGATGCGGATTGCGGACGCCCAGATCCCTGCTGCCGCTCTCGGCCGTCCAAAGATCTCAGGAGGTAGGTCAAGCATTTCTTGATCAATATACTGTCCCGCTTGCGTCTGAGACAACGATCAGACCGCGGTAGTCGCAACATAAAGAACAAAACTCACCATCGCCTGTAACCGTTTATTGGCGGCCTCATCGCCCAAAACACGGTGGTCGCCCTCAATAAGATAAAAGTGGCGATTTTTGGGGTGAGATATAAACCTCCTAGGGGTCAAAGATAGTGGAATCGAGTCTTGCTTCAATTTCATGCCCAGTTTTGGTATCTGAAAAATGCTGAAAAGGAAACAGTAGTCAGTATTTATTCGAAAAACAACGGAATAAAGAAGTCTCAGTAGGAACAATTGGTATTCAAAAATATTCGGCATGTCCTTCTTAAAGGTTCATCCGGTATCTCTATTCTCATCTTCTACAGGATGTGATGGACGGTATCACTCACCGAAGAACACTACCAGCTATGCCAATGAGACCCTCAGGACTGAGCTCAGCGGAGAAACTCCATGCGTAGTCCAAGTTATCGAAAATCAAGGGCGTGAAATGCATAAGATTTTGATGCGTGTAATTCAACCAGGATCTGGATGAAAGCGCTAGGATGGCTGGATTCCCCTGGATTTGAACACGAACCAATCTGACTGGTCGGTTCCCGAGGAACCTGATTGAAAAAAATTAGCCGTGATTCTCCAGTGAGCGAAACGACTCACCGAGTCCGAGTATCAGTAAGTTGCCCATTAATAGGATCAAGTACTGTTCGTAGGAGAACGCCATTTTGGAGACCAATGTTCACAAACAGGGTGGGCTGAGTCTTGTTGATACTCGCATCCAGCATGTCAGCAATGCAAATGGTTGATGGTGGTGCTGTCAACGCTTGCAAACTGATCGTTTCCAGCGTACTCTCTGGGTCAAGCGACACTATTCGAACGGTCTGGTCCTCGCATCCGACAGCCTAGTAATATGTGAGCATATCATAGAACTCAAAGAAAGATGGCTTACCAGATAGGGCGTTCTTTGGCGTCCCTCGGGTACCTCTGCTATGCTTAGAGCCGTAATAGTCGAACCCATAGCCTTTCTATCCTGATATTCGTTCAATTGGCCATCAAGATCAAGTTCGAAGTAAACAAGTTCAGCAGAACTCAGGGCAACAACCACTTGTCGTTTGTTTGTCGTAGCGGTGACAATAGTCTTTCCTTGAGGGGCTGACCACTGATTGACGCGGTGGTCCGCAAGTATATGACGAATGCCATGCGGATGCACCTGCAGGAGGGCGTCAGCGCCGATTTGCTGGACAGCAAGAGTGGGCGCTGATGATAGGATACCGGTGTCCTGCACTTCTTCAATTGTTTCTCCAATGGAAAGGACAAGAGTTCCATTGACGAACGAGAGAATAATGTAGGTATCAAACTCGTCTGAAAGTACGTGTCAGCGGAAGTTCTTTAGAACACCTATGAAACAAAGACTTGCCGTCCTCGCGCCGCTTGGTCGTCCAAACGGCATTGGGAATACCAGGCAACTCTGAGCTAACGGATTCTTCAACGTCAAGACCGTGGCGAAGTGTTCTGAAAGAACTCCTTGCTCCACGTCCACACGCGGTGAAAATCTGAGGCGTATCTGAGTTTGGTAATAGGTTCATCACCTTGGAATCTATTATCGGGTCCAGGGACTCTACTTCGTCTGCGAGTGCAAGATTATCTAGTGGTCGTGGCCGGAAGTGTGCATGAGGTAAAGCAATGGTGGGATTTGCCATTCCGGTACCCGGATACGACGTTGAGCTAAACTCAGGTTCATTGTCATCGTCGCCCAATTTCTGGAACTGGTACAAATAACTGAAATTAATGTCAGTGACTTCTTGAGAAACGTTAAATTGAGAGACGCACTGATTCCCAAACTCGGATGCAACGAAAAGGAAACCAGATTTAAGAATACAAAGACTGGACGCCACAGGAACAGTGTCAAAATACTTGATTTTTAATGCTTTAACTTCGTCCTCTTCATGATCAATTGTGACTTTGAAGAGGTCACCATCCTCGCTTTGAAGGAGAAAGAAGAAAGCACCCTACGACAAAATATGAATCAAGGCATAGCGACAAGCTGCAAAAGACCAACCTTCATTTTGTGCATGACGGCCGTAACTATGATGATGCCTCGCTGACGATCTTCGAGAGGATGTTGTCTTCGTGGGATAGGGACACGATGTTGTCGTCGGTCCATGTGTCGGTAGATAATATGATCTTCACAGCAAACCAGAACACCAGACGGTCCATCGAAGCGATCTGTGGATGCAACTTGGCCGCCAGGGACTTGAACCAATAAATTTGCACGTGGATCCGTAGCCTCGCTCCATTTTCGAACGACATGATTAAGGCCCAAATCAAGTTCGTAGTAGGTCAGCATCTGAGAGAACTCATTCAGTTATCGTATACTAAAGAAAATCGCTGAACACACCTTCTCCGCATTGTTGAACGCTTCCCCTGTAGGATCTTGATCAGACTCAGAGTAGTCGACTTCGAGAGCAGCAAACAATGGGTTCTCAAAGCCCACATCAAGGCCGACGATATGGTGAATGATAGCATTGTTTTTATGCGCCTCGAGAGGCGACGAAATCGTGAGATTGGCTGCGGCATCTCTGTTTAAGATGTATACAAGTTTAGCCTTCTCTACCGCTGAGATCATCACGCTACGGCCTTTGGGGTCTGTCGCGAGGTATTGTCCAGGCACAATGCGTCGCGCTCCAGACTTGCCAAAGGTTTCTTGATGCAGCTTCACGAAACTGCTCGATTTCGGGTCATAGTCGAGAATGATGATGCGGCCAGAATCCGAGCCTACGATTGCGTAGTCTGAGAATAGAGTATGAATAAGATGGAAATAAAAGATGATACGTACGAGGGGCTCACCCTTGGTACTGCCTGTCAAACGAAAAGCTGCTAGAGAGCGAATAGAGCCAAATACATCAGAGGCTATGACTGTCGATAATTTGCCGGTCTGAACATCTGGGCGTAGGAGCTCAAGTCGAGTGCCACGAGAGATGATGATTTCCTGAGTGCGGGCGCCAGAAAAATTGCCAACGATAGCTTGCGTAGCTGCCGTCGGGGGCTGAAGCGTTAAATTGTATAGATGCATCCCCCGAGGTTGATGTGGTCAAAGCCGACGACGAACTGGACGAACTAAAACCGCACGCAAACTGTTGACATTATTTTTCGGAATTTGGTTTGTGGCTAAACAGCACTTGAGCTGACATAATTGTCTGATTTTGGCAACTCCTGTTGTTCGCAGTCATTTGCACGCGTACATTCAGCTATTATTTAAACCACAAACGAATAACAAATATATGGTGTCTGAAATCCTCTAGGCTAACGCTTTGCGCAACATTATTCCTCTGTCTATCCAACCAAGTACATAGGCCTACGATCCATTGAGGATACACCATGACCAAGGCCCCACATGAATGTTGAAGAGGCGACGTCGCAACGATCTAGGAGATGTGATAACCCTGTTCCAATGGAATGACGTGATATGGAGCCATCATCCTTCATGGTCTTACATTGACCGTTCATTGCCGCTGATCAGCGCTTCGTGTAGTTGATTATCCCGACTTATCACTTATCAGATAGACCTTAAGCTTGACCAGCAATCGCGATTACGCCGATGCTACATATAATGTTCCCCTCTTCGCATTCTACACGGGGATCTATCAGGATGCTTGAGGAAGGCATCTTCCCATCAATTTTGGTTAGCGGAAAGACTTACCGAGTTCCATCGAGCGTCTGTTCATGATCATGGACATCGTGTTCTTGTGTTTCTGCTGCTGTTATGGGATCCTAGTTTGTCATAGTGGCACTCCAGAGCTCGCGTTTATCCAGGAGGATCAGAGCACAGAACCGTGGTCAGTCAATTTTGGCTGCCTGGGGGCGGTGCGTGTTGTTTTTTCATATGTCAGGTTTCCCATACTGACTGTGTCTCGTTAATAAGCCGAAGTGGTATCGGATACGTGTATGATATTCTGTCAGTAATTTTGACCAAGATGAATCATTGGAATGGCGGCCATCTGCTCGTCCCGACGATGTTATCGCGACTTTACTCCCAATTTGAGGAAGTTCATCCCTTTCTGCGAGGTCCCGTAATCACCATTAAGCAGGCAACTCTCCTCCGGAGGACCTCACTTCACCGGCCAGTAGGTGATATTCAGTCAAACTTAACTTTTACTCATGGTCAAACAGCCTCCTTGCTTGTCCAGACGACAACGCCCACGCCTCTGTTTCAAACAGGAAGGTAGTCGTGCCAGCGTGGACGGGTTTGTCAGACGCATCGAAAAGAAGTCGTAGACCCGCAGCCTTCAAGACACTCCCGACTAAGAGTTACCTCGTGTTATCATGCCTCTTTTGCTATTGAAGAACATCTTGGCATAGTTCCTGCTGAATATTAGTCGGGAAGTACAGACGTGATCTATCGTTGGCAGAAGCCAGGAGTGTTGAAAGTGATTGGAGAATCTGAAATGTTAGTCTGGGCGGAGAACAAGCGCATGTCACTTGATAATAGGCGTAGATGTTTCGGCCCTTCTTTTCAAATTTCGCATCTCAAGCTTGAATGCCATCACCTGCCCGCTAATGGAGGATGTGACAATATTTATTCTTGTAAAACAAGTCGTACTACACAAAACGGTCATAAAGCTCAAGTAAAATGCGAAAATCGACGAATGAAAGCTCAATGAATGATATATTTACAAAGACTGGGCCTCTAAGTGATTGGTTACTGCAAGGCGAGATGGTCCTGCTTCTGGTGTGATTGACTGGTGATCGTTTTCAATTCAATTTCTTCATGCTGAGCCCTAAAGACTGTTAGTGAATGAATTTTGTGAACGAATAGGTTTTATATACCCGGGAGGAGGCACAGTGACTGGATCAAGAACATTTTCTTCCTCTTCGTCGTCCTCGAGTTCATCATCATAGACTGGCCGTGGTTCCTGCTTCTTCTCCTTTTTCTGGAACCAGCTGAGGCAAAAGAAGAGAACAAATGGTCGTATTCCATCATCCACACCGACAACGTCACCCTAGTGAATGAAGCGGTCAGATCTCACGAACGCAACATGATTGTGGAAAACGAACATAGGTAACTTGTCCGAGTGGAACATCGACAACTTCGACAGTTTTTCGTTTGGGTTCACGCGCCTTTTGTTTCCCCTTATCTGATGACGACGGAATGGGGTTGAAAAAGGTCCTGCCACCGGGCAAGAGAGTCGACGGAGCGCTTTCTCCATGAAGGCGATTGGGAGGCAAGGGTAGTGTAGCAGGGAACTGCGGCGCGAGTGTTGAGTGAACTGAAAGAAACCAGAGAATGTGACTCACATCTAGTGGATTACGAGATTGATCCTTCCGACCAGGGCGTACTCCATTCGTGCGAGGGAAGCGAAGGAATTTGCTCAGGCGAAGAAAAGTGGGCTGTTGTGGGTCTCTTGTGGGCGGAGGTCTCGGCACCATAGGTATGGCGAATATCGGCGGTCGGCGGAGCCCAGCAGGATGATGACGTGTTGCATCAGACTGTAATGATAGTGATGAGTGAGTGATATAATGAGTAAAAGAATGGGATGCGCACATTCAGGATACCCCTATGGGCCGACTTTTTGCGTGCAATAATCTGTAAGCGGAATGTTAGCACACGAACAGCAGATGTGCGGGGAATGCGCACACGGGCCTGAGTAAGGATGTCAGGTGGAGTATCACAGATGCAGATCTTGCATTCGTCCTGAGCGTATGTCGTGTAAATTAGTTGGCGTGAATCGGATGAGAGGATAAGGAGGGAGGGATCCTGAACGTCGAAGGAGGCGAGGAGCTGTCGTGACTCGAAAGCCCAGAGCTTCATGGTGTTATCGTATGAAACGCTAGCAAGGAGAACTCCATCAGATGAAAGTGCTAGACCATGAATGTACTCGGTGTGCCTTTCAAAGGCAGCTCCGACAGTCTCCAGTGTAACCGCATCAAACTCGTAGATTGTCTTGGGGAAGTCATACAGATCTGAATCCGCGGTGAAATTGAATTGGAATGCGGCTATGATGGTTTTGTTTTTGTTTGTCCAGAGAATTGGCGATAACGTGGCTCCAGTTCCACTGGCTTTCCCTATCCTGACATCCAATTTCTGTGATTGAACATCCCAGATTTCGAGGCCCGTCCCCCAATCTAACTTGACTGCGAGCTTTTTCGAGTCTGGTGAGAATCGAACCGCGCCCACGAAACCGATGCTCTTGAATGGACCAGCCAAAAGTTTGCCAGTCTCCAAGTTCCATATCCGCACTGTTTCATCGAGTGATCCGCTCGCCAGCAGGGTATTATCCGCAGAGATATCAATGCAGTTGATTTGCTGTAAGTGTCCTTCGAATATTTTCACAATCCCCGTCTCAACCTCAAAGGCTTTCAGCTCTGGCCTATCCACATCTCCACCGCCAGTGACAACCCATCGACCATCCCCTGATACTGCCACTGCAAATACCATCCCCTCGAAAACACCTCGGGCTCCCTCAATCTCCTTGCCCGCCTTCAGATCCCATTGCCGAGCGGTCTTGTCCAAAGATCCGCTGATCATTCGTTGGCCGTCTGGAAAGTACGATATGGATGGAATGCTATCTCCATGACCCTTCAAAGTCGTTACCGGTTTCAGAATTGATTCCGTGGTGGCCGCCTTCGTCGACGTGGATGCCATGGCTGCGTCTCCGAGAGTGAAACCGTAAAGTAATACGGGCAAGGTATCCTTTCGAAGCGTTCAGATGTGCACAGGTGAGGCCTCCCACCGGATATCAGTGTATCATATGACTGACACTGACAGCGATTCAGTGATGAGCCCCTGGTAAAGCCAAATGTCAGTTAATCACCGCCGGAAATACAGGTGATATCTTGGTGTTACCGAGAGACTAGTGCTTTAGCAGCGAAGAACTTGAGGAGCAATGAATTGTCAAGTGAGTGCAGCTATTGGTTTTATGCATCGCCTTGCATATGCTATACACCCTAACACGCCCCCTGTGCATGGCAGCTGTGCATTGCGCCCTGGATCCTTCCATTTATCCCATTTGTTTCTCTTTGCTTCTTGGCTCACAGCCATGGCTTAGTAAAGTCACTGCCATCACTAAAGCGTCAATCTATTATCTATTTCCCACCCAACGATGGGCAACACAATACTCAACTTTATCGTTGCTCGTTCGTCAATTTTGTTTTGGACGTGTAAACGCTTATGGAGACCAGCATCTTTCATTCCGTCATATCAAACTGTCCTGAGTCTGCTACTAGTCTAGGCGGAGAACAAGTGCATGTACGTTGATGACAGGCGTAAATATATTAGGCTTCTCTTTCCAAACTCTCAAGCTTCAATATCTAAATTTTGTCGCCCACCAGTCAATGCACTTTAGTGAGGATGCGACTATATTTATTCTTCCAAAGCAAGTCGTAAAGTTGGAGGTACACTACAAGATTCAACAGCTGGAATGCTCGACGGATGAAATATTTACGAAGACTGCGCCTCTGGGTGTTCGTCGGCCACCACAATACAACATAATCCCGTCTCGGCCTGTGACCGACTAACTGCCAGTTTCGATTGAATTTCTTCGTGCTCTACCCTAAGAGACCATATAAAATTAATTTTGTGAACGAATAGGTTTAGTGTACCCGAGAGGAGGCACGACTAGATCAAGAACATTTGCTTCCTCTTCGTCGTCCTCAAGCTCATCATAGACTGGCCGTGATTCCTCCTTCATCTCCTCTTTCTAGAACCAGCTGAGGCAAAAGAAGAGAACATATGGTCATATTCCATCGTCCACACCAACAACATCAGCCTAGCGAATGATGTGGTCAAAGCTCACGAACTTAATGGAATAATAAGAACAAACGCTCGTCCAAGTGGAACATTGACAATTTCTGTAGTTCTTAATTTGGGTCTATGCACCTTTTGCTTTCCCTTGTCGGACAACCACCGGATAGAATTGAAAAAGGCCTGCCACTGGGCAAGGGAGTCGATGAAGAGCTCCCTCCATGAAGGCGACAGTGAGGTAAGGGTAATGTAGCAGGGAAGTGCAGCACAAGTGTCAAATCAAATATGAAAGAAACAAGAGAAAGGGACCCACATCTAAGGGATCGTGGGATCGATCGTTTCTAACAGGGTATACTGTGTTCGCGCAAGGAGTGAAGTGAAAAGGTTTGCGGAGGTGAGGCCAAGTAGGTTGCTGTGGGTCAATTGTAGGTGCCTAGCGGAAGTCTCTGGGTCATGCTAAGTATGGAAAGTACCGGCTGTCTGCAGTGCCCGCCAGAAGAACGACGGGTTGTATCAGGCTGCAGTGATGGCAACGGATGAGTGACGGAATGAGTAAAATGATAAGGAGCATACTTTTAGTAGATAGCTGAAGCTTGGCTTTTTGCGTGCAGTGGTCTGTCAAGGGAATGTTAGCACACGAATGATGGACGTTTGTAGGGAATGCGTATGCTAGCTTGAGCAAGGATGTCGGGTGGAGCGTCACAAATGCAGATCGAAATGTGAAATTCGTTGACGGTCGATGATCAGGTTGGCCAAACGAGTACCCAAGGCAATACTTGAGAGTACGAATATTAGAACTGAAAGGACTACAAGAGAGGTGGTCGGATTCCAAAAATGCGCCAGATAAAACATGAGAATAGGGTCTAGAGAACTTGAAAGGGTCTAGAGAAGTGGAGATCGACACGGAATCATTATTGGTAAAACGGGACTCGGCATCTAGTCGATTTCAAGACGTGCTATCAGGGGAAAGAGGATTCGAAGGCCAGCTATCGTAAAGGCTCACCTGAGAGTGAGAGAGTCCTCTTGCTCGAATCCATGCACAACTAGGTAGTAAGGGTTGTATCATGTTTGATAGTTAAATCGTACCAATTTCGTGGTTTGGTGTCGTGCTATCGAATTTCACACAGATTGTATGTACGAGGTTAGAGGTCTAAATGAGTAGGGCAAGTGGACGTACAAAGAAGAGAAGGTTGATTTGGACGACGGCCTGATATATGTGAGAAAGCAATTGAGACATCTGAGTGAGGCTCCTGACTGAAACAAATGTTCCACCTGTCTCACCGAGTACAGTCCGTGATGATGTACAATGAGAGTCTTGACCAGATCAACATTCTGTGGGGGGTGACGTCAGCGAGGATGAGGATATGAAGTTTATCTTCTGATGGAATTTGATAAACGCAGCAAATATTGCAGATAGCATATAATCAATACACGAGTGTTAAAACATCAGTTATGGAGCGTATATCATACAACAAATGTGTATGAGTGCATACGAAGTTAACTGCGACCATGAGCACCATCACGGCTGCCATTTACTGTACCGTCCTGGCGAGGGATGTCGACGCGCTCCAGGTGCCACCGAGGAGGTATCCTCAGTCTGCCATGAGACCAACACGAGTAATAGCAGAGGAACGCCTTGACCCAATGCACATCTGGGAGCGAATCAGTGTCAGCTGTGTCGTTTTCCTGCGCCTGTTGGCTAGACGGATGTCGTGTATCGTCTACTTTCTTGTATTCCAGTAGTTTGGCAGCAAGGAGCCGCTGTAGGGCACAAATCAACAGAAGGCACTGAGAAACAAGAAAATGTACGGTACAGTGACTTTCCGCCCTGGTGCAACTTCGACGACTGGTGGACCATGGCTGTGTCTGGGCACGAGGAAAGAAAGATGCTGCCGTAGGGATTGCACGACTCCATTCGAGCGGGGAGGCAAACTTATTTCGAACTGTATAACCACTCAGTCAATCATGTGTTTCGTATTTACTATAGAAATTGAAGACTGACACGATCAAATCGAGCTGGGACCTGATCTGAAAGAGACGATGGTAGGGGTAATGTAGCAGGGACCTGTTGTGCCATCATGAAGTCAACTGTCAAAGAATTGAGATATGAGATATGAGAGTCATGACCTACATCTAGAGGATCACGAGGATGGATGTGACGAACAGGGACTGCGTTCGCGCGAGGAGACAAACGAAGAAATGTGCTAAGACGAAGGAAAGCGGGTTGTTGCGGTTCTCTTGTAGGTGGAGGTCTCGGTGCCATAGGTATGGTGGATATCGGTGGTCGGCGGTGCCCAGCAGGACGACGAGTTGCATCAGACTGCAACAATAGTGATAGGTGAGTGGTATAATGATTAAAAGAATTAGACGCGCACATTTAGTATATCCCTGTGGGCTGACTTTTTGCGCGCGATCATCTGTATAGTAAGCGGATTGTTGGCACACGAATAGCAAATGTGTGCAGGGAATGCGTACACGGGCCTGAGTAAGGATGTCAGGTGGAGTATCACAGATGCAGATCTTGTGGTTGTCTGCGGTGTATATCGCGTAAACTAGTTGGCGTGAATCAGATGAGAGGACAAGGACATCGACGTTCTGAACGTCAAAGGAGGCAAGGAGTTGTCGCGACTCGAATGCCCAGAGCTTGATAGTGTTGTCATAGGAAGAGCTAGCGAGGAGAGCTCCGTCGAATGAAAGTGCTAGACCATAGATCTTCTTGGTGTGCCCTTCAAAAGAAGCTCCAACAGTCTTCAGCGTAACCGCGTCAAACTCGTAGATTGTCTTGGCGAAGTTGTCATCATATAGAGTCGACTTAGAAGAATCGAATTCGAATATGGCGATGATAGTTTTGTTTTTTTGTGTCCAGAAAACTGGCGAGAACACGACTGATCCATTGGGTTTCCCTGTTCTCACATCCAATTTCTGTGATTGAACATCCCAGACCTCTAGGCACGTCCCCCAATCCAACTGGACTGCGAGCTTCTTCGAGTCTGGGGAGAACCGAACCCCACTCACATCACTAATGCTCTCAAATGGACCAGCCACAAGTTTGCCGGTCTCCAAGTTCCATATCCGCGTTGTTTTATCGGGTGACCCGCTTGCCAGCAGGATGTTGCCCGCAGAGATATCAATGCAGTAAATTTCCCGTGAGTGTCCTTCGAATATTTTGACAATCCCTGTCTCGACCTCGAAGGCTTTCAGCTCCGTCCTGCCCAAATCTCCACCACCAGTGACAACCCATCGACCATCCCTTGATACTGCCACCGCAAATACCACCCCCTCGAAAACACATTGCGCCCCCTCAATCTCCTTACCCACCTTCAGATCCCATTGCCGAGCGGTCTTGTCCTCAGATCCGCTGATCATTCGCTGGCCGTCTGGAAAGTAGGATATGGATGAAATGCTGTCTCCATGACCCTTCAAAGTCGTTACTGGTTTCAGAATCGATTTCGTGGTGGCCACCTTCGTCGACGTGGAAGCCATGGCTGTGTCTCCCTGAGTGAAACCGTAAAGTGGTACGAGCAAGATATCCTTTGGAAGTGTTTAGAGGTGTACAGGGTGAGGTCTCGGTATCAGTATATTACTAAGCCATTTAGTCAGCTCAGCTCAGCTATGCCGGTTCACTGGTTGTAGCCGAACCGTTGGTAACACTAGTTACCGTGCGGAGCACGGTCAACTACAATGTAGCGTGATATGTGGATTCAAAATAGTGACAAATAAACACCTATTATAGCAAGAAGGAAAACCCGAGATACAGAGAAAACAAACATCATAATGAAATCTGGAATATAGTGTTCTCATGGATAGCTAAGGAGAGTCATCTGATGTCTACTATAGAGGTCATGTGGATGCAGACTCTTTATCCTTATACATTTGCATTGCTGAAGTGTAAAATGTATTTGTAACTCAGGTGCAACCATCATGCTCTAACCACACACATTTGTGTTTAAAGTAATCTACAGGATGAATTGCTTCCTGACTCTCCCCACAGACAAAGAGCAGAGAATGCACCAGAGATGGATGAAGAAACTAAAAACTGGCTAATTTTGGATGATTTTGCTAAAGATTTCAATGCCAATGAATACAAGTTTGCAGCACATCCACTTCCCCTCTACCATGACAACCACCTAGTACAACCTGAACATGCCAACAAGATTCTGAACGGAGCTATCATTGAAGTTCAATTCCACATCCAACACTAGCACATTAAAGAATTTGATAGCTTCCAAGCTGTGGTGGAAAAGGTAACAATACTCAAACTTGGTCCAATTCATGTCCCATCACACTACAAATGCGTGCATCCAGGTGGAGACACAGAGTTATCAGGACAACCCATATCAAAAAGAGCGTGTCATAACAAAGAAATGAGTTCATCCAAGTCGTCCAAAGCTTGATAAAAATTTCACTGTTCCTACAAATGATCTGTATTTATATTGTGCAATCTGACCTTGCTCTGTGCCATGTCAAAGACTCATGGAAAAAAAACAATGATTGTGGGAGCAACAGCCCAACAAGAAACAACAAAGTGCAAATCGCTCTGCATGGTCACAAGTCAGCAATGCTGACCCCTAGTACTATAGGCCAGCGTTATGCAAATGGCTGTAAAAGGCATTTGACGCATGTTGTAAGCCAGAGGCATTACCACGGTCCTTAACTTTTTTCTGACAGTAACACCTTGAGAGCAGTGTTTGTAAACAAGTTGCTGACATCATGAAGAAATACTGTTTGAACTTTCCTGATGTTCACACATTCTGTGTGCATGATAAGTACTGGTTTGCAGATCAATGTCTATTTTGATTCTATCAAGGGCTTTCACTTTTTGCTTGATTTCACACTGCAATACTTCAACCAATTGAGGGCCTTGAGGAGGAACAAATATTCATCTCCATTGACATGCTGAATTTGGTGATGCAAGGGCTGAACAGTGATATACAGTGGCTCAAAAAACTGTCCGCATGTTTTGACATTTTTCACTATCTATGATATTGTGTGAGAAGGAACAAATGCCTCAAGGACATGCTTATAGCACATTGTAGTATGGCTTCAGGGCTTTCATTTGAGCCCTACACCGTGGGAATCGGTGGAGATATGGTGGAGATACAAGGCTCACAAAATGGTGACTCATGCGGACAGTTTTTTGACTCAAGTATTTTACAATAATAACCAGGTATTCTAGTATTTTGTATGACCTCCCTTGGCTTTAATTACTGCCTCTATCCTTCTAGGCATACTCTCAATTAATTTCTGGCAATCCTCAGCTGTGATCTTCCCCCATTCCACTGCTACTCTCTCCCAAAGCTCCCATACTCCTTTAGGGGGGTTTTCATAGGCTTGAAGCTTTTTCTTGAGTGTTCCCCAGAGATGTTCAATGACATTGACATCAGGAGACTGTGCTGGCCAGTCAAGAACATTGATGTTATGTTCTTCAAACCATTCCTTAGCTCTTCTGGATGTGTGCTTGGGATCATTATCCTGTTGGAAAATGATATCTTCTTCATCAATCCCTGATTCTGCCAAGCTAGGCAGCAAGTGGTCATTTAAAATGTCCACATACTGCTCAGCATTCATCTTCCCCTCAACCTCAGCAAGCATTCCCACACCATTCCATCCCATACAGCCCCATACCATTAAAGAACCTCCTCCAAACTTGACAGTCCCATTAACCTCTCTGTCTGTTAGGCCATCTCCCTTCTTTTTCCATACATATACCTTCCCATCTAACCCAATCCTATTGATTTTGGTCTCATCTGACTATATGACATGCTTCCAGTCCTCTACAGTCCAGTGTTGATGAGCTAAGGCAAAGGCTAATCTTCTCTGCCTATGTTTGATGGAGAGAAGAGGCTTTTTCTTCTTTGTTACTGCCTTGAGAACATTCCTCACAGTTTGTGAAGAGACAGGGGTAGTGATGGTGGAATTGATATAATGGGTGGCTTGGACAGCATTATCAGCCTTTCCTGTAGTGATATGTTGGATAATAGCCCTTTTGTCAGTAGAGGTAAGCTTGAATGGATGTCCTCCACAAGAGTTTTCCTTGTCTGGGTGGCTTTCTTTGATAAACTTGGCCACAGTGGACTTGCATACTCCAGTTCTAGAGGAAATTTGGTGAGCAGAGAGGCCAGCATAAGACAGAGAGAGGATATTATCTCTTTGAGCAGAGGAGATGGCTTTCATGGTGATTATGACTATGATACATGAGATATTCTGGTTTATATAGTTAGATATAGTCATAAAATAACATAATGACACCACTTCATAATTTATATAATAGTGGCATGATTTTTATGATGTCATAAATAATGATTTATATAGTTTTAATATACACTCAAAAAACTGTCCACATGAGTCATCATTTTATAAGCCTTATGTCTCCACCATATCTCCACCAATTCCCATGGTGTAGGGCTCAAATGAAAGCCCTGAAGCCATACTACAATGTGCTATAAGCATGTCCTTGAGGCATTTGTTCCTTCTCACACAATATCATAGATAGTGAAAAATGTCAAAACATGTGGACAGTTTTTTGAGCCACTGTACAGTGGCTCAAAAAAGTGTCCCAATGTTTGTGAGTTTTCATATAATTGCTTGATTGTGAGTCAGGGCGTGGGAATATGACTAAGCTATAGGGAGGCATCAGAAGGCTCTGCTTCTTTGCTTTGTTTTTGTTCCCTATAGCGTGGGAATCTGACATTAGTGTGTGAAAATATGGACATTTTAATTTGGTGACTCATTGGGACACTTTCTTGACTTTCAATTTGATCAATACAATCTCTATAATTCTAGTACTTGGTGTGTCCTCCTGTTGCTCTAATCACTTCTACCACTCTTATAAACATACTTTCTATCAATTCCTAGCATTGCCCATTAATAATCTTCCCCACTATGCTGCAACTCCCTCCCATAGCTGAAATAGCCCCTATGAAGGATCTTAATATACTGCAAGTAATATCCTGAGCAATTTCCAGGGCTGTTCAGCAGGGTTGAGGTCTGAAGATTGTGCTTGCTATGACAGGATAGTATTATCATTGTTTTCAAATCATTTGGTAGCTGACTTGGAGTATGCTTGAGATCATCATCCTATTAGAAGATAGTGTCTTCTTCAATGATTTCTGATTTCTGCATGCTTCCAAGCAGATGCTCCTCCAAAATTGAGATGTACTGCTCTGCATTTATTCTCCCCTCCAGCTCACAGAGAATTCCTACTCTATTTCACCTCATATAGCCCTATATCATCAAGTTTTATCCTCTAAATTTGAGTATTTCCTTGACTTATCTTTGTCCAAGTAGTTCTTCTGCCTTTTCTTATACATATTCCTGGTTATTTGACCCCATCCTCTTGGTTTTTAGCTCATCCAACCAGATATCTCTATTTCAGTTCTCAAAGTCCAGTACTGGTGCTTTAGAACAAAAGCTAGTCTCCTCCCTCTATTGGCTGAAGATAGAAGAAGCTTTTCTTCTTGGTTTTAGCTTTAAGGGTGGCTGCCTTAAGAGCATTCCTGACTATTTGAGTGGAGACAATGGTGTGGATGATGGAATCAATGCATTTGATGGCTTGAGTAGCATTAGCAGCCTGCCTGGTTAAAATGTGATACACAAAAGATCTTTGCTATATGGTATGAGCTTAAAAAGGTGATGTGATTTGATATTTTCCTTGATTGGAATGGCCATTTTGATGAGTCCAGCAATAGTATTTCTGCCTGGACCAGCTGTAGTAGAAATCTGCCTGGTAGACAGATGAGAGGAGTGGAACCTCACTCAGGAAACGGTGAGGAACACTAAACAAATCAGACAAAAGTAACAGGATGAAACTGTGGATTCTTTGAGCATTGTACTAATGGATATGTGATGGTAGGTAGGAGACTTGAGTCTGGTCTGAACAATATGAGAGTGGTGGAATATAAGGGGATCTGTCACATGATATATGATAATGTAAGTGTATTGTAAGTGGTCAGCTTACACCCTCTCATTGTTAAGAACCATGCTCAAAGGAGAGAGAGACTGACTCAGAGGGGCTTGGCCTCAGCTCGTATGCTGTGCCCCTTACCTGAGTATGTGCCCTTCATTTCAGAGGAAGTCCAGAGGACTTCCAGATGCTGGCTACTCTGGTAGAGAGTGCAGGAGGACTTCTGGAGGAGCGCGGGAGAGTTCCGGAGGAATGCAGGAAGTGCTCAGGAGAGTTCCCACTGCAAGGTAATACTTCTACAGGAAAACAGGATGGAAGGATAGGAGGTCTGGAGGACAGGAGGACAGGATGTCCAGAGGTCTGGAGTATGGAGGACAGGAGGTCCGGAGGTATGGAGGATGGAACATCTGAAGGACAGGACGTCTGGAGGTCCGGAAGAAATAGGGGCTACATCGGACAAAGTCTGATGTAGAAGCAAATGGAGGTAGACTACCCTAAGGTAGAGTCAGAGGAACAGGAAGTGGACCTAAGTCTGGAAAGAGGGTAAGTGCCAGAAAGGCAAGACTCTAGCCTAGGGAAGCAATCCCTAGACTTGGGACAGAGACATAGGGGACAAATCCGAAGGTCCAGAATTCCAGCCTAGGGAATCCTTCCCTAGGCCTTATGGAAAAGGATGAGACTCAGATGGACTGAAGTCTGGAAGATGATTGGCAAGTAGAACAGGATCTAAGATGAGAGAGCAGGAACTAAGATGATATTCAGACTGAGGACTCTACTGTAGTTGTACAGGGGTTATATACTAGAGGCTATCTGAGAGGATCAGTAAGCAAAGGAGTAAGGCTATGTATGAGCATGTGGAAACACATTGGTAAGTAAGATGGAACATAAGTAAATGAGCTTGGAGATGAAACTAGTACAAGGATCAATCAGCAAGACGGAAACAGAGATAACTGAGAACCGGAAAGGCAGAGATGCCTAAATGGGGATAGGCGCAGGATCTCGGATGGAGGGTGGGAATAGGTCTGGAGATAGTACAGTTAATATCCAGAGGTCCGGAGATCTGGGGATCTGGAAGGCAGGGCGGAAACAGGACTGAGATATGTGAGGTGGTGGATGTAGTCTGGAATCTGAGAGGAGGTAAAGTCCAGATGTCTTGCTGGATGGAATGTGTGTAGGGTGGACAGGATAGGGGATCCAGGAATGAGTCAGATATGGGGTCCGGAAATAGGTCCGGAAAGCGTGGGAATATGATGGGATCTATGTCTGGCATACAGGATATGACACTCATCCTCTGAAGCATTCTCTCCGGCGTGCATATCTTTTTGCACTGGGATATGTAACTTGATGGATGCATTTTCATCAGTCCTTGTATGTGCATTGTCTGGCATGTCTTCTTCAGTCATTGTGTGTCTTCAAGCTCTCTTCCCAGTACCCAAATGTCCACTTCAGGACCATAACTGCACCATTAGACTAGGTATTGCTGTCCATGTCCTTGTGTTCTTTTGTCAAGAATTTTCTCTATTTCCCATTCTTCAGCCCCGGTCTTTGTCACGATGGGGCCTGGCCATTGTAGCTCTCAAGATGGGTATAGCTCTGTGTTGTTGGGAATGTGGTGCTTTAGCTCTGATACATGAAATGTTGGATATACATTAGTATGGTCAGGTAAGTCCAGAGTATAAGTTGACGACTCAGGGTTTGCAGACACTACTGTGTAAGGGCTGTCAAACTGTGGCATGAATTTTGCCACTTACTTGCCACTTCCATTGAGATACTCTCATCTTCTGTGCACCATTGAAAGGTATAAGAAATCTCCAATGTTGAAGGTAGGTTCATCACTCCTGTGTGTGTTAGTGCTGTTCAGCTTGAGCAATTCACAATGCCAACAGGGCATCATGTGCATCTGCAACATCAGTCTTTAGTGACATGATGGCTTCCAGGGCATTAGTGATGTCTGTTGGGAAGTCCTCTTGCACTGAGTGAATGCCTGTCTTGCATTAGTGGTGGCAGGAGATGTGGTGTTTGCCCAAGGTGCAGGTGAAATGGAGTGTATCCTGTCAATGTGTTAGTCATTAACATCATGTTGAATCTTACTCTTGGCAGGGCATTCACCCATCCCATTTGGTGTCAATCCATGAAGTACCTGAGTGCTTGATCAACAGTCTTGTTGGTACATTCACTTGCACCATCAGTCTGTGGGTGATAGGCCGTTGACATTTTTAGTTTTACTCCAGTCAGGCAGGTGTAGGGCCTTCCAGAATTTGCTTGTGAAAAGCTTGTCGTGGTCTGATACTATACTCAATGGCAAGCCATTTTCGCAGTACCAGTTGTTGAAGAAAAGGTTCATGACCTCCTGTGCCTTCATGTTCATGCGACATGGTATCAGTCTGATGTTGGCTCCCAGTCGGTCCATGATAGTCATGATTCCATTGAATCCTCTCTCTGATGGCAGAGGACCTATAAAGCCAATAGCAACTGACTCACCTCTGTGGTCCAGTACTGGTAGGGGATGCAGAGGTCCAGCCAGTTTTGTTATACAACTCTTGTTTCTTGCACATTTGGGGCATGCAGGTATGTAACTTTCTTCGAGGTCACATCTCATGTTCAGCCAGTAGTATGACTGTCAAATTGCTGCATAGGATTTGTCAATGCCAAAATGGCCAAGGTGGTCATGTGCAAGACAAAATATTGTTTCTCTAAGGTGTGTCACCCTAGGTATGATCAGCCGTTCATTAAGGTATAACAGGCCATCTCATCACTGAAGTCTGGCAGTGATTCTGTCAGTTTTGACAACTTCATGCACCAAGGATCTGTCAAGTAGCTGCTTTTGATGTCCTTCAGCAGCGAAGCATCTGGCGTTACTGACAGGATGAGAGAGATTGGTTTGATGTGTGTTCCAACCACAGTGGGCATGTGTGCATGTTTTTGTATGTATTTCAGCAGTTTGTCATTGTCTGGTGGGAGGCATGATAGGGCATCCACAACAGAGTTGTCTTTGTCACAGATATATTGGATATTGAAGTTGTATTGTCTGAAGAATTCTTGCCACCTGGCTTGATGACATGAGAGCTTCTTCTGTGTCATGAAGTTTTCTAAAGTTCTGTGGTCTGTGTACCCAGGAGCTTGATTCTCCATTTCTTCAGGGCTTGTACAATTGCTAAAAGTTCTTTTTCATGAACAGGATAGTTCAATTGTGCTTCCTGCAACTGCATCAAATCAAAAGTGACTGGTCATGCTGTTTGTGATGTAGGGCCAACACTTAGCATAGTGCCTACATGCCAGTTGCTGGCGTCACACATTACAAAGATCTTGTTATCGCTCATATTGTCGTGATCGATGGTCATCAGGCAGTCTCAGCTTATGACCAAGCATTTGATGAGTCAAAGGCTTGCTGGTGTACGTCCATCCAGCCAGGCCAGATGGCTTCACTTGACTTCATTGTTAAGGGTGTCAACAGTCGCAGTGCAGTCTGCTAGTCCAGGCAGAAACTGATCAAGGTACCTTACAAGACCGAGGAATGAGCGTACGTCATTTGTTGATTTTAGGTGTCGGCCAGTCTAGAATTCGCTTGGCTTTCAAAGAGTCGGCCTCGATACCAGAGGCTGAAATCTGGTGTCCTAAGAAGTTGATTTCTGTGCAGAAAAGGGATGTTTTCTTTGGCAAACAGAAGAGACAAGCCTTCCATAAGGTGTTGAGAACCAGCTTCACATTTTTGGCGTGTTCTGCTACTGATTGGGACCATATTATTATGTTGTTGAGGTATGCATGGCAGATTTTGCCAATCAAGCCATGAAGGGCAATGAACATCCAATGTTGGTGAGTTGCAGGAGTGTTCCTTCCTCCTTGTGGCATGACTGTCCACTCATGTAGTCCTTCAGGTGTGTCAATAGCTGTAAACTTTATATCATCTGGGTGTATGCAGTGTTTGAAAGAAAGAGTTCATCATATCAATCTTCCCAAAGATTTTGCCTTTTGTGCAGTCGCATAAGATCTCATCAATACATGGTAGTGGGTGATTGTCTGGTACTGTGTTCGCATTCAGAGCCCTATAATCGCTAACCCATCTCAGCAGTGCCATAGGGTCTTTCTTTGGTATCAAGAAGGTGGGAGAGACGAAGGGGCTTGAGGATGGTTGCAGCCATCCAGCTGCAATGTGTTGGTTCAATAGTGCATCCCATGCCTCACGGTATTTTCTTGGGGTGTTGTACTGTCTGCACTGGATTATCTTATTTGGGTCTTTCAGGGTTATGTGGTGCACAATGTCCATAGGTAGTTGATCAATGTGTGAGATATTGTTGGGGAATCTGTCCTCATACTTCCTTCACATCTCTTTATCAAGACGTTCAAGGTGCTCTTTGTTTGTCTTGATGAAGGCAAGGATGTCTATTCGATGATGCAACAATGTCACCACATTAGGCACTTCAGTGACCATATCTTCCTCAAGGTTCTTGTGACAGTCGTTCAGGACAGTCTTGAGCTCAGTGATGACATCCTTACATAGTTGTTGCATGTCATGACATGTCGGAATATTTACCTTTGTTTGAGGCATGTATTGAGGAGGGTTTAAAAGATCATAGTTTGTGTCTTTGGCAATACAGGTCTGATTTTCATGATCTATAACAAGACAATTGTGTGATAAGAAAGGTCCTCCAAGGAGGAGTGGAACTGCAAGGTTTGGCACAATAATAGCACATATTGTACATGAAGTCCAGTCATGATTCACAGAAGATGGAGACAACAAGACATATTCGGAGAAAGAGAAAAGGGAAGAACAATTGTCCAAGAAAGCCGAATTTGCTTCTATCTTTGCATGCAGTCTGTGTCTACACAGTCCCAGCTTGTTGACGATGCTTTCATCAATCAGAACTAGATGTGACCTGTGGTCAATCAAAGCATTGAGATGTTCAAAAGAATTGGAAGAAGGCCCTGTCAAATGACAAGGCCATACAAGGTGGGTGGTTTCAAGAGGGGCTATGCACATGTCATCCTCTGAGCTTGATCTATCATTAAGTACTGATGATGGCATCATGGCTCCAATGGTCCCAACAGCAGCCATGGTCTTACCCTTTGGCTTGGCTGCTATAGCATCAGATTCCATTAGTGTCTTGTATGAAGATGCTTCAGGCACGCTGTCTGTACACTCTTTTGACTGGTGTGAGATGTAGAACTTCTGGCATTTGAAACACCCTTTGTGTTTCATCAGCAAGGTGTGTTCAGCCTCTGATAGGGTTCCTAGACATGAAGAGGATGGGGTGTATGTCCTTGGGGCTGACATTTTGTTGGAAGAAGTTGCATGCCTCAAGGACTTGTAAAGGTCCTCAGCCATCTTTCTGTGGCTGGCAAGGTCCTCAAGATGCTTGTCATTGAGATGTTTGACTTCTTTGATCCATTTCTTGAGTGTCAGATCCTCAGCAAGTTTCACTCTGAGGACAGGAATGGTGAGCTCATCACAGATGTTGGCTTCAAGCTGGATATGCAGTTGTTCATTGGATAGGTGGGCTGCATTACCATATAGTAGCAGTTCAGATTTTGCAGTTCAAAAGCCCATTTGTAGAAAGGGCAACTGCCTTGTTGCAATCCTATCACCTTCCTTCAAAGCTTGTTGTCCCAGTGGCTTTTGAGCCAAGCTTCTTTGAGAGCAGTCATGTACTTGGCAAAGGTTCCAGCATCTAGAGTAGCTTGCTGAGTGAGATACCAAGTGTGCAGACATGCATCCAACATTCTGGACACTATCATCTTTACTTGGTTCTCAGCCTCAATTCCTTTATGTAGAAAGTACATGGTACAGGCATTGTTCCAGTCATGAGCGACTTCAGGTGTGAGCTTGCCCACCAAGAGTTTCAGCAGCTTGTTGGGGGCAGATTGTTCAATGCTAGCAGATTTTGTCATTTTGTGAGAGCAGGGATATAATATATGCGTGTCATTAGGTTCTGAATCTGATGAAGAGTCACTGTTGACAGTTGCAGGGGCAACATGTTTGGCAGGCATGTCATCTGAAGATATAGAGGATAAGGGGGATGAGGGCGGGTATGGAGAAGATGGTTGTCTTTGGTTCCTTGCATGCTGTTGCATGGTTAAGGGTTCAGAGACAGTTGGTTTCCTTTGTGTAGAAGGCAGTTTGACAGGTCAGGTAGTGGGCAGGCAGCCCGATGGTTGAGAAGTAGGGGGTTCGAAGAGTTCAGTTCCATTTCTGTTAAAAAAAAAGTGGAACCTTGCTTGGGAAACAGCAAGGAACACTAAATGAATCAGATGAAAGTAACAGGACAAAACTGTGGATTCTTTGAGCATTGTACTAATGGATATGTGATGGTAGGTAGGAGACTTGAGTCTGGTCTGAACAATATGAGAGTGGTGGAATATAAGGGGATCCGTCACGTGATATATGATAATGTAAGTGTATTGTAAGCAGTCAGCTTACAAGGAGCTGAGAATGAGAATAGGGGTTATTTTAGCTATAGGAGGGAGTTGCAGCATAGTGGGGAAGATTATTAATGGGCAATGCTAGGAATTGATAGAAAGTATGTTTATAAGAGTGGTAGAAGTGATTAGAGCAACAGGAGGACACACCAAGTACTAGAATTATAGAGATTGTATTGATCAAATTGAAAGTCAAGAAAGTGTCCCAATGAGTCACCAAATTAAAATGTCCATATTTTCACACACTAATGTCAGATTCCCACGCTATAGGGAACAAAAACAAAGCAAAGAAGCAGAGCCTTCTGACGCCTCCCTATAGCTTAGTCATATTCCCACGCCCTGACTCACAATCAAGCAATTACATGAAAACTCACAAACATTGGGACACTTTTTTGAGCCACTGTACATCACCTCCTTCCTTGCATCTTGTTTCTTGTAACTGTCTGTGCAGGTCTATTTGCACTAGTTCAGTTTTGCCTTCATGTATGGTACATATCTCCATCCATATCTTCAAGGTGTTTCCTAGATTCTGAACTTGCAATAACAACCTATCCATAATTGTACTGAATAGATGTTGTTTTGTGAATGAGTCCTTTTGCAGGTACTCGTCTATCTCCTTCTCCAAGTCATTGATTTTGGTCTGACTAGCCTTTGTCTTGTCAGGCTTGATCATGTTGCTTGCTGAGTCAATGTAGGTTCCTTTTTCTGTCCATCCAGATAGCACATCAAACCTCACACACATATCACCATCTGTGCCCTTTCCTTATAGGTAATCCAGTTCAAGCCATTTTCAGCAAGCTGTAGAGCGATGATGTCAAGCCAGGGAGTGTTGTATCCATGTTTGTCAGGGCAGGGCTCATGACCTCTTAAGGTTATGATGCGAGGTAGTGGGTGAGTTATTTAGTGAGATAATATTTCCAGTCTCCTGTTCACTAACTAGTTCTGCTCTCACAGACTCATCTATATACTATGTGCTGCTAATACTAAGTAGCCAAGTCCATATATACCAATGTACACTTATTAATGAGTCCATGTACTGTATTACCAATGTTTGGCTTGTGTTTGATTACTGACTACAGTGACTGCACTTGGACTTGTACATGTCCAGCACATCGCAACATATCCCTGCACTGTGGTTCACTGGTTTGACAAAATTGGCAATGCTGCAGATGAAGACACAGGAATGTGGATGGCTTGTCCAGGAGAGGGTGCAAACAATACTGCAGAGCACACCATCATTCATATTGACACCATTTATTGTGCTCATCAGGAAAACCTCAACTTACTCAATCAGACTTTTTTGGACTTTCTGATGGTTTTCACTTCTTTTCAAAAATGAGCTGTCTTTTTTTCAATTGTTTTGCTTAATTCACTGCCTGATCCAAACTTATGTGTTCTAATATGTTTTATAAACCCAAGAGACACGTTTAAAAACATAAAAACATAAATTTGTTACCAGTAAGTGGCACAGAGTGCTGATTATTTTGATTTTCAAATCCTCTCCTGAAGTGGTAATCTTTACAAATTGTGAACTCCAACCATTGCAACAGTATGAAATAATAATAATGCACTATTCCTGATACTCAAGTTGGGATCAGGCAGTGAATTAAGAAAAATAACTGAAAGGCCACTCATTTTTGAAAAGAAGTCAAAACCATTGGAAAGTCCAAAAAAGTCTGATTAAGTAAGTTGAGGTTTTCCTGATGGCCTGCCCATCTTATTCTCGTGTACAGCATGAAATTCCTGCCTCAGGAGCTCAAATTTTATCATTCCTATGATGCATTCCGCGCCTACTACGTCAATAAATACGCTGACCATCACACCTTTGAGATTGCATTTTGATCTAGCTACTTGTGCACCATTTGAATTTATAACACTCTTTTCTCTCTTAATATGCATTTTCTCTCCTTTGTGTGGCAAAACCAATGGACCACTCCTTCACGCCTTTGAGAAATTTCGGAAAGATCAAGTTATCACTCCTTGTATTAATTTTTATGCCTTGGCACCAGTGCCAAGGCAAGAAAAGTGGCATAATGAAGGAAAATAAATCTGAGGTTTTACTGATGCGAGGAGGCACGGCGACTGGATCAAGAGCATTTTCTTCTTCGTCGTCCTCAAGTCCGTCATCATCAACTAGCCATTATTCCTGCTTCATCTCCTCTTCCTGGAACCAGCTGAGGCAAAAGAAGAGAATGTATAGACATGTTCCGTCAACCACACCGACAACATCAGCCTAGCAAATGATGTGGTCAAAACTCACGAACCCAATGGGATAGTAGAAACAAACGGATGTAGCTTGTCCAAGCAGAACAGCGACAAGTCATGCAGTTTTTCATGTGGGTTTTTGCACCTTTTGCTTCCCCTTGTCGGACAACGACTGGATGGAATTGAAAAAGGCCCTACCACCGGCCAAGGAAGTTGATGAAGAGCTCCCTCCATGAAAGCGACAGGGAGGTAAGGGTAATGTAGCAGGGAACTGCAGCACAAGTGTCAAATAAAATAAAAAAGAAACAAGAGAAAGAGACTCTCATCATGGAATTGATCATTCCTAACAGGGTATACTGCGTTCGCGCAAGGAGTGGAGTGAAAAGGTTTGCGGAGGCGAGGCCAAGTGGGTTGCTGCGGGTCAAATGTAGGTGCCTGGGTCTGGATCATAGGTATGGAAAATACCGGTTGTCTCTTCAACTTGTCTGCAGTGCCCGGTAGAAGGACGACGAGTTGTATCAGACTGCAGTGATAGCAATGAATGAGTGATGGAATGAGTAAAATGATAAGGAGCGGACTTTTAGTAGATGGCTGAAGGTTGGCTTTTTGTGTGTAGTGGTCTGTTGAGGGAATGTTAGCACACGAATGATAAACGTGCGCGGGGAATGCGCACGCTAGCCTGAGCAACAATGTCAGGTAGGGCGTCACAAATGTCAATCGAAGTGTGAAGTTCGGTCGAATCAACTCGAGTGACATTCAGAAAGTATAAATGGATCACAAGGATCGAACACCGAACCATACGAGGTGACAGGGTCGATCCAGTCGACTTGAGCATCAATTTTTGAAGCTAGCGTCGCAAAGGAGTGAGGTCCGTCGAAAAGTGTAAACTCATTAACGGTCAATGATCAGGTTGGCCAAGCGATACTTAAGATGCGAACAATTGGAACTCGAAAGGACTGCAGCAGAAGTGATCGGATCCCGAAAACACGCCAGATAAACCATGAGAATAGGGTCTAGAGAAGTGGAGATCGATTAGAAGATCGACACAGATATTTGTAAAGCGAGACTCGGCATCCAGTGGATTTCAAGAGGTGCTACTAGGAAAAAGAGGGTTCAAAGCCAGCTGCCGTAAAGGCTCGCCTGAGAGTGAGAGTCCTCTTGTTCGAATCCATGCACAACTAGGTAGTAAGGGTCGCATCGTGTTCGATAGCTAAATCGTATCAATTTCGTGGTTTGGCGTCGTGCCATCGAGTTTCACGCAGGTTGTATGAAGTTGGAAGTCTAGATGAGATGGGCGAGTGGGGGTGGAAAGAAGAGAAGGTTGATTTGGACGACGACCTGATATATGAGAGAAAGTAATTGAAACATCTGAATGAGGCTCCTGACAGAAACAGATGATCCACCTGTCTCACCAAGCACAGTCCGTGATGATGTGTGATGAGATCATTTCAGTCTTGACCAGATCAACATTCTGTGGGGATGACACCAGCAAGGATGAGGGTATGATGTTCATCTTCTGATGAAATTAGGCAAACACAGCAAGTATCGCAGCTAGCATGTCATTGATTAAAACATGAATTAGAAAGGATATGTCATACAACAAATGTGAATGAGTACATACGAAGTTAACTACAACCATGAGCACCATCCTGGCGAGGTATGTCAACGCGCTCCAGGCGCCACCGAGGAGGCATCCTCAGTGTGCCATGAGACCAACACGAGTGATAGCAGAGGAACGCCTTGACCCAATGCACATCTGGGAGCGAATCGATGTCAGCTGTGTCGTTTTCCTGCGGCAAGGTAGCCTGTGGGCTAGACGGATGTCGGGTATCGTCTATTTTCTTGTATTCCGGTAGTTTGGCAGCAAGGAGCCGCTGTAGGGCACAAATCAGCAGAAGGTACTGAGAAGCAAGGAAATGTACGTTACAGTGACCTTCCGCCCTGGTGCAACTTCGACGACTGATTGACCATGACTGTGTCTGGGCACGAGGAAAGAAAGATGATGCCGTAGGGATTGCACGACTCCATTCGAGCGGGGAGGCGAACTTATTTCGAACTGTATAACTACTCAGTCAATCATGTGTTTCGTATTTACTATAGAAATTGAAGACTGACACGATCAAATCGAGTTGCGACCTGATCTGAAAGAGGGGATGGTAGAGGTAATGTAGCAGGGACCTGTCGCGCCATCATGGAGTCAACTGTCAAAGAACTGAGATATGAGATATGAGAGTCACGACCTACATTTAGAGGATCACGAGGTTGGATGTAACGATCAGGGACTGCGTTCGCGCGAGGAGAGAAGCGAAGGAGTCCGCGAAGGCGAATGAAAGCGGGTTGTTGCGTGTCTCTTGTTGGTGGAGGTCTCGGCGCCATGGGTACGATCGGTGGTCGGCGGTGCCTAGCAGGAGGATGACGAGTTGCATCAGACTGTAATGACAGTGATAGGTGAGTGGTATAATGAGTAAAAGAATGAGATGCACACATTTAGTATATACCTGTGGGCTGACTTTTTGGGTGCAATAATCTGTAAGCGGAATGTTAGCACACGAACAGCAGATGTGTGCGGGGAATGCGTACACGGGCCTGAGTAAGGATGTCAGGTGGAGTATCACAGATGTAGATATTGTGATCGTTGGTGTTTGTCGTGTAAACTAGTTGGCGTGAATCGGATGAGAGCATAAGGACTTCGACTTTCTGAACGTCGAAGGATGCGAGGAGCTGTCGCGACTCGAAAGCCCAGAGCTTCATGGTGTTGTCGTATGAAGCACTAGCGAGGAGAGCTCCATCGGATGAAATTGTTAGACCACGAATCCTCCTGGTGTGCCCTTCAAATGCAGCTCCGACAGTCTCCAGTGTAACCCCATCAAACTCGTAGATTGTCTTAGCGCAGTCATTCAGATCTATATCTGTAGTGAAATTCAATGTGAATGCGGCTATGATGTTTTTGTTTTTGTTTGTCCAGAAAACCAGTGATGACAGGAATCCTCCATCATGATTCTTGGGATTCCCTATCCTCACATCCAATTTCTGTGACTGGACATCCCAGACCTCGAGGCACGTCCCCCAATCTAACTCGACTGCGAGCTTCTTCGAGTCTGGGGAGAATCGAACTGCGCCCACATAACCAGTGCTCTTGAATGGACCAGCCACAGGTTTGCCAGTCTCCAAGTTCCATATCCGCGCCGTTTTATCTTCTGACCCGCTCGCCAGTAGGGTGTTGCCCACAGAGATATCAATGCAGTAGATTCTCCGTGAGTGTCCTTCTAATGTTTTCACAATCCCCGTCTCAATCTCGACGGCTTTCAGCTCCGCCCCATCAGTCCTCCAATTTCCACCACCAGTGACTACCCATCGACCATCCCTTGATACTGCCACCGCATATACCGTCCCCTCGGAAACAATTCGCGCTCCCTCAATCTCCTTGCCCGCCTTCAGGTCCCATTGCCTAGCGGTCTTGTCGTAAGATCCGCTGATCATCCGCTGGCCATCTGGAAAGTAGGATATGGATCGAATATAATCTCTCTGACCCTTCAAAGTCATTACCGGTTTCAGAATCGAATTTGTGGTGGCCACCTTTGTCGACGCGGAAGCCATGGCTGTGTCTCCGTGAGTGACACCGTGAAGTAGTATGGGCAAGGTATCCTTTGGAAGCGTTCAGAGGTGCACAGGTGGGGTCTCTCGGTATCAGTATATTATATGACTGACGCTGACAGTGATTCGAAGACGAGCCCCTGGTAAAGCCAAATGTCAGTCCATCACCGCTGGAAACACGATGATATTTTGGGGTTACCAGCACTTTAGCAGCGATGAACTTGAGGAATGATGAACTGTTGAGACGGTGATTACAGCTATTGGTTTTAGGCGCTGCCTTGTATGTATATATACTAACACACCCCTTCTGCATGACAGCCGTGCATTGCGCCCAGAATCCTTCCATCCATCTCATTTGTTTCTCTTCACTTCCTGGCTCGCAGCCATGGCCAAAGTCTCTGCCATCACATCTATTCTCTATTTCCCACCCAACACAACACTCAAGCTTCATTGTTGCTCATTCGTCAGTTTCGTTTTCGATGCCTGAATGTTTACGGACACCAACATTTTTCAATCCATCATATTAAACTGTCCTGAGTCCGCGCAAACACAATGTTACATACACGTGATCATTTCTCCGTCCTTTTACCATGCCGTAACTACTTGGAGAATTCACACCGTCACTTCCAATCTTTGAACGTTTCTCTGATGCTGAGATCTAGCACTCATCGAGGCCCCTGACCATGACTTTTGCAGGTTCGAAACTGCTGCCACCCCCGCTACATAACGTCCCTCCTACCCTAGCTTATCCTAGGAGACGGGTGACTGCAGCGAGAGCTTAGGGCGTGATCTGCCTCGCGATGCTCTGCTGGACGCTCCCGGCTTGGGCATCGCCTTTCCAAACAGTTCGCTATGACCAGTACCTGTTCTCGATCCTAGAATCCAGCTATTATTTAAACCACAAATGAGTGATAGATGTATAATAACTCTAGAAGTAGACGATTAGAGGGTGTTGAAAAGGACAGCTTATGTAGGCGTATGTTTTATATGGCATACCTTACGCACTCGGATCAGTGAAGGTTGTGGAATGAGTCATAGATCTCACCTAAACAACGGACTGGCATCGCCCATGTCCTTAAATTCATCCCTTCTGCTATCAATAAGACCTTCCGCTTGGCATTGCGCTTCCTTCTTTTTATTAAGCCGGCCATAGTCCCACATAGCGAACAGGCTCAGCAAAATTCTGTAGCGGAAACTCGTCATTAGTATTCCAGTCTAAAAACTGAGGAGGCATACGAGAGAAAAAGGAATCCCATCATAGTGCCGTGTCCAATGTGGAAGTTCGGCGGATCAATGTAAATGAACGAGGAGCAAATGCTAAGATAGGGTTGAGCGGACGACGTATATCTGTCATGACATGACGTACCCTCCCAGGTTTCCAAGGCCAATGACCATCGCTATCACAACCCCGCGCTTCAGGTCGCCTCCCGCATTTGAACCTGCCCAAGCAAGGTCGACTGCGATGGTCGGATAGACACCGATGGCAGCTAGACAAACTCCAGCATACGACATGCCCGCTGGTCCGTCACAATAAAGTAAGATATATCCTACAATAGACACGAAGGCGCCACCAATTATAAATGGGCCGCGAGTTTGGTACTTGTCAGAGCAAACTCCAACTGAGATTGTGGTGATACATCCTGCAATAAATGGTGGGGCTGAGAGTAACTGAGCGTGGGCAGCAGAATAGCCAAGCTCATTTATGATAGTTGGCGTAAAGAGAGCGATGGCATAAACAGGGACGAGCAGCCTATGAAAGGATTCAGCTCATGAATGAGAGATATTATGAGACAGGGAGCACCCCATGTAGATAAAAACTTGAATGTAGGTCTTGTAATCTTTCATGGCCTGCAAGACAAAACGAATGTTGTAGTGGGTGGCGAGATTATTCGCATCCTGTTTGAGCATGTCTATCACGTATGCTCTCTCTATCTCGGTCAGAAACTTGGCTGTTTCGGGATACTAAGAAGTCTGAAGGTTCAGTGAAAAATACAACAGATGCGCAAACCCACGTCATGCATCAAGAAAAACGAGAGACATGCTACGAGAAGGGTGGCTGATTGAAGATCAATGTCTGGATCGCCTCTCTCAGACACAGCAGACTCACCAGTACCCTCCAATAAGAACTAGACGTCCACGTGAAATGAGTGACAGCTAACTCAGCCTGCAAACATGCAAACATACAATCCATTGCCAACCATGCAATCCTCCGATGCTAATCAACGAATGAATAATGGACTGTCAATTACAATAGATTGCTTACCCCTCCATGTGCTCGATACCATACCTGTCGTGGATGAAAAGGTCAAGTTCAACGGGGGGTTGATCGAGAAGCTTGAAGACTCACGCTAGGAGTCCGCCGAAAGCGCCTAACAACCAAAGAAAAATTAAGCACGTATAAATTTGATGCTTAATAAATTGTTCCATACCTGCGACTGTCGCTGCAGAAAAGAATATGGCAATGCGTTTGGACTGTTCAGATCGTGGATACCAGAGAGAGATGTAGTAGGTCACTCCAGGGAACAAACCTGCTTCTGTCAAGCCTAGGAACAGTCGAGCTCTACCGTTGCCTAGTTTAATGTGTCTGCTTTCACCATATGGGCAAGCTCTACGCACATGACAAGAGATCGAAATGAATCGACGAGGCACATGAGGGTCATCACGAGACCCCACGCGATCATGATAGTCGGTACTGGAATAGATATCAGGCGGTGAGGAAAACAAGGTTGAGGTAAACGCACTCCAGCGTGATGGTCTGAATAGCTTCAGCGCGATGTTCCTATACAAACATTGAGAATGGACATGTTATTCTTGATGTTAAACATACGAGGGAACCTCGGCAAAACTATACAGTATCTAGAGAAGGCACATGGGTATTGAGCGGAGTGACCATGGCATATCACGCACAAAAAAGACGGCTGCAGCAATGTTGTACCTGAAGCCGACCAAATGCAGGTCTTGAGACATGCCAGCAACTTTCGCGTTTCCTGCGAGTGGTGATGGTGATGAACGGAGAGCATAATGTGTATATCCCACAACTTACCGACATTGGCCCGATCTCTGAAGGCAGCATAAAGTATGAAGCAGGACTAGACAAGGCAGGCGTTTGAAAGACTCACAAGAATGACAACATGTATAATAACGACACGAACGGTAACAAATGCCAATCGAGCTTGCGCAGGATACGCGCTCTTTCTCCCGGATTGAGCTCCTCGACAATTTGTTTTTCCTCTATATGAAAATTCGTCTCGATGCTGCCCTTGCGGAACGAGTCTGTGCTACCCTCTGTTAAAGTAATTGAAAAGAATGACTGATTAAATGAGCGGCTTGTCATCTTGAGAGTCGAGATAAATCTCGTTCAAGCGACTTGAGTGAGCGGTCAGCAGGGGATGCTGAAGTTGTAAGTGGAAGAAAGAAAAATGAGACAGAAATATAACGTTATCGATCTTGGACCCAAGTTGGCCAGGGTAGTAGACATGGGCATTTAAATGTTCGTTCGGTCACAGACCGAAGCCTCTTCGGTTTCACTGACCCGGAGAGGTCGAAACACTGCAAATGAATGTGATGAAGTCCGATCACCCTTACGGCATTCACAGAGTTTAAGACCCCAGGACACCCCCAACACATTTGCTTCAAGGTATACTAAGTCGCTATGCACGAAATGTACGTACCTACTTAACCATGCATTTAAGCCTACTCCTAGGTGAAGAATGCGCGTGTCGTTCGGGTGGTGCTTATGAACCGTGGCAAGCACTCGATTCTAGTCAATGCTAGAGTTTACAATATCATTAGCGTACGGTCAATTAGGAACTGTCCGAGATTCACAGGGTAAATTAGCAATGCGCCCAGAGGCTTCAGATTCACCAACGTGAATTACAGTAAATTAACAGGTTTGTAAATCAACGCTAATTTACAGGTGAATTAGGCCAAATGTACTGTGAATTAGGGTGAATTAGGTGAATTATTTCCACTCGTCCCAAGCAGGAGGGTCGGGGACAGACGAGGACAGGTTTTTAGCGGCCAGCCTTCTTTGTTGGTCCGGAACCCGGGTGCGCAGGTTGTTTTCCGATTGAATCGAGCAGTTCACGCAGGTAGGGTGCGCGTAAATCGATACCACTGGATGCTGCAAGCACAAACGAGTCTTTTTCCGCTGTCTTAAACTGTGAAGGAGCAGCTGGACCATCCAACCAATCTGCGCCATCGTCAAACTCATCTTCCGAGTCCAAGTCCGAGACCACTGTTCTCGCTTCAGGTAGAGGAGGCATTCGACCAGCGGGAGGCAAATCTTCGGCAGGACGCTTGCCAAGGATAGTGGATTCCATATCACGCCACTTGACGAGAGGTTTGTACGGTGTTTTCAATTTCTGTGGACTGATGAGATCGAGAAGAACGCACGAAAATTGTCACTCACATTATAATCGAAACGATGCCATTGTCGGATTTTGATATGATCTTGAAGAGTACCAATTTCCTGCCTACTTCGTTGAGGAGAGTTGAGCCAAGTAATCGTCGACATGGTGCGTTCATCTGGCATGGATGTCGGAGACACTGAAAAAGCCTTGATTGCGAGAGCCTGTCAAGATACTTAGTCACTTGTCTTGGATGCGGGAGCCTCACAGACTTACCGCAAGAACATTAGCTAACTCGTCCTTTTGCAATGCTTTCCACCAGCCGAGAGCACTTTCGTTCGTTCTCATCTTCCGATTGAATGGGTCCTCGCCCTTGATGTAGGCTTTGAATTGGGTGCGAAAAGAAACCAGTGCATCCGTGGGGCTGAACTCAGCGAGCATAGGATTGCGCAGCTTCATCTCGACTACTGGATCAGAATACTTTCCATCCTCGTAGGAATCTTGGAGACACGTGGTACTGATCCAAGTAGCCACCAAGCACATTGGTCACAGCATTGAGGCTAGGTCCACGTTCTTTAAATGAAATAGGACCTTTGTCACGCTGACCCACGCGCACTTCGAGTTCGCGGTTCAGTGCGCCGATGGGACCGTAATCCTGGATCTTCTCGTCATCCAAGGCTATATTTTGAAAAATCGTCTGACCATATAAAACACAATATGCAATAAAATAGGTCGAATGGATAGTATGAAGGGAACGAGATGAGGATTGTGGAACCAGGATGCTTACCAGGGCAAAAACCAAATATTACAGGCGGCCGCGCGAGGCACCTAGAATGACAAGAAAGTGCAGGAGGTCGAAGCGAACAGCGGGAAACTGTGGTAGGCTGCGGCGGCAGCGTGGAAGGGCGAGGAAGAATCCGTGTTGGCGTGCCCAGGTAGTGAGAGGTTACAGGATGTTGCCCTTGGGACGTGGAGGCTGTGGAAGTGCAGGAGGTTGAGGGAGTAAGCGATCGCGTAAGGGCGACAGGAGGGTGCAGAAGGTCAAAGTGGGAACTAGGAGACCGTGGTAGGTCGTGGCGGTAGCACCGGGTTAGCGCAAGCACGAGGAAGGTCTTGGTCGGATGCGGGAGGCAACGGCAGAATAATGGAAGTGTCTTGGTTGGGTGTGTAGGTGTGTAGCGGGAGGTGGCAGGAGGTTGCGTCCATGGCAGCACCGCACCACAGCCGCAGGAATATTGTGACACTTGTAACTGGGATGAGGGAACTGCGAGTATTGGGAGGTTGTGGTTGACAGTAGCGGGTTTGAGTGTACGTGTACGGCGGAAGCTTATGAAAAGGATGTTGTCGTCGTGGTTAACGATGAGGAAGAAAAAAAGAGCATCGACTTACGGTCCTTGGGGTCCTCGATACTAGCCCTGCAGCCTCAGGGCGGCGACGTAAATTGTGCCAGATGCCGGCAACTTATTTTATATCAGATCCAACGGTACGGTGCCGCCGATCATATTATGTGATCCGGTAAGGAAGGAATCAAGTACTCTGTACTTGTCTGTCTACATAGTACTACTAGGGACTAACCACCCACGATGGCCTCTTTGTGCGGTTGGCACTCGCCGACCCGGGACAAATGGTTATTGTCGGTCTACGGTTGCCATCTTGAGAGGGCCTGACTCCCACCAGGAGTCTTATTGGCAAGATTTTGTGGATTCTGTTCTTTCACGATGCGGCAGCGGCGCCGCCACGACTAGTCGGACTTGTCGTCGTGATGAGATCGATGGATTGCATGGATTCGCTGCTTCCGCCGTCCTGGTACTAATGTGGAGAGTCATGCCAGATGTGTGCCGTCTTCTAACCACCATGTTTGACCTGACTCACGCGGAGGTCGACAAACTTGACTGCAGCAGCAAATACATCGTTTTTAAACACGCTCCGATTTTTGACTGTCCGACGAGATGGAAGAAATACCACTACCGCCCCATCAGCCAGGTGTCGATATTAGGACTTCATGTGTTCAAGCATTCTAGTGCGTGTGTGAGTGCTTGTGATGTCGTGGCTGGTGTCATCCTCAGTATCTGCGCGACTTTACCTTGGACCCTTGCCCTACTGAGGCTTAGGGCATGGTCCATGTGTATCACTTTGGCAATCTCGGGTCGATTACAGAAGTACGGTGAATAGTTTCCCTTTTTGTTTTGAATCCTTGTTTATTGACCGTTAGGGCGAAACCCTATATTGGACGCTACCTACTGTGTGGGGAATATTTTCCTTGATCAGTAGTGGGTCCGACGCAGTGTCCGTGCATATGTTCTATGGGTGGCGTCTCATTTATGATTTTCGTTGGCCATGTCTCTATCAAAAGCAAGTCATCACGCTACACTACAAGTTTAAATACAAAATGAATGCGCTCTGTAGGACACACTGAAAAAGCTGGCATACTGATAAAAGATTGACGTCATTGACAAATATCACGCCGTCTATGTCTAGGTCATGGTCTTGTATGGCTTCGTGGATTCAAATGTGGCAGACATGCATACTGCCTGATGGGCGCAATGTCCAACGACTTCGCCAAATTAGCTGCGTTCACTGGCTTCTGTGTACATTGACCATGAATTTATCGCACGAGTTCCATACATCTTCCGATCAAGAACTATAAAGACAAATCCGTGCAGTCAGTGGGCGCAGCAGGCGTCCGATGTGCTGATGCTGTTGGAATCTCGTGAGTTCATTATTCCTCTCTATATGAACATGCCGCTGTACCAGCACTTCAGATATACGAATCATCGTGGTGCCTAATGATCGTTGGCATGGTCTTCGCCGCACTGATGGCATACCTTCGCGTTACTGACCACACGCCCGTTGAGGATGAGGGTCTGTGAATGCCCGTGAAGACCACCGTCTGTTACCAGTTGACTCATCTACGACAGGATGTAAATCGCGAGCATGGAAAAGCTCTATCTTCCAGCAGTTGCAACATATAGCGAACTAACTAGCTTTGGTCACATTGTCGGGGTAATAATTCATTCTTAGTACTGTAGCTTCTTGCGCCCTCACTGACAAACTTTACATTAATAGCATTGCATGCATATGGCTCATGAATGATGAGCCGATATTGGTCCCAATATGCCAGTCCGTGGTAACCGCCAGGCCACCTGGCGAACTTCGAATTAGTATCATGATCTTGACACCAGTATCTTCCTTTGGTGAACGCACCAATCTTCGTGGCTCACTGACGAAATAGGTTCCCACCTACCATAATCAGACCTAGAGCGCCTCTAGTTCACGAAGTCTTCATAAGGCTGTGTGATTCTCAGATCTAGATTTCAGTGCACGACTTATTATCGCGATGGATTCAATTGAATCTTATCGGTTCCTTTCGCACCCGCTGATGCTACTGCAGAATTCCGGATGCCTGCGATTCATATGAACCCTTAGAAACCATCCATATAAGAGGAATATGGCGATCCCTTCTTGATAATGAGCCCTTGTACCTTCATCTTCCAACTACTACTATGTCTGAGGTACGCGCAGAGGTCGATAAACTTGGTAGCAGCAAGGAATTTGCCTATCCGCACGCAGAGCCCTTTGACCGTCCGACTGGGTGGAGGAGGTATTACTACCACCCCGTCACCCAAGTGTCGATATTGGGATTCGTGTGTTTCATGGGTCCTGGTATCTTCATTGCGCTTACTGGTCTCGGTGGTGGAGGCCAAGTCAACAGTAAGGTCCAGGCTAACGCTAGCGCGATTTTGTATGCGACTTTCGCATTTTCTGGATTATTCTCCGGGTGAGTCAAGGTCGTCGATTTGACCCATGGCGACTCATGTCGCTGCAGTTCTATTAACAATATCCTTGGTCCTCGGTGGACACTGATGCTTGGAACTTTGGGCTACTCGTTATATATTGCCTCGTTCCTGTATGATGACTTGTACGTCGATCCTGTGATGTTACTGAAACGTTGCACTTCAGTGTTATCAACATCCATCCCGACGCGAGTGCTTTCGTTATCACGACCGGTGCCATCCTTGGTATCTGTGCAGCTTTACTTTGGACCGCGCAGGGTTCTATGATGATGGCGTACCCCACAGAGGCTCAGAAGGGCACGTTCATCTCTATCTTTTGGACAATTTTCAATCTTGGAGGAGTCGTGGGTTCCACTGTAGCGTTTGGAACCAGTTTCAAGAACACCGTGAGTGATACGTATGTTACGATGTGAATAAGAAGCCGTGCTCATGTCCTCTACAATCAGACCAACAGAGGTGAGGGCCAAGGCATACCATGGTTATGAGTCTGACGGCGGAGCTGATTGATCTTTTTATCCTCAGTTAGCAATGCCACATATGTATATCATTCGATGATCTCTTGTCACCAGATAATGACACCAAATTAGGTTGGCTTCCTGATTTTGACCCTCATCGGCGTATTCCTCCCACTGTTGATGGCAAACCCAGACAAGGTGATTCGTACGGACGGGACTCGCGCGAATCAGGTCCGCCACCCATCATGGAAGTCGGAGTTGTTCCGCCTATACGTGGCGCTAAAGACTGACCCTTGGATTATCCTCCTCTTCCCGATGTTCTTTGCCAGTAACTACTGCTATACTTGGGGTTCGTACTGTTCTTGGGACCAGCGTGGTTGCTGATCGGTTACGCAGAGTACAATGATTACAATGGCGCGATATTCACTATTCGTGCACGGGGCTTGAATAGCTTAATGTCCTATACGTCGCAGATCTTTGGATCTGTCTTCCTCGGTTATTTTATTCTTGACCAGAAAAGGGTCCGGCGCAGAGTTCGTGCCTTCTACGGCTGGATCCTTGTGTTCCTTGTGGTTCTCGCTGCCCACGTCTGGGCGTATTTCTACCAAAAGTAAGTCATCTTGCCCGTGCACCACCACAGCCCAAAATAATCATGGAAGTGTTCCTTAGGACATATACCCGCGTTGAAGCTGTGAAGGATGCTTACAAGATCGACATCATAGACGAAACCTATGCTGCTCATGTCTGGGTCATGATAGTTCATGGCTTCCTGGATTCAATGTTGCAGACATATGCATACTGGCTAATAGGCGCGATGTCGAACGACCCCGCCAAGCTGGCCGTGTTTACTGGCTTTTGCGCGTATTGATCTTTGAGTTCGAGTTCAGTGCTCATTAGACACCATACAGATAAGTCCCTGCAATCAGCGGGTGCGGCGGGCGCTTGGAGTACTGATGCTGCTGGAATCCTGTAAGTTCCTCGATCCTCTGTGAACAAGCCACTGGACCAATACTTCAGATATATGAACATCTTCCTGTCGACTTGGTGCCTAATGGTCGCTGGCATGATCTTCGCTGCACCGATGGTATACCTTCGCGTTACCGATCACACGGACGTGGAGGATGAGACTCTGAGCACGACCAGTGTGCGAGTCGCGGACGTAGAAAAGATCACACCAGCGGCGGCAACGGCGGAGAAAGCATAACCAAACATTGAGCATAGACGTGAGTTTGGGAGTTAGATAGGTTACTTAAGGGCCTGGACAGCTGCTGTTTGTTTCTCAGTTAGTTTCATTTACCACAATATATACAAACAGCAGTGACATAGGGTTTAGTCACACATACTAAGGACTCAATGCCACCTCCACTGGCAGCAAGAGAGCAAATTCACTGGTTCTATGTCCTCTGAATGGCAGCAGCAATGGTTATCCAGCTCATAATAGGTGCTATAATTGTTTACATGACCCCATTTCTCAATAAAGAGCCTTACCATACCTCAATCCTCTCTGGGCATGCATAGGTGCAAGAGCTTGTCAACAGACATCCCAACCGGATCAAAAATGAGCTTGGGATGAGAAAGGTCATATTTCACACACTTGTACAGGAACTTCAGGCTTGTGGACTTTGTGATTCAAAGTATATTTCACTTGATGAACAGATTGCTATATTTCTCTACACCTGTGTGGCTGGGTTATTGAGCTGTCATGTTGCAGAATGCTTCCAGCACTCTCACACAACAATACAAAAGTATGTTCACCTTGCAAAGATATTTGTACTACCAGCAGCCTCACACAGGCCTTATCATATATTTCAAGAAAGTCCTACTTGCCATATCTTCAGCTCCATTCTACAACAAATTTGTATCCCTTCCGCACGACAATGCACCCATACCGAAGGAAATATTGGAAAATTCTAAATTCTTCCCATACTTTTCAAGTGCACTCAGGGCATTTGATGGTACCCATATTGCATGCTGCCTGTCTGCAGCAGAATGGCAACTATCATGAAACTGCAAAGGTGGTGTCAGCCAAAATTGTCTCACTTGCTGTTCCTTTGATTTCCAGTTCCAGTATGTCCTCAGTGGTTGGGACGGATCAACATCAGACTTGACACTCTACAATAATGCCCAGCTCACAGACCTATATATTCCAGAAGGGAGATATTATCTCACAGGTGCTGGGTTTGGGATATGCGACTCACTCCTTGTCCCATACCAAGGTGTTCAGTACCACCTGGCTGAATGGGGGTGAGCTGCAGTTTGGTGAGTGGTATATGACTCACTGTAGTGTCTTCTCAATGCTGTGATAGGCCAAAAACGTCAAAAGAAATTTATGATCTCCAGCATGCTCAAGCTTGTAATGCTATTAAGAGAATATTCGGGGTGCTCAAGAGGTGGTTCATGATACTGGTACACCCACCAGAGTATAGTATGTCAATGCAAGCTCACATCCCCCCAGCCCTATGTGTGATCCATAATTTTATTCACATTCACAATCCGACAGAAATAGAAGAATTTGCTGATGAAGACATTGTTGACTGCAATCCAGGTGAGTCTAGAGGCGACCTTGCAGAGGGACCAGCTGACCGTGAAGAGAGGCAGTGGGTGACTGAAGACAGAGATCATATTGCAGTCGCCATGTGGGAGGACTACCATAGGATTTGTCGCGCTTGTCAGAATATGTGAATAGAGACCTACAATACTAGTATTTGAATCTACAGAACCTGCCAGTTAATATGTTTGATTTTTCTATCAATAAAAGACTTCCTTGGACTGTCATCTGTCATGACCATATATGCATCAGCAGCACTGATGTCCATCTGAAATGCTTCAATGAGCACTGCCATACTATCATTGTCAAGATGCTTTTCTAGCTCCTGTGCACGTTGCATGGCCACCTGTTTGCACTGAGGTGACAGTATAATAGATGGGCTTGAAGTGTGTGATTGTGACAAGGCTCAGAAGATGTCGCTGAATGCTGAAAATTGGTCATTGATTGCATAGAGTGCCCCCACTGATCTGCTAATCTGACAGCATTTCAATGGTAGACCAGAGCCTGTAGTACCAGATCCAGAGGCAGTGAGGGAGGGTGTTGAAGACCAGGTAGATACAAACTTGTGCTTGACTGTGGTTCTGACAGGAGTCACCTCCCAAGGAATAATATCATCTTCATCATCATCCTCAGCCACTACCTCTCTCTCAGCAATCGTTTTCCCTTTGTCACTGACCATTCCTGCTACTCACTCCTGGTCCTTGACATACTCATCAACTAACCACTCTACCTCATCTTCCACAACAGGTTGAGTATTGTTTCCATTGGCCTGGTCATCATCAGGGGGTGCTTGTTCAGACTCAATCGTCTCATGTCCAGCATGGAAGGTGTTGGTGTGTCATATCCGCATATCCGGATCTCAGATCTGACCCTTATCTCATCTCAGATCCACATCTTATCTCTGATGCTATCCACATCTTATCCCCCTCCAACATCTCGTCATTCAATCTGTCCACTTGTCTGGTCCGGTCCACAACTTATCCGAATCCACAACCAGCACTTGTCTCTTTTCGGTAACCCCCTAACTCCGGTATTTTGGTTATCTGTATATCTGTATCTGCCTCTGTCCCTGACAGTCCATTACCATTATTTTCTAGTCTGGACTCGTCCGGATTAGCCTTATGATACTTATCCCTCATCCGGAAGTCATCCGGATCCATTACACTACTCATCCAACCTTCCGGATGTGCTAGTCTTGCCTTCCTGAAATAAGGGGCAATACTCAGGTAAGGGGCACAGCACACGAGCTGAGGCTGAAGCCCTTCAGATCTAGTTACCCTTTGAGTACGACCTTAACATGGTGCTGCAAGGGCATTGTGTGCACATGAGTTTGTCCATCTCATGGAAGTGTTCCCAGCCCTTGTTGCAAAACAGTTTGATATCAGGACATGTCTGCAAACTCATAATCATATCAGTACCCCTCTCATATCATAACTGAAGTGCACCTTTGCAAATGCCATCCAATGAGCGGCATCAGCAGGACCAATATTCACACTGAGTTCATCGTCCCATGAAAAGCCTGATTGAGATTTGATATTGATAATAGTGGCATATTTTTTTTTGCACTGTGCAAGTTACAATCAGAATATAATCCAGCATGAGCAGGGAACGTACATTTAACCACTTGTTCTTGCATGATTGCCAGTCCCTGCCAGATCTCCCTACATGGTTCTTCTTCAAAACACCATCTGGTGGCTCCTGCAAATGAGTTGATGCGCTGGTAAAAGTGGACTGTTTGAATCCTGTCCCATCTCCACCTTTGGCACAGTGAGCTATGAGGTATTTGAGAAGGCAGGATGTCTCTTCGACAGTCCAGTGAGCAACCACTAAAGTCCTGGTGTCTTAATAACCAAGGGTCTTATATAAATGCATGTAAAATGTAATGACACCACAATTACACTAGGATAAGACTTCTTGCCAGTCCTTGATTAACACAGTCTACAACTTTTCTTCTTTCGTGGTAGATAATGTGTGAGTTCTTGGGAGGCTCGCTAAACCAATCTATGTGATTAACTTAGCCAGAGCTTTTGTGTTATATCCCAACTTATAAACTTGTCTAGGATAAACCATCTAGACACTGGAATGTGGTTCCTTGTTAAGATAATCCTCTGTAGAGACTACAGTCTCAAATATGAATACGCTGACCAAAGACTGGTTGGTCAAATAGGCACAAAGTGGTGAGAAACTGGTCTCACAAATGATCAGATTGACCAAAGCTTGTGTTGGTCAATATCAGAAAACTAGGTGAGAAGCTGGTCTCAAATAAGCTAAGTTTCTATCATAAGAAACTTATGTAATCTCAAGGGAATGTCTTTTCCCTACACTTGGTACTTCAAAGGGGCTTTCTTTGTAAGCAACAATCTTCACAGTGAGTAGCTCAAACTGAGATTCAAATGATTGCAAGTGGGAGATCCTATTTTTTGGGGGGGAGAATGGGCCCTCCTTATATATATATTGTGTGGGAATATTATGTAAGTAAAAAAGCGGAGCAATGACATCAGAAGTGGAGCAGAACATTCCAGAATATTCCATAGGTGAAGTAATGACATCAGAGGTGAGTCATTGTGGAGCAGAACATTCCAGAACAAATGACATCATTATGACATCATACCCTGTAGGTACAATTTTGTGAAGTATCTGATGGGTCAGAGCATCCCAATAGAAAAATAAATCAAGGAAATACTAGAGAAAACAACTCAGAAATAATAATACAATAACAAGACACAAAACACAGGCTTTTTAGATAGGTTTTTGTTAGGCTTTGAACTTTTCTCTATGATTTTCTCTAGCCAAAGTGAATAAGCCAAAGGCAAGGCAATACCTTAACCTTCTTGTTTCACAATATCAACTAGGTCATTATGTGATTCCCATCTCACAAATGACTTTTCTTCAAGATATAATAAATTCATGAATCACAGAGGGGAAACTGAACTATATGACCAAGGTTTGAAACCAAGGTATGGGTTGACTAGCCTGATGCCTAAGCTAACAGACTTTGTCTTTTAGGGGGGCTACCTAGTAGTCATGTCCATGCATGATTCCCAAAGCATGCAGGACACCAGCATTGTTTGCTGAAGGTGCAGTAGTCTTTTTCTTTGCCATAGCAGCAGTAAAGGGAGGTATGAGTGGGTATTTGAGACCATCACACAAAGGTCACTGTTGGTCACTGTTATGTCACAAGTGCCATGCCACATACAGAAACTAACTGAGAAACAAACTGAGAAACAAACAGCAGCTGTCCAGGCCCTAAGTTATTAAGACTTATCAGATTGACTTGCCACTTGTGGGGTCTTAAAAATGTACAGTAACTGACAAACCTAAGAGTATGAACACTACCGAATCAAGTTGGTTTTCCATTTTGAGCGGATCGAAAGCCATAACACATTCGCCGCTTAGCCTCAGAAATCATCTGGAGCGCCAAATGTACCTCCTTTCGTCTTGAAGGCCCCTTTCTTCCCACCCCTCTTCCCACCCCTCCCTCGGGAGGTGGTGTTCGAAGAAGACTTCGAAGCTCTTGAAGTAGATTTTGCGCGCTTTGATGGCCCAGGTCCAACATTACCAGGACATTCTGTCATATCATGAATGAATGGGAGGTCTATGTAGAGATACATCACCATACCAGAAGTCCAATGTCCTGTCTGTCCACATTTGAAGCACGCGTCACCGGACGCCGATCCTCTCGCCTGTGATGCTGGTTTAGAGC